TATTCTTTGTACTTTATTTGTAAGCATTTGTTTATATTTTTTGTAGCTTTTTACCAAACTCGCACACTCATGCTGTGTACACTCATGACCCACACAACATGAAGAATAAATTTAATTCGTGTGACTTTGACTTCTCATGTGTTGTACAATGCCAATGGTTAGCTATCTGCCTGCACCAGGCAGAATACAGGTGATAAGGGTATATTGCTGCATAAGTAAGGGAAGTTGACGATTGAAAAGGTAAAGTCACGTTCTCATCAAATCATTATAATACAGTGTAATAAATATTTTGTAAAATGAATCTTCTGTACACATTTTAAAGAATAAGCAATCAAATCTATATATCCATATTGACATTTACAATGTGAAATTTTTGTATAAAAAGATCGTTATGTGGATGTTTACGGTAATAGAAAATAAAAAATAAAATCCGCCCACCCTACCCAATTAATCTATGTGGCATTAACCCCAAAATCTGAAAGATCAAGGTTGACCTTTTTTTTTCTCCATTTGCAAAATTGTTCTATTTTTTCTGTAAGTTCTCTAAATAAGATTGTTAAAGTTTTTTTTAATGGTTTTTAAGTTTTAATTCAAAAAATGAAGATAGAACCTATAGGATAAAAGGAAGGATAGCCATAACATGCTTAAAATTTTGCACTATGATCAAGACTTTCGTTCTCAGCAAAATATAGCAAGTAATATAAAGCTTTGGATAATTAATTAAAATGAGATAAAGGGTAGTTTTACTAAAAAAAATTAAACGATTTGAGTTTGGGAATAAACTTGTTTAAACATTTCAGTCCGAATTTCCTCTGTCATTTTTCGAAAATATACCCATTTTTAATATCTAAAAAAAACTCCTGAATAATGAGAACTCTGCACTATTCAAAGTCTCAGGTTACCTTTATTGCCCCTTTTCCGCCTTTGTTAAAATTATATAACGTCATAGTTTTGTCTTATATTTCAAGATCCATGTATTTCTTTGCGGGAAGTGTTTAGATTTCGCTTTATATAGGACAAAAAACTTTTTTGACGTTCATTGTAAATAATTACAAAACACTGTGTGTATGTTAAGTCTTAGAGTTGAAATCGATCTTTTAATTTATAGCGAAGATATTACAACGGTAAATTTGTAAGCGACATAAATTTTCAATTGGGCATGCTTTTATAGAATGACTGATTTATTGAATATGTAGTCGGTGTCTTCTCACTTAGCCAAAATTCTCAAATTCTTACAGGTGACTGTTTTTGGCAAGGCGGGAAGGGTGTACGGGTAAGGGAAGGGAGAGAACAAAAGAGGTGACCTATAGTCTGTTTTAGATTTAACAGAAAAGGTTTAAAAATAAAATTGATAATGCGATGAAGGGTAAATGAAATAAATAGGTGGGAATAAACCATGTAGACCATGAACGTAGATACAGAAAATTTGCACAATGGGTGGGAACTCTCAACTACGTATCAACATAATTATTTGTTGCAATATCACATGACCCGATTGATCACGTGACTGTCAATTATATTTTTAAGTGTTGCACATTACCGTGTATAACCCCACATATGGGGGCGCGGAATGGTGACATTCGGGGGCGCGGATTTTGAAGCGGAATTTGCGAGGTAAGTTGACCTGATTAGCTTCTCTACATTGTTTGAGATGAAAGTAATCCTATATTAACTTACGGCGGAACACAGTGATATCCCAGCTTACTGTTACTCGTTTCCCAGCTCGGGATTCGTCCTAGAAATACATGAACACTTCTGCAATATCTGGTAAGAGCATGCGGGAACGCAAATTTGACCGTTTCTTGGTGAAAATTGGTGCCTAATATATCATTCAACTTCATTTGACTTATGTGAGGGACTTCTAGATATAATTTTGCTCCAGACACTCTAATATTTTCGAGAAGTCCACCTCAAATAAAGGGGGCAGACTTCAATTTCAGTGTGTGGCACTCGGGGGTACAAATTTTAGTGGAGACAGGGGGAAGGAATAAATCTCCAACTAATAGAAATGAATTGTTTCTACAAAAATTATATTGATTATACAAGTAATGAATTGCTACAATCAATTTATCAACGCTCTCATTAACCCTCTTCCCTGAATAAGTGCGCTTTAACGCATATTTACACTGTTTACTAGACATCTATTTGTACATTTCGATATATAATAAACACGTATTTAAAATTCTTAATCAGTTCTATATGTACTCTAAACTACTGCTCAAGTGTCTATTTACTGTAAATGAAAGATATGTATATCTTTAGTATATATCCTCAACGACTCGGGTATTTCCAATTTTGTCGGAAATATCCGAGAAGTTAGGAATTTCGATCTCGATGCATGGGGAGTCTGCAACGTTAGAGAATATACACTTCAATAACGGTTTTAAAAAAAAATATGTACGATACCCAAAAAAGCGCGAAAAAAGTGTAATAAACAGAATGTAAAAATGACATTTGAGAAGATGTGCAGAGTTTTAGAAAATGAAATGCACTCGCCCTAACGGTTTCACCGTCGGACATATTAGCAAGCAGCGCGAAGCGAGCTCAATAGACTAACGTGTACGAACAGAGGAAATTCGGAATGAAATCTATACATACGTCAAGCAAATTTTTTGGTGCAACACTCCCAGAATTCCTTCGCAACCAGGGTTCCATGCGAAATTATTACAAAACATACAAAAGAAATTATTAAGGATAATTGTTCCTTACCAAGAGATACGTTTACTTTTATTTCTTTGCATTGAGCTTAAAAGAAAAATAATTGCATCTACTCTACAACGTATTTCATTTATGATTGCACAAGACTCTGTAGTCTCGTTCAACCAGACGTTCGGCTGTCTCCGTAAATTCCGACGTCATGTGACGTCATAGTTTAGACTGTGTCTCGTGCGATTTGAAGTTTGAAGAGGCGGATCCAGTGTAATTAAGCTGTGTATAGGTCTTTGATGATACAACTGCGGTCGCCCCAACGGTCACACCGTAAAACATATTAATTTAGTGACTTGCATTTCTACTCAAGAAACAGTTTATATGTCAACAAGCTTTCCTTGATGCTGGTATATCTCCCAGCCAAATTCTTTTGTAATTGTTTTATGAATTACATTTTTGGTCATTTAAATTAATTTCATTCTAGAGAAATTTTAAAAAAGTAACGTTTTTAATTTTCAATAATATTATCGAGCTCTTAAAGCAACGCCTGGGCGAAGAGAAAATTCGGACTTTGCACATTGATCCAAATGAATTTTTTCCGCAGTAACATGTGGTACCTAATGCTTTGCGAATTGCATCTCGCCGCAAACTACGTTCTCGCGGTAGCAACAAAAGTTCAACAAAAAAATAAAATCACATTGATTTAATGGATATTGCAGAAAAAAAACAGTAGATGAAACATTCTTCATTAAAACTAGCACTGTTCAGGCTTCGATTTTGTAACGCAACTTACATACGACGTCATGTGACGTCAGAGTCTAGATCGACGTACCAAATGCCACGTGCGGTTTGAAGAGATGAAAATTAAAACTGAATAGGAATCTGCGCTCGCCCTAACGGTCACGCCGTCAACATATTAGTTACACATCCTCAGGCTTAAAACTAGAGTCAAAAGATGTGAATTTTACTATTTAACATTTTATCACTTTACATGTGGTTTGAAATAAGACGTGAACTTTATGAAACTTTCCCCGACATGAATTGCTCAAGGTTTCAGTAACTTGACGTCATATATGACATCATAATTTGGCATCCTAAATAATAAATTGATTGATTGTTTGCTGTTTTACGTCTTATTCGAGAATTTTTCACTCATATAGAGACGTCACCATATACCGGTGAAGGGCTTCAAATTTTGACCTTTACTCAGGGCCATTGAGCAGTGAGGGATCTTTATCGTGCCAACGCCTGCCGTGACACGGGACCTCGGTTTTTAAGGTCTCATCCGAAGGACCCGCAACTTTCAAAAGTGCCGAGCGCATGGCGAAGGAACACTTGCTACCCATTTTTTATCGACTTAGGTCAGTCGCGGCCGAGATTCGAACTCACGACCTCCCGATCACGGTGCGAGTGCTCTGCCGACTGAGCTACCGTGAACGGTCCTAAATAATAAAGGAGTAAAGGAGTAAGCTCAGAGCCTCTACTGGACAGGGACCATAAGAGCTTATGCGATAGTAAGGTGTCCGTTGTCCGTCCGTCTATAACTCGGTACATAAGTAGACTATACTAAGATACATGATTCTGTATATCGCTAAAGTGATTTCGATGAACGGTCTTGCCATGGTTACTAAAAATAGAAATCTATCAAAAAAGCTACTCTTCCTACAGTTTTGATCCGATTCTAATAAAACTTTTAACACTTGTCAAATAGACTATACTCAGACACACTATATACAATAGTTTTTGATTTCGATGAATGGTGTTGCCATCGTTACTAAAAATAAAATTTTCAAAGAATATTCTTTCAAAATGCTTCTCCTACAATTTTGGTCCGATTTCAATAAAATGTGATTCACAAGTAGACTTCACTATTGTGATAATTATCATTAGTTGCTTGGCATTTACCACCAGGAAAAAGTTCAAAGAAAGCTAAATACTGATGACTTGTTTACTTAAGTGTGAAAAAATGCATGTTCACTTAATGTATCTTGGTCTATTAAAACATTAAGAATACTTGATTACCAATTGAGTGATACACTGTAGATTTCAGTTAATTTTTTTTATTATCTAAAGGCAGTTCACTGTACCTGCATAAAAAACTCACAGAATCAGAACTCTAGATTCTTTTCTTAATCAAGTGACCGACTTTGTAAGCGTACAAATATAAATTAGAAAATAAATTGGCTGTTGTATTATGTGACACCCTCGAGTCTCCTTAGGTTCACTCAGTTTCTTCACGAAAACTGTAGTGTACTAGTATTTTATTTTGGACTTTCGTAAACTGAATTCATAGCTGTTAAGGACCATATAAACATTTATTTTTCAGGCAGTAGTAACCAACAAGTAATTACCTAATCAGTGTATATGTTTTTAAATCTGTCAGACATTCTTTCCATTAATTGTTTTAAGTCTATGTTTAGGAACTCCTTCAAATAAAAAGAAGCCCGCTGCCCTTTCTATCGATTCCAAGGGAACCAGAAAATTCTTCAGTGGTGTGTTCTTAGGAAAGATCTGGTTGGGTATAACAAATGAATTCATAGCAAATTCTCCTTTCTCATTCTCCATGACAACGACCTTAAAAAAGTGAGTTGGAACAGAGACGTTGTTTTTACCAATCACTTCGTACTTCACGTACAGTTTACCATCTGGTTCCAGTCTGAAAGAAACCAAACACAATACAAGGATATATCAATATCATTTGCTATACCTATAAAAATTAGTTCTTATATTTAAAGATATACACGCTATAACTTGCGTCAGTTAAAAATAAAGTTGGAAATTTATTTATTTTGTTTAACAAATAAAGTTACGAAAATACTGTTAATTACACAACTGAAAATGAACGCGTTATAAAGATCTCAAATTATAATCATTTATTTTCCTACTAGGAAAGTAATGCCTCTATTTAAATTCATGCGTCATGTGACACCGTCGCTACTTTTAGATTGATAAACAAAAATGGCGTCAAGAAAACGAGTTAGGCCGTTTGGTATACAAATAACTTTTGACATTGATGGCACACATCTTATGCTTAAAGATAATTATCTTTTAAAACAACCAGTATAAACCATCTACTCTGTGATGACAGATATTAAACTTTTATCCATAATCGTAGTCAAATGCAATATACATCGTCGTCTATGATTTCCCGCGGACATACGTGTGTATATACTGTTTACGCACTTCCTTCATCAATATTCATGAAAAGGCTGAACTCTTAATTGCAGATCTTGTGTAATTCTTATGTAATTACAACGACTTATTTAGTAAAACTTTGCGAAGAGTAATTATTTTTTATTACACATCATGTTTCTCAAATCATGTAATCATTTTGTTTCACATAAAAATCGCGTTTATATAAGTTTATATCTTTAAATCTAAACTAAAAACAGTCTAACAATTTTAATGTTTTACTGAGCGGTCATAAAAAAAAATCGACGTTTGACTGCAGAGTGAGATATTGGATCTGTGGACGAGATATTGGACCGCTTACATCACACTGGGGGCGGGATCAGCAAAATCTTATTTGCATTCGTTGGTATGGAAGCCAGAAAAAGATGCATGTATAACAAAAAATAAAGGTATAACAAAACATATATTGACTGTTCTCGGGCAAAATGCGTTTTGTCGGACACAAGAACCAAACTGTTTGCCTGAGGCCGTTAAGCCGAAGGCAAACAGTTTGGTTCGAGGGGTCGACAAAATGCATGTTGACCTCGAACCCAGTCAATATAAATATATTTCCAAAATTCTTCTAATATTTTTTTGTGAATAAAATAAGAGTTACTACAATTTATCCTATATAAAAATTTTTTACCTTGGTAAATACAGAGGACCGGTACACACGTAAACATTTCTGTGCTTCCTGGCCAGTGCTCTTACGTATTTTTCCAGATCGTTCCATATGTCCCGATTGAAACCCTTACCGACCTATAATTTAATTCAAAATACGTGTAATTTATATTCAATTTACTTAATTGAGCACTGTATTGGTTGTGTATGTACTTTATTGTGGTGAATCAGATCTAAAAAAAGTGTGGAATGCTATTTTAATGGGAGATAGGAGTGAAAGGGGATCCACCTCGTAAAAAAGATGAGCGAACAAAATGCCTATTGTGCGACAACTAACAAAGTGCAAAATTTTAATATCTTTATTGGGACAAAAATTTCTTGATTTTTCATTTAACGCAATTAATACTTTATGTAAAATATCCACAATCTTGCAAAGATTAAAAAAAAAGTGTTCGTCTATGAAATAGCATACACACACAATCATGATCATTTTTCCAAAACTACATGTTCCTGTATATCGCAATTGTTCCGTCCATTTTTTAAAAGATTATAATCAAAGTATACTTGTAAAATTATTCATATTTTGATTTTAAAAAAAAACATGGAGCAAGGAGCCACTATACCTAAAAATACACTTTCAGGGGTAGACAAATAGAATTTTTTAGTACTTGCCCTCGAACAGGTTACCATCGTAAAATTACTTGTCCTACCAAAAAATATGCTTGTCCCACCTTTTTCTTAATTTACACAAAATGAAAGCATTATCGTTAAACATTAAATTATTTCTCAACTGATACACCACGTGGGGACCAAAGTAAACACAAAATCACTTAATTCTTCCACAGAAAAAATAGGGGTAAGTCTTGTTCCAGGGAGTTTGTGCAGTGCGCATATCTACATGAATTATATACATGTACGTGTACATAATTTAAACATTTCTCTGTATTACTTTAACATCCCAAAAATATGCAAAGAGAAGAAAAAATGAAGACTTCAAATCATTTGATGATGTCCAATTGCAAGGCATATGAATATCGAGCATTTAATAGAATTAAAGTTCACATTGTCAACTTACAATTTCTCAACTGAAAAAAGTTATTTCATATCCTCCATAATATGCATACATGATCACAGTTCAATATTTTAGTAGTAAAATTTTATATTTAAGATTTAGATTTCTTTCCGTATTTTTGGGGTATTAGTAAAGTCAAAGTTTCAGTCTTTTTTTCTTCAAATACTTTAATGAGGTATTCCATATTTCTTTTTTTATTTAAAAATAATGTGTATTTATTTAATTGAAAACAAAAACATATTATACAGTTTTTAGCTCACCTGAGCTGAAAGCTCAAGTGAGCTTTTCTGATCACCCGTTGTCTGTCGTCCGTCCGTCTGCCCGTCCGTCCGTCTGTAAACTTTTCACATTTTCAACTTCTTCTCAAGAACCACTGGGCCAATTTTAACCAAACTTGGTACTAAGTATCCTTGGGGGAAGGTGAGTTTAAATTGTTAAAATAAAGGGCCAAGTCCCCTTACAAGGGGAGATAATCAAGAAAAGACAAAAATAGGGTGGGGTCATTAAAAAATCTTCTTCTCAAGAACCACTGGGCCAGAAAAGCTGAAACTTATGTGGAAGCATCCTGGGATAGTGTAGATTCTAAATTGTTAAAATCATGACCCCCGGGGGTACGGCAGGGCCACAATAGGGAATCCAATTTTTACATTGAAATATATAGGAAAAATCTTTAAAAATCTTCTTCTCAAGAACCACTGGTCCAGAAAAGCTGAAACTTATGTGGAAGCATCCTGGGGTAGTGTAGATTTTAAATTGTTCAAATCATGACCCCCGGGGGTAGGGCGGGGCCACAATAGGAAATACAAGTTTTACATTGAAATATATAGGAAAAATCTTTAAAAATCTTCTTCTCAAGAACCACTGGGCCAGAAAAGCTAAAACTTATGTGGAAGCATCCTGGGGTAGCGTAGATTCTAAATTGTTCAAATCATGACCCCTGGGGGTAGGGCAGGACCACAATAGGGAATCCAAGTATTACATTGAAATATATAGGAAAAATCTTTAAAATCTTCTTCTCAAGAACCACTGGTCCAGAAAAGCTGAAACCTATGTGGAAGCATCCTGGGGTAGTGTAGATTCTAAATTGTTCAAATCATGACCCCCGGGGGTAGGGCGGGGCCACAATAGGAAATACAAGTTTTACATTGAAATATATAGGAAAAATCTTTAAAAATCTTCTTCTCAAGAACCACTGAGCCAGAAAAGCTGAAACTTATGTGGGAGCATCCTGGGGTAGTGTAGATTCTAAATTGTTAAATCATGACCCCCGGGGGTAGGGCGGGGCCACAATAGGAAATACAAGTTTTACATTGAAATATATAGGAAAAATCTTTAAAAATCTTCTTCTCAAGAACCACTGGTCCAGAAAAGCTAAAACTTATGTGGAAGCATCCTGGGGTAGTGTAGATTCTAAATTGTTCAAATCATGACCCCAGGTGGTAGGGCTAGGCCACAGTAGGGAATCCAAGTTTTACATTGAAATATATAGGAAAAATCTTTAAAAATCTTCTTCTCAAGAACCACTGGTCCAGAAAAGCTGAAACTTATGTGGGAGCATTCTGGGGTAGTGTAGATTCTAAATTGTTAAAATCATGACCCCCGGGGGTAGGGCGGGGCCACAATAGGAAATACAAGTTTTACATTGAAATATATAGGAAAAATCTTTAAAAATCTTCTTCTCAAGAACCACTGGGCCAGAAAAGCTAAAACTTATGTGGAAGCATCCTGGGGTAGTGTAGATTCTAAATTGTTCAAATCATGACCCCCGGGGGTAGGGCGGGGCCACAATAGGAAATACAAGTTTTACATTGAAATATATAGGAAAAATCTTTAAAAATCTTCTTCTCAAGAACCACTGAGCCAGAAAAGCTGAAACTTATGTGGGAGCATTCTGGGGTAGTGTAGATTCTAAATTGTTAAAATCATGACCCCCGGGGGTAGGGCGGGGCCACAATAGGAAATACAAGTTTTACATTGAAATATATAGGAAAAATCTTTAAAAATCTTCTTCTCAAGAACCACTGGTCCAGAAAAGCTAAAACTTATGTGGAAGCATCCTGGGGTAGTGTAGATTCTAAATTGTTCAAATCTTGGCCCCTGGGGGTAGGGTGGGACCACAATAGGTATTACAAGTGGGGAAGTCTGGTAATGAACAGCATGGCCAAAGTTACTCAGGTGAGCGATGTGGCCCATGGGCCTCTTGTTGATTATGAAAACCACCACTGCATGCCGATCGTGACTTTCTGTGATCGCCAGTCAACAGCTCCAATTTTAATATCAGTGTAAAACGTTTGTATTCACAGCATGAATATTACATTTTTACACATACCTAAAAAGGTCTAAAATCCTCGACATGGAATCGATAGCTGCTAAGTCTTGTGTATATAACTACACATGAATGGGTAAATTCTAGAGGAGTTCCGACTGAGTATTTGAGTGATGAACAGCAGCGAAAAACAGGTGCTCTACTCTGATTCATTACATTTCAATAGCGATAAAACAAACAACATTTGATTTTTTGTTAACTTGAGAAGCACTTGTCTGCGGGCAGGTACCACTTATCAAATAACTTGCCCGCCAAACAAAATTGGTTGTCCCGCGGGCGTCGGGCAATGCTATTTGTCTAGCCCTGACTTTTATGACAAAAAATCCAGACCTTTCCTAGAAAAATTTGAAGTCCAATTAGTCAAGGGTCATAAAAACTTTCATCGTCGGAAACCCACAGCTGATTACGCTTCGTTCCTCTCTCCATCACTTGATGGAGAAAGGAACGAAGCGTAATCAGCCGTTGGTTTCCGACGATGAGGAACTTTACTATAAATTTATACTAATGCCCTGTTCACACGGAGAGTTTAATTCGCAGTAAACTAATGCGAAGTAAAATGATGCGAATAAACTAATGCGAATTAAATTGCGTTCACACGACAGCTAATGCGAAGTAAACTAATGCGAATTATATGCCCTGTTCACACGGAGAGTTTAATTCGCAGTAAATTAATGCGAAGTAAAAATGATGCGAATCAAACTAATGCGAATTAAATTGCGTTCACACGACAGCTAGTGCGAAGTAAACTAATGCGAATTAAAATTTTATTTCTACAACAAGGCTATTCAGTAAGGCTATTATGACGTCATTTACAAATCACGTCATTTTGTGCAGAGCAGATATACATTTGACATATAATGTTATAGTGTCTGTACACATTTTAGTTATTAACATCATTTTCCTTTGTTTTCCACTCAAAAATAGCACAAATACCTATATTTGACCATCGACATGTGGTCTGTGACTTATTTCTGCCCTTACGCATGTGTCAAAATTTAATTCGAATTAGCTTCGCTTAGCGTTCACATGGAGCTGATGCGAAGTAATTTAATGCGCAGTAAACTCATTCGAATTAAACTAATTCGCATTAAATTCTCCGTGTGAACGCGGGTCAAATTTAATTCGCAGTAACTTACGTTTAATTCGAATTAAACTCTCCGTGTGAACAGGGCATTAATTCACAAATTGTGAATATGATGTACACATTTGAAGATATAGGCATTTTTCACCCATCTTCTTTTACAAAAATATATGGAAGTATCTAGACTAGGGGAACCTACACTTGCCAAGTTGCTGTGATAATAAGCACAGTGAACAGTTCAAAATCTTCATAAAAAGGTTTATAAATTTGTTAACTGACCATGCTAACGTGTTATTCTCTATAATGTCTAATTAAGGCACTTCTCAATTATTTGATATTTTTTAATGATACGGAGGTCCCTTTCATTACCTGTGGCGCAATGTTGGTGAAGAAGAACGTGTCATTCATAGCTTTTTGAGAATGTCTGTGATTGCTAGCTGCCGCCATATGTCCCCTATCGTACCCACTACCTTTGTAATCAGAATCGGTGGCCCTGAAGAAGGGATGAATGGACAGATCTTCTGTAAACTCACTTGACTGTCTTTTTACGTTTTCATTCTTTTCGACGTGCTCTTTCCTAATGTGTTCGAACACCCAATGTGGAACCCTGTTCCGTCGGTCGTATAACACAACATGATCCTCAAAAGGACGCAGTGGATCAAAGGGTGGAACCCCAAACGTAAGAATTTCTTGCAGGCGATTTCGAGCTTTGCTTAGTTGAGTAGAGGCATATACTGTGGGAAACTGAAAGAAAGATTGTAAAGTATCGGAGAGAAATCGTTCTTTTACACAATCGTCCTTGAAACGCCCGTCCACTTTCAGAACATTCCCGTGTAGTTTTTCACTAGGCAGAAAATTAAAATGTCCTTTATTTCGTTCATAACACACTCCCAAAATAAGTCCAAAGCCTGAACACGATAAGGGCAAACCTATTTTAGCAAATCGTGACATATTTAATAAAACCCTTTTTACGGCATTTATTGTTTACATGTTACCACATGGCACACGTAAAGGTAAAACGAAAGTAGACATTAAGTCCTACTTCATATGATTCGTTTTCATATTCAATGTTGGTTTTTAAAGTTTTTTTGTAAATGGTTTTTTAAGCTTTAAAGAAAAGTGAAGGTAGAATAGGATAAAAGGGAGGGGGGGGGGTACCGTTACATAGTTTTTGGTTTGAAAGATTACGCGTTTTAAAGTATTTTTGCTGAGTTTATACACGTCACAACTATTTTAATTTTGGTTTAGAGATGTTAATTTTGAAAATAATAATAATAATAATAATAATAATAATAAATTGATAAAAAATAGAAATAAAAAACTTTTTTTTTTAAAATGTGTCTTTTTAAAATTAAATTTAGCACAGTATAATTTTATACAACATTTATTTTTTTGTGTTCATGTATTTTATATCAAAGGACTCGTCGCCGGTGAAACTCAATCCGCGACCATTCAATCAGCATTAAATAACGGTCGCAAATTTAATAAATGAGAAGATAGTTATTCCCTAAATATTCTTCCTGCTTGAGGATGATGACATTTACTCAGATGGCAAAAGACTTCCACTGATGACAATAAAAAACAACCTTTAATTGTACATTGTAGACCTATGATTATGGTGCTATTTTCTACTTTCAAATAAGTAGGTCAATGACCTTTCTTTTTATGCTAAGTGCCTCTGAGTTTCATGAAAAATTTCCACACAGGAGCAGATCCAGGATTTTTCTTACGGGGGGTGGGGGGTGCATCAACTCTAACAAATGTCAGACTGTGAAATATTTTGACAACACCCCCCCCCCTCCAGTAAACAACTTGCCAAATCTTGCCAGTCTAGCTATTGGTCTGTAAACATTTTTTTCAAAACGCTACACCCCCTATAGTTTCGATCAATTTCAATATAACTTGGTACACAAGTAGACTACACTAAGATACATAATTCTGTATATCGCTTTGTGATTTCGATGAACAGTCTTGTCATGGTAACTAAATATAGAAATCTTTCAAAAAAGCTACAATAACTCTTCCTACAGTTTTTATCTGATTCCATCAAAAATTTTTAAAACAAATAAACTCTACTCAGACACATTATGTATGTGTGTATATATATATATATATATATATATATATATATATATATATATATATATATATATATATATATATATATATATATATATATATATATATATATATATACCAAGCTTTCAACGCTTTCAATTTCAAGTCATCTTTTAACTATTTTTGAATTATATATATATATATATTTATTTACATTTGCAAATATTTTTCTTAGATGAACCTATAGAAGAGAAAATATGTTCAATTCTGTATGAACTTATTAGGGGGTCAGAGGTCATGGCGTGACCGAATCACACAGCGAGACGATATCTTGTCTACATATTTCTGTCACAGTGACACTGGTTTCGGAACGTCTGAACCGTCAAAGCGATGAAAAAGATAAAATTATTGAAACATATATTTTTTTTTCGTTCAACAAATGATTGTTAGATCTTTCTTTGGTGTGAAGAATGTTTCTAATTAGCCTAAAATCACGCTTACCTTTTTAACCCGAAATTCCTTTGAAGGTATGTAAACTGAAGACGATATAGCACCGCTTTTGACTTCATATATAAAGAACTAGTACAATAATAGTAAGATTATTCTCAGTAGCGATCATTGTTTTTTCATTACGAACAGTTATTTCCTGAACTGGACGGCTTAACATCCATGTAAATATTCAAATGTTGGAGCGAGGCGAACTCTGAAGAACAAACAGCTTCTAGGTCATTGCGCGTCACAACATAGCAATACGGCGGGCCGTTTGTGTAATAAATGCAGTTCTACTCAGAATATTCGTCTCAAATGTAAATAAAAGTAATAAACAACAATGTTAAAAAGTTCACTGGGAAATGAACTTGGTTGGTACGTGATCAAATCTTCTGAGAAGCCCTTCGGGCTTCACAGGATTTGATCACGTGACCAACCAAGTTCATTTCCCAGAGAACTTTTTAACATTGTTGTTTATTTCTTAAATATATATATATATATATATATATATATATATATATATATATATATATATATATATATATATATATATATATATATATATATCCAAAATTGAAATAAAGTCTCAGTAATCGGATTACAATATTAAACAAATATAAAAAGAAAACACAAGAATCCTCCGTAAAGCTTTAGCGCTTTCATTAAAAATCTTCAGAAGCTTTACATTACAAAAATGTATACAACGGTAACATAGTAACAATGATTATGACGTTAAACTAAGCGGAACGTTTAATGTCTATATTGTGACGTCATAGATAAAATACTGCAATGATGATGAAAAAGTTCGGGAAAATCATAGGTAGTTTATAAGAGACTATTAAGTTTTGGCTTTAGAATACAAATTTTTCCCGTCTCTGGATATCACTGGCACATCTGAGTTTATAAAAAGGGAAAATGTTAAATCGTTTTTTTCCACAAGTTTCCAGGTGTGCACTTAACTGGATTTGTCTATATTCAGGTGTACTGATGTGTTGCTTATGTACACGTACACGGGCACGGAGACTGTTGCCAGTTTCACCAATATAATATTCTTTGCATCCAGGACATATGATGGCGTATATGACATCTTTCGTATCACATGACATGTTGGCATTAACTTTAAATTCACGCCCGTTAAAACTATAACTCGTCCCTTCTGTAATGTAGTCACATGTGCCGCAGCGAGGGTCCGTACACTTTGACACTGTATAATTATGGTCAGCGAATTGGGAGGAACAAAGTATTCTCTTAAGGTTTTTGGGCTGACGTTTACTGCTGATAAAACGACAGTTTTTGTATGTAGTTTTCGTTTGTTCATCCTCTCTAAGTAAGCTATTTAATTCATAAACAATTGAATTGATGTTTTTATTTCTCGGATTGTACGTGTGAACAAAGGGTATAGTTTCTCCGTCCTTCGCACGTCGTGTGTTTGAAAGTAATTGTGTTCTATCACACTCCTTGGCTTTCATAATACTATTATCTACCAGTTGCTCTGGGTATTTTTGGCTCAATAAATACAATTTTAATTCCTCCAAACGGATATCCCTCGTATTAATATTGCTCACAATGGTACAGATCCTTCTTGCGAGATTATATGGTATAGCCGTTTTAGTATGGTGGGGATGGCACGATCCGAAATGCAGATATTGGTGTGTATCTGTCGGCTTATAGTATATATCCGTATATAATTTAATTTTGTTTGTATTCTAGCCTCTGATTGGTTAATATCCAAAAAGGAACACAAATTATTTCTGTATAACCTGGTTTGGTATGGGGACACACCCCCCTGACAACCAGCTGAATCATCTGTATCCATACAATCCTCTCATTTCCAGTCCTCGGGATTCATGGAAAATTCCAGATTTAATAAATGTACCTTTAAATTCAAACAATAATTCGATCTTACCACATGTAACCAAACAACATGGCTGCTATGCCTATGTATCAGTTTTTACCTCCCCTCGATTCCCATCACTTCCGTTACTTCCGTTACTATGGTTGTATTATTGAGCGGCAAATTTGAACTAATAAAAAGTATAACGAAATTTTACACCCATAGTTATTTAATGATTTTAAAATTAAATTATAAGGAATGACTCTAATTCTTGGCCAAATTATTCGAGTATAACCTGGTTTGGGTCAGTTTACGCTGTTTTATAATCCGCTTCGCGGATTATAAAGCGTAAACTGACCCAAACCAGGTTATACTCGAATAATTTGGCCAAGAATTAGAGTCATTCCTAATTTAACCTGGTATTATCTTTTGATATAAGAACATCGAGAAATGGCATTTGCGTATCATCTGTTTCCATCGTGAATTTGATATCCGAGTTCATTTGGTTTAGTAGATCGTAAAACTCCGATAATTTGTCGACATCATCATCCCATAAGATAAAACAGTCGTCTAAAAATCTTTTCCATTTAGACTGTATATTATATATATATATATATATATATAATTCAAAAGTAGTCAAAAGATGATGTCACACAGTAAAAATAATCATAAAAGAAAAAGAAAATGCGCAGTTTCCAAATTTCATTTAACACAAGCGCTTTCTGGATTTAACAATCCTTCTTCAGGTGTACATACTTTGAACTGATTTGTTTTGCTTGGTAACGTTAACTATGACGTCATGACGTCATGAGTGTCTTTGCAGGGAAGGAATAAATCCATGACGTCATAGTATAACGTAAAAGTTCGGGAAAATTGAATTGGACAATAAATCATGATTTACTCAGTCTCAATAAACAAAGTTTTTAAGAAATTTTAAAATTATACAAGAAAGACATGAACTTATCAAAAAATTAATGTTTGTTCAGTTTTGGTGAATATAGATTTAAATCACCTGAAGAAGGATTGTAAAATCCTTTAAGCGCTTTTGTTAAATGAAATTTGGAAACTGCGCATTTTCTTTTTCTTTTATGATTATATATATATATATATATATATATATATATATATATATATATATATATATATATATATATATATATAGGATCTCCCATGATTTGTAGTTGGATATGATTTTTATCCAACGAGTTGTGTGTTTTTTTTATCCCCGAGCCTTGGCGAGGGGATAAAAACACACAACGAGTTGGATAAAAGTCATATCCAACTACAAATCATGGGAGATTCTTTTTATCCCATGTTTAATACTTCACAACCAATGTTTTACACTGTTTTATATAGGACTCCAGTTTATTTTACTTCATGGCGCTAACGCAAAAACCATTGTGACGTCACAACTGTGGATTATGAAAATATTATCCAATGAGTCATATCCACGGGATAAAGGGGTAAACATGGGATATATATATATATATATATATATATATATATATATATATATATATATATATATATATATATATATATATATATATATATATATATATATATATATATATATATATATAAGTTTTTGATTTCAGTGAATGGTGTTGCCATGGTTACAAAAAATAAAATTTTCAAAGAATACCCGGTATTCTTTCAAAATGCTACTCCTATAGTTTGGTCCGATTTCAATAAAACTTTCTACACAAGTAGACTTCACTAAGAAACATAGCGTTATACATTGGTTTTGATTTTAACAAAAGGTGTTGCCATATGGTCACTAAAAATAGAAATTCCTTTGAAAATCTTTTAAAAGGCTAATTAAGGTTGACACAAAAAGAGACTTAACAACCAAGGATCATCATCTTATTTATTACTGTTGCCATATAGTGTCAAGTCCATGTGCTACATTTCTATATACAGCGTTGTACCTTTGCGAAGTAAAAACCATTAGAGCCACAGTCTCGTCAGAGACTTCTGGTTGTATAATCCCTTTCAATATCATCTTTATAACATATTACCTATCAAAAGTTTCATCTATTTGATGTGTTACCAGTTTTCTGTGTCATAAAAGAGATTTGTGGAAAACATGAAATCCTCAGCAGGAACAAATTCTAACCAAAACTATATTGGTTTATGATATTTAAATCATTATCTTCCTAGGAAGTTCTTTATTTGAAAAGTGTTTGTTTATAGTGGTACTCTTAAAATTTATCACTTTACGGCAATGACTAGGCTGCGTATGAATATTATTGACCAGTCTGGGGAACTTTTCGAAAAAGCAATCGACACGTTTCAAAATGCATGAACAATCCAAGTTCCCCCCAAAACACTATCATTATTTTAATATCCTCAAAATAATTTATTATCTATACCTAGTATAAAAATAACAAATTTTTTTCTGTAAATTTCCCCTGGAAAAAAGGGGGCCATTAGAAACATTTACTGGCACAAATGATACTTTTTGTATACTTCTCTTGTAAGATCCTAATGATCATTTCAAGAGCCTTAAATTATTTGATTTTTCGTACCAAATGCTTAATTTTTCTTTTTAGGGAAATTTATATCTATATATTTCAACATTGACTTGCGAGAAGTAATTCTAAATTATCACTTACGGTTTAATGTAGCCGCTGCACCTCGGTACAATGGTATTCTGGGGGTGAAAATTTTCAATGTTACACTCAACTACATGCATTATTTAAATTTCCTTTTTATTTTACTTTGTTCGTTGTTTAATCGTTCATTTTCTATAATAATATGTTTCATTTTAAATTCATTATTATTACTGAACATTGTAGGATATTGAAATTATGCCCATCCCCCCCCCCCCCCCCCGCCCCCGCTAGGATAGGAGATACTCTAAAACCTTAATTGAAATAGAAGGAAACTTTTCAAGTGCCAACTGATGAACGACTTTTTCATTAAGAATTTCATAGTCTTCAAATGAATCTCCTGGATAAATATCACATTAAGTTTTCACGCTTTTCTTGACTGGTTTTGGAATTCGATACACCCCCCCCCCCCCCAAAAAAAAAAGATGTGTTTGTGAAACACTGATGACACCGTATGCCAACTTATAGCGAAGGTTAAACTTTCTCAAATGCAGATCAAAGAAACTGGGGGGATAAGCCGAGCCATATGCCTACATAACGATCGATAAAAAATCAATAAATTCATTTTACAAAAATTTCACTTTTTGTTGAATTAATGTAATGCTTATTACCATTTGCATATAAATTTGACAAAACCTGAATACTGTAACAGCGAAAATGATTCTGATTAACACAACAAAATGACATCACGCTCAATTTTCACAGAAACTGACATAAATTGGATGATATAACTACATTTTTTAAATAGAGTGGGTCATCGTACCATCTTTTTGAGAACGATTAATGAAAGGCAATGGAAAGATGTTGCTTTTTACACTTGCAAAAATTTGGTATGAAGACCCACTCTACATAAAAAATTAAGTTAACTTACTTAAATTTTCACCGTGGTCTTAAAAAATTCTAAGTCCAAAAACGCTCGCTAAATATAGAGAACTGTATGCTATTTAAATGGAAATGTTAGTGTGACTCCGTGGTCTAGTGGTTAGCGATGAGCTCTTTAAAGGGACGTTTATTGAGGAAAGTGTTCGAGTCATGCTCTGATTTTTTTTTTTTTTAATTTTTTAGTTTTAATTTTGTTTTACTTTATAAAAAATGTCTATAGGAATAACATATTTTTCACTGAAAATAAAATATATATATGTAATAATGAACTTATTTACAGTAAATTATTTAAAATGCCGGATAAAAATTATAATAGATATTTGAATACTTTTATTCCCGTTTTATTTATTTTAAATAAAAGCGCTTCTAGATCACCATTATCATTATATACGATGTTAACATTTTTATAATATCTCCACAATAAGTGTAAACACTCAATATGCAGATTAATTAATAGAAGTCCTTACCCATGTTAGACATTTGTGACAGTAAATGAAAGTCAACTGTTTAGCTTGTTTAGAATATAAATATCGTTTTGAAAACTACGGTAAACATTAAAATGCTCAAGTAAATTCGAACAATTGAGAAATTTTTTCCAATAAATGTTCTTGCATAGCCGAAAAATGGGCATGGGCACATGGCTCGTCTTATCCCCCCAGATTCTTTGCTCGTACCCAAAGTAAGGTCTAGTACCGAGGAATATACCTGTGAAATATGAAAGCCCTGGCAGCAATCATTGAAAAGATATGGAAAAGGTTTAAGTTTTTCAAAGTAAGTCAAACATCAAGGTCAAGGTCAAATAGTCAAAATAAATGATGCCCAAGGAAAGACTTTCTCACAAGAAATACACATGTGAAATATGAAAGCCGTAGTACCAACCGTTCAAAAGATATGGCCAAGGTTAAAGTTTTTCAAAAGTAGTTCAAACTCCAAGGTCACGAACAAAGGGTCAAAGTTGTTGGTATACAAAGTAAGGTCTTGTCACATGGATTGCATATGTGAAGTACATATGAAAGCCCTAGCACCAACTGTTCAAAAGAAATGGCCAAGGTTAAAGTTTTTCAAAAGTAGGTCAAACTCCACGTTCAATGGGCTATAATTGTTGGTATCTAAAGGAAGGGCTTCTCACAAGGATTACACTTGTGAAGAATGAAAGCCCTAGCACCAACTGTTCAAAAGAAATGGCCAAGGTTAAAGTTGTCCAAAAGTAGGTTAAACTCCAAGATCAAGGTCAAAGGGTCAAAGTTGTTGGTATCCAAAGGAAGGTCTTGTCACAATAATTACATATATGTGAAGAATGAAAGCCCTAGCACCAACCGTTCAAAAGATATGGTCAATGTTGAAGTTTTTAAAAAGTAGGTCAAATTTGTAGGTCAAGTTCAAAGGGTCAAAGTTGTTGGTATCCAAAGGAAGGTCTTGTCACAAGGATTACACATGTGAAGTATGATAGCCCTAGCACCAACCGTTCAAAAGTTATGGCCACGGTTAAAGGTGCTTGGACACAGATTTGAAGTTAATATTTTCTCAAGTTTTCGGTATAATATCATGACTTATATGTTGCTATAGCATTTCAAACGGAAATAAAATAAAAAACTTATTTTATCTGGAAATTATTGAAACTACAAATTTCGGGACGCGTTTGCTTGATACATCCTAGCACTTGAAATCACAAAGTAAACTTTATCCTTAATACTTAAGAAAAGTAGAAATTTTGTTGTGCATTAATGAAAAATATTAAACTATAATCCAGAAAATAAAGAGTAGAAATGAGAGAAAGCAAAACCAACTCACCAGTATTGTCAGTCCGTGCTCAGTGATGTGTGTAGAGTTTAACAAATTGAACACACCCGTGAAACATAAACATTAACAATAACAGAGCTCGTGCCCTGTTTACAGAAACAGATTACGTGTGTTCAATTTGTTAAACTTATTTAGCTCTAACCAATCAAAAGTCATCAGCAATGTTTAAGTTTTTGCGGACAAACAGACAAACAGACAGACAGGGAAAAAACTATATACCCCCGAATCTTCAATGCGGGGGCATAAAAAAATTGAAAGGCCTCATATTGTTCTCTGAAAATAAAGTTTTAAAGCTTTAATTTTACATCTGTACAAGTTTTGCCGGATCCTTCCCTCAACACTACTGACATCATTTGTCTTGCAACACTCTCATGGGTAAAGATAAGCGTTAACATTGCGCTTTGATTAAATTCAGTCTATCAAAAGCTAAACAGGAGAAAATCCACAGAATTTCTTGAATCTTCCCATAATAGGGAACTTATATATACTGTTTCGCTAGTGAGCTAGCTTTTCTAGTGATGTAGTAGAGTCTTCCTCTATTTCAGGCAAGTTAAGCAACGGTGAGTCTATAACTCTTGGATGGGTGACCGCTTCACGTTACAAGTACATGCTCACCTGAGTTGGAATTTACCAACTTTAAAGTTGGAAAAACCAACTTTAAAGTTGAAAAGGCAAAGAATAAAGTTGGAATTACCAACTTAAAAAAAATTATGTGGCACTAAATACGCTTCCGTAGTAATGTGAAAGGATGGTGTGTGAAGGGGGGGGGGGTCCTAAGCAAAATTAAATGACTCTTCTCAGAAAAAAAAGTCTATATTAAGTCCCACCCACCCCCGTCCACCCCATCCCCTCTGCGTATTACGGGCCTGTTTAAATATACCTATACTTTTTCAATAAGCAATGTTACTGAGAGCTTTCTAGAACTCAAAGTCGAATATCAAAATCGAATCTATAAATGCACGACTTATTAGAAAAATAACATCATTTCACCACTTCCGGTCTATTAGAATGGATTCGAGTCCAGCTCAACAAAATGATTATTCGTGATTAAAAGGCATAGAAACGATATATTTGTCTTGAAATTTATACAAAACGTTAATGTTTGGGAAGTAGAAACACCCTTAACGATGGCTTCAGGCAGTAAACCTAAGTATGTGGAAAAAAAATGGGGTGTTTAAATTATGTGATATTTTATTATTTAAGCTGAACAAGATGAAGAAAAACTTAATAGAATAGATAGAATATAGATCTAAATCTTTACAATGGGTTTTAAGATTAAAACACATATATTTAGTTCATCCTAGAACCAAATAATTAAATAAATTGTTGTTATAGGAAGCTTCCTCAGATAATGTGTCCTGAACACCCTGATGCTTTTCTGGTGGAGGATTACCACGCAGGTGACATGATCTGTCCCGAGTGTGGCCTAGTTGTCGGCGACAGGTAAGACTGTTCATTATTCTTAAATATATATGGCATTGTGTATGTGTAAAATCAGTGAAAACAGAGACATAAATCTCTGGTGAAAAGAAGTCATGGTGATCATTTGAAAAAAATATTCTGCATATTGTTTTATTCTAAAGATTTAACTTAAAGAAAAATTGACATGAAAGCCATTTTTTGATTTTGCAGAGTTGTTGATGTTGGAACAGAGTGGAGAACTTTCAGTAATGACAAGACGGACAAGGATCCCTCTCGTGTTGGAGCTTCTGAGGTAGAAACTCTCCAGTACTTTGTGTCATGTTTATTTAGAAGAATATGTTAGCTGTGTTTTCTGTGGAAAATTTCTCATTTTAACCTTTTTTTGTAGAATCCCCTATTAGAAGGCGGGGATCTATCAACTATGATAGCCACAGGTGTGGGTGGTTCAGAAGGCATGGTCGATGAACACGGGAAACCAATGTATAGAAACAGACGAACAGTCAGTTCCTTTAAAGCCATAATATTTTTGCTGTATTAATACAACTAAGATTAAATGTACCAATTAATATATATTTTGTCATTACAGATGAACAGTTCAGACAGAGCACTGATAAATGCATTCAGAGAAATTGGACAAATGGGGGACAGGCTTAACCTACCAAGAATGATTGCTGTGAGTTCAGTTGATTGGAAGTAAATAGGTTTATCAGTTATTATTCAAGCATATTGTCATATTTTGTAATCCACATATTCTTGACCACAGAGGTATGAAATGACTACACTAGTACAGTGCTCTTGCTTTTGGAATATATTAAAGAAATGATTTGAAGCAATTGTCAGCATAAAGCAATTCAAATTTATCTTTAACTGAAAGTTTAAAGTTTGATAAATTTTACTTTTCAGGACAGAGCCAATACACTGTTCAAACAAGTTCATGAAGGTAAAGCCCTGAAAGGTCGTAGTAATGATGCCATTGCTTCAGCATGTATGTACATTGCCTGTCGTCAAGAGGGAGTTCCAAGGACATTCAAAGGTAGAAGTCACAAAACAGAAAATTGCAATCCCCTCATTATAATGTCTTTTATTTAGAACTGCCCATTCAATCATTATGTTGGTAGCATCGAAATAAACCCAAGCATATAGTCCAGTCAACTGATTTCATTAATGAACAATAAACATTCATATTCACTGTTAAAAAATTTTCTAACTTAAATTCTTAATTTCATAAAATTAAATTGATTCTCTTAAAACACATTAAGAAAATTAAGTTCTCTCACTCATCTTCTTTCAAATAAAATTGTAGAGATCTGTGCTGTGTCAAAAATTTCCAAGAAGGAAATTGGACGTGTGTTCAAGTTGATCTTGAAGAATCTAGAAACAAATGTAGAACTGATCACCACAGGGGACTTCATGGTATGTATCATGCTGCAAATTGACCTGATGGGACTGTGATTATTTAATGCCCTTTCATACAACTACAGTCTTAATTTGAAAATAGGAAAACAGGTTTTAATGCACCATTAGAATTCACAGTTTGGTTGAACTCTGATCCTTTCATTCCTATTTCAATTGTAAAAGTTTAGATGCTTGTAGATCTCCTGAAATGACAAAAGCTGAAGCCAGAAGCATTTTACAGATATATTTTTAAAAAAATTGAACCTATTAACATTATTCAGTTCATTCTTGATCAAAATATGCTAGTGGACTAATTATCTCGTAGAAATATTTTTTTTTTTTCTTAATTGAATGTTTAAATGTTTTTCTGTTTTCATCCTGTTAATTTAGAACATGAGTCATTATGCTAAAATATAAAGTCTATGCTTTGATTAGGAAAAAATATTATGATTTTTTGGTAATATGCCATTCACATCAAAGTGAAGTTACATCATATACAATCAGGAAACTTCAGATTGGCCTTATTATTATTATACAGGGAAATTCTGTTATGAAAGGGAGTTCCTGGTTGTCCACTTTCCAAATTTATATGATTCAAGCCTATTCAATCAAAGCTATAAGTAGGTTATGTTTAGCTTACGAACATTTGAAAATAATATTGAATCTGAAGAAAAAAGGGTGATTGACATAATTATTCGTAGTGCTAAATCAGTCAATAATATTCAATAGCAAATCAATATACATGTATGTAGAAAATACTTGGCATTCATAAAGTGCCTGGAACATACATTTTGATTTTAGTATTGTTGAACTTCAGAAGTTTTTATTTAAACTGCCTGTCAATCTGACTGTCAAATCAGGACCAGGTCAAAACACATTTTGACATAACAGTAAAATACTTCAGACTCATGATTATCCAATTTTTTTTTATAAATTGCCACTGGGAATTGAGATGCAGATACATGTATAAAGATGATTGTTCATTTGTATATTTTATTAACTGTTTTTCAGTCTCGTTTTTGTTCCAATCTTGGTCTGCCAAACTCTGTACAGAAGGCAGCTACTCACATTGCTCGTAAAGCAGTGGATCTGGATCTCACACCAGGGTAAGGATTCATCAGTATTCTCCATGGCATTCATAACCCTTTATAATCTTTTTTACAAAACTGAGACAATCCTTTTTGATTTATTGCAGTCGCAGTCCTATCTCTGTGGCTGCTGCAGCTATTTACATGGCATCGCAAGCTTCTGCAGACAAAAAGTCCCAGAAGGGTAAGCTTCTCTGTTCACTGATGTTGCAGCAAAGGAGATACAGACATTAAATATGAATAATATACAAATATGGGCTCTTTCGATGGTGAATATGTTTTGGTATTCCCCAGAAAAATATCAATATTGACTAGGGTCTCGCAATAATATTGAAAATCTGGTATATTGTGATGCGTTGACAAAAAATATTGTACTGCGATACTTTTTTCAGTACCAGTATACCAGCAAATTGCTTGGGCTTTCTAAAGGAAAGTATGAAATTTAAGATGTCAGAAATGTTTTTAATCATGCCAAACAGTAATGTTGCTGTGTACTGTTCCATTTCATTGCAAAACTGCATTGAAATCAACAAGAACTTTTTGTTACAATATTTTTATAAGAGTTACATGTATGAAAATAGAGGTTAATAAAATAAGAAAAGATCATTTAACCGTTTTTTTGAAAATATTGCAATACAGTTAAAATCTTACAGTGTATCGCAATATGAAACTCCCAGCTGATAACCCATCCCTAATATTAAATAAGGCGAATGATTATATAGTCTGAATTTGAATAAATAAGACATTTAAGACTGCATGACAACACCATTTTCCTTAATGAACTTCAGTTGAAGAGAGATAATTAAAAAAGGTCCAGATTACAAGTTATTACTTCGTGTTTTCCTTTCATAGTGTAAGACATAATTTCCCATTGAAATGTTTGGATAATAATTTGGTGATAGGCTTGCATATAAATGTTTTTCATGCTCAGACACACAGCTGGTTTCTTCCATTACAGCTATCATTTATGTTATTTGAGGTGTCGTTTGTGATGTCACAATCACTGCTACTGACCCTCCAGTGAATATGGCTTCAAATCCTGTGAATATGTGGTGTTCTGAACTGTTTGCATTTGTATAGATTATATAGGGACTAAAATAGACAATAAAATAATACTTGATATTGTGATTAATTAACAGAACTCTTTTGCGGTGGAGGTAGGTATAGTTCATTACCTAGGAACAATGTGCTGCTGAATACACCTTGAGATCTGTGACTGATTATTGTAGATTTTAAAGACATACATGTACGTGTAAAAGAAGTCTTTGTGTAACATCATGCTAATGAAACTTAGGAGGAGATAGTCCTCTTTATTTACATTTTTGTTGATGCTTTCCGCAAAGCCAACTCTTCTAATGGTAAATTCAATCATTTCTTTCTGATTAATGTTACTTTTTGGAAGTTGAGTAAAAATTTGAAACATCCCCATTTAGACCACCTACTATCTGAAGTGAAACTCTTGGCAATACATTGTACATATGGCATATATACTGGTTGTTTGAATCATTCAGTTGTCACTTGAAATCTTCAGAAATTTAGAGCTTCCTTGACTTCGTCACAAAAGAGTGACAGTTAGATAACTGCTGGGTAATCCCAATACTAAGTATTGGCAGTTTGTTAGACAGTGTAAATTTTGCAAGTATTTTTTAGTTCACCAGAGAAATTTACAATTACCAGAAGAAAAAACATGAAGTTCAAATAAGGGAACAGAGAAGATGCATACATAATTTAACCCTTTACTGTTTTGTCAATATCTTCTTATCAGAAATATCTATTTTTCAGGTATCATATACAGTTGAACTTCTGTATGTTTAACACTGATATCTCGAATACCATGGAATGTCAAAGTGAATTAAGTCCAAACCACTTATTCTTTCAGTATTTAACCTTCGATATCTCGAATATCGAAAAGTTTATTTTCAGTCTCATGGAGTTTGAGATAATGAGGTTTGACTGTATTAATTTAAAACTAGTCTAGGCCGACAGTGCTATTTGATATTTTCAGAAATTGGAGACATAGCAGGGGTGGCTGAGGTGACCATTAGACAATCCTACAAGCTGATGTACCCTAAAGCTCACCTGTTGTTCCCAGAAGATTTCAAATTTGTCACCCCTATAGAGCAGCTTCCATCACAGTGATTGGGGTAACCAGGGGGCATCACATTGATTGGGTTAACCAGAGGACATGGAAAGAAAACCTCAGGAAGACGATAGCTTTATCATTTCCATCACAAGTCACTAGTCATCTAATTTCAGTATGGATTCATATTTTAAATCATATTCCTGCATCTAATAGAAGAATGCTCATTGAATGTCCCATTTCTCCATAAATACATACCGGTACAATATGTGGAGCAAAACAAAAAAAATTGCTGTTGTTTCAACCAGCAGATACTTAGCATGAATATTACATGTTTGTGTCATTTTAAATGTATATGTACATGTATGTAATGATTTGTTAAAACATTTATGAAATCACCTGTATTCAATTTGATTATGCTACATGTTGTCGAACTACATGTGTTATTTATTTAATACCAAGTAATAAATAATTTAATGTTCAATGCTTGGTAGATAATTACAGTGTTTTCTCAGAGATCAACCTTAACCTTTCAGCTGTTGGTCTTACTATTGTACTCTCTATATAGATTTAATAGTTTAGCCCAGGCCAATGTAAATTACAATGCAACTCTGACAAATTTCTTTATAAAATTCATCAATTTAGCATTAGATTTATTTTTGATTTTTTGTTAATATTGTTGATGTTCAGGCTTATTTGACCAGATAGCGAAAAAAAACCATTTGATATGAGTATTGTAATGTAGTGAAAGTGATCATAATAATTTCTAAAACATGTATCATGTTTTATCTTTAGTTTGCAGGGTTCGACACTAACTTTTTAAGGCTTTAGTCCAGCCGGACTAGTGCTTCATTACTTTTACTAGTCCGCACGTGATTTTATTAGTCCGTCAAAAAAAAAGAAACATCAATGCTTTTTAACATTAATTTAACGTGACAATTAAAATACGTATTATTTTTTGAAATAAACAAAGTATTTACGTGAAATATATTATTCCACAGATTCATTGAATTTTGCAATCAGCAAGTACGATCGTATTCCCGGTCTCCGTTTTTTTTTTTTTTTTTTTTTTTGTCTTTACATTACATCCAAAACGTCCAACGTCTTTCTTAAAAGTGTCATACTAAATCATGATCGCTAAAACCTTATACTTCAAATCGATCAGTCGAAAAATTAAGCGCTGAATTGACCCAGCATTGCGTGACTACCCGCCAAAAGCTAGAAATCTAAAAATACCAGTTTTCCAGTAAAAGTTGTCGAGAATCGGACATTGGTAATTTATTCATATTGTTTTTCAGAAATTTTTATTGGTCCGTTCGGACTAATTAGCCACATATTTTATTAGTCCGAATGAAAATGTATTAGTCTGAGACTAACGGACTAAGGTTAGTGTCGAACCCTGGTTTGGCAGAGATCATTGCATGGGTATAAAAAAAAAAAAAAAAAAAAAAGAATGGTCATGCCAAACTTGGTAATAAATATACACAAATTTTTTTTAAAGGAAATGCTAATTCCTATTTGCAGGACTCTTTACATGGAAGTTTTATATGTACCGGTACAACTCCATGCACTCTGTATATAGAAATACTGTAGTTGTTTTTGAAGTGCTAACTGCATAATGTCAAGAGCTATGTACATGTCCATGTATATCATGTAATGTATAGTCTTTGAATTCATAAACCGTTTATATCGGGTATTTGTTTTTTATGAAGGTACATAGTTTTCTTGTTGTTGTTCATCAGCAATTCGTGTTCATAAAGTTTAAATGGCTATATATATATATATATATATATATATATATATATATATATATATATATATATATATATATATATATATATATATATATATTCCCAACATTAAGATTGGGTTTAATTCCATTTGTATATCCATTTATTACTGAGAGTAGGTTAAATAACTGGCAGTCAGTGATATGAAGTAAGGATCTGATTCAAACCTTACACTGAATTGCTATGAAATTTAATTCTCATTGTAACTGAAGAAATTTTCCAGTTACTTGTAATATTTGTATCTACAATGTTCCACCTAAACTGGTTTAAATGTTTTGTAATAATGTAACATAAATATTAAAGATTTAAAAGTCATTCTTGATGTTTACTCATTTTCAGTGAAAGAAGAACACTTAAATCTTCTACCTCACAAGTCTCTATTAGTCAGGTTCAAATATTGTAGCATGGTTTTGAAACAACAAAGAATCAGATAATCATGTGCTATCAACATTGGCATACCTTTATTGTTTACACAGTTATGTACTCTATATGTGTTACAACAAAGTTTTTACTCCGTTAATAATACATTTCCTTGTACATCATCAAAACAGAAAAAGTATTTAGTATTACAGTCCATTATTAAATTATTTTTTGCTCATGTTCATACTTTGAAGCTAAGACCTGTATCCAGTGAATGAGGGATTTCCACTGCAAAAACAAAAGATTAAAAGATCAAATGTCAGTTTGCCCAAGTTAATTTAATTAAGTTATCCTAACCAGAAATTAATAAAAGCTCACTCAAACACTTAGATAACAATGCTTATAATTATATATATGTATAATACATGAACAAAGTACTCTAATTGCAGTAGATTTTGCAATATACATGAACTCAAAACATAGTTTTACTCGTAATTTGTTTTTACTTCTATATGTACACATGTACAACGTTCTTACCTTGAACTTGGGGACTGTCCAAAACCTGTGAAAAATGGAGTCATGACATTTAATGTCACTTAACAAAAGTTCATGATATTCTCCAAATTACACAAAATATCTTTACATGTATTAATAATTGTTGTTTCCTGCTTTCACTGAAAGTATAGGATAGTACATGTAATGGGTCTGTCCAACTGTCTGTCATTCTGTCTGTGTGTAACACTTTTGTTTCCAGACAATATCTCAAAAAGACTTTGAGCTTTTGCAATGAAATTTTATATCACAATTCCCTATGGTCTAAAGAAGACCCCTATTTTGAGGTCAAAGGTCAAGGTCAGATATTCATACATTGCAAAATATGGTTTCCTGTGATTAATTTAGTTCTCTGAGGTTTTGCACTGGAATTCTATAACTTTAAGTCAATATGACTTAAAGAAGATTCCTATTGATTTTGAGGTCAAAGGGTCAAAGACCAAGGTCAGAAATTCATATATTGCATGGTACATACATAGTGTTTCAGATGATAACATTAGTTCTCTGTAAGCTTTTGCAATGAAACTTAATAAGGTCATGATTTTCTTTAACTTAAAAAAACCTTATTGATTGAAGGCCAAAAGCTTAAAGGTCAAGGTTGATCTTTTTTCTCTCTCTCCATTTGCCTGTTTTTCAGGTCTACCACCCTCTTCTGTTTTTCTTAAGCAAAGGACACAAATTCCTTGAATTAGCTTGTACTTGTATATAACATTGTTAAAATTAATTTTTACGTAACTAGGAAAAAAAAGTTTCACCTGAACTAGATCCAAACCCTCCTCCACCCCCTCCAAATCCACCAAAACCACTACTAGCTTGTGACAAAGCACCAAAGGAGGTTGTGTCCCCACTGTGAGCCAGACCCCCAAAGGTTGGAGATGAACCAGAGGCAAATCTAAAATAACAAAGAATTATCAAAGATACAATATGGCCCCATTCATTAGGCCCTATACATCATTTACAATGATAATACAAAGTTTTTAAGGTTTTTATTCTAACAAGAGGCCCATGGGCCAAAAATGCTTACTGAGTCACCATTTGCACTGCCATTCTTCCATCAGATTTTTATTACCCCTATATTCCCATGAATTATTTTGACACCATATCAAGACTATCCTAGCCCCAAGAGGTTGTGCCATGACCAAAGTTGAATCCAAACTACATATGTATGTTGACTATCAATATGACTAATTGGACCTTACCATTTTCTGGAGAAGATTTTAATTATACACGTATATGAAAATGAGGTTTATACACAATATGAAAATGACGTCAATATGTAGGCGACTTGTAAAATTTGATCCCCAATTTTAGCTTCATCCTAACCCCCAGCATCCATAATTTTAACAAACTTGAATCCAAATAAATTAGAAATGTTTCCATATCAATATAAATTATTGTGGCCTTGCTACATTTAAATACATATATATATTAAAATTTCTTTTATTCATGTCATATCCCCCCAAAATCAGCAATTTTTTCCAATTGTTTTTAAGACTTCGATGTAAAATTTTTCCCACAATGGATGAAAAAGGCTGCTTTTAAATTAATATGGGAACTACATTGTATTTACTTGCCAATGCTCATACATACACTGTATGTGTATATATACATATATGTACATGTATGAATAATTTAATTTTGTTTGTATTCTAGCCTCTGATTGGTTAATATCCAAAAAGGAACACAAATTATTTCTGTATAACCTGGTTTGGTATGGGGACACACCCCCCTGACAACCAGCTGAATCGTCTGTATCCATGCAATCATCTCATTTCTAGTCCTCGGGATTCATGGAAAATTCCAGATTTAATAAATGTACCTTTTACTTCGAACAGTAACTCGGATCTTACCACATGTAATCAAACAACATGGCTGCTAGGACTATGTATCAGTTTTTACCTCCCCTCGCTTCCCATAACTTCCGTTACTACGGTTGTATTATTGAGCGGCAAATTTGAATTAATAAAAAGCAACGAAATTTTACAACCACAGTTGTTTAATGATTTTAAAATTAAATTATAAGGAATGACTCTAATTCTTGGCCAAATTATTCGAGTATAACCTGTTTTGGGTCAGTTTACGCTGTTTTATAATCCGCTTCGCGGATTATAAAGCGTAAACTGACCCAAACCAGGTTATACTCGAATAATTTGGCCAAGAATTAGAGTCATTCCTAAAATATTTATTGCATCATACTGTATATTTAAGAAATGAATTTAATTTTTGAAGATTCATGAGGACATGAACTACAATGCTTCACGCTGGCATATTTCATGAAACACGTTAGCGCTTCATGATAAATATGCCGGCGTGAAGCATTGTAGTTCATGTACCTCATGAATTTTCAAAAATTTAATACATATTTTATATTTACATTATTTTTCTGATGAGTTACCACAAATTATGCCATTCAACTGTCATTTTTAAAGCAAAACAGTTTGCACTATAGTTTTGACGTCAAGTTAAAGTATTATGACATAACAATGGAGATATTCATGCTCATCCATGGTAGTTCATGAGAAAATGAACTGTATTCTATTTTGTAAAGAATCATAGGGGAAATTTATTGGAAATGTAAATATATATACATGTACTGAATTCTAAAAACTTATATTTATCTCACTATCATAAGGTTTTAATTTTCCTAAATTACAGCATGACACAAACGGAAAACTGAAGTGTCTATATGAACACTGTCTTAACAGACAAACAGGGCCATACCATATGTTCATCTACAGATGGTAATGTAAAAATCTACACTGTAATGACAATCATTAGGAAATGGTATACAATGATCTTCGCAATTGCCTCAGTCATTAAGATTAAAATCTTTTCATTTTGGACAAAGGTATGAAAAATGTCAAGAATTTACCCTGCGAATCCCCCAGCACTGCCAGTGTTCTGTGGAGATCCTAGCTGATTTGAAAATGAGGCTCCACTACCAAACGTTGATCCTCCCCCAAATGTTGGTGCAGAACCAAAGCCAGGGGAGCTTCCAAATGATGCTTGTCCCCCAAATGCTGGACTCCCTCCAAAACTAGGACTTCCTCCAAACCCTATTAAATAGGAATTGAAAACATCTATGAGACACATGTATCTCCATTACTGCACACACATGGTAATTTTGTCTTTGAGGACTGTTCTCATATTGGCTTTTTCACTTGGAGTTATTTTATACATGCCATGTACCTGGTACATATACATACATGAAGCATACAAAGGGTGATCAAAAAGTTTGCAAACTATCTCTATATTTACAAAACCACAATTCAGATCAGAATGAAATTTGGCACATATACAGTCATACACATTCTATAAATACCATATGTAATGTAATGTTCTGCTCCATGTTTGTGACGTCACAATATGAAAATGACATCAATATGTAGGTGACTTGTTACAAAATATGATTGATTCAGTCATACTCGAGCAACGAGTAAAGTTTAACATATATCTCGGAAATTCTTTTGCAGTATCATATGATAATTTGTACAAGGTTTATGAAGGCAAAAGACTTGCCAGAAGTTCAATCTTTAATTGGATTGATTGTTTTAGTGAAGGAAGGGAGATGGTTAAAAATGATGTTGGTTCTGTTGCCCAGTGAAAGCAAGGCTGGGAAAGAGAAGTGTCCATAGTTGAGCAATTTGTCATGAAAGATCGCCAAGTTACTGTTAGAAAAATAGTTGAATATCTTAACAATAATATAATTATTAAATCCCTAAAATATCATTTTCTTTGGACTTTAAACATATTTGATATGATAAAAAAAAGGCGCCCAGACTTTATCCACTTTGGATAAACGACGCTCCAAAGGCAGAGGACTCGGGTTGTGATGGCCACCATCCTAATTCTGGGAAAGGATATCCTTATCCATTCATCCTATTGCCGAGATTTCGCCATTTCCGAGTTATGGATTGTTCTTGTTATAAAAAATAACTTGCATGGTAAGAAATATAAGACTCGGAAAAATCTTTTAGCTTCTGTGAACAGAACGCTACGGAGCATGTCACGTGACCGCTTGTATCACGTGATTCCAGATGGGCAGAACAGTGGCAGATGTGCATTTAAATTGGAGAGGACTACGTTAAAAAATAATGAACACTGAAACCTAATTTCTTTTCTTTTTTGAAGTAATTCAATTAGTTCGCAAACTTTTTGATCACCCCTCGTAGTTAAATCAAGAAATGAGATGCCTGCTGTAAATTGTTTTCAAATATCAGCTTCTGATGATTCTACCCTGTATAAGTACATATCCAAGTATTTAGGTGCACATACATGTGCAATGTATTAAAAAAGTTATTTGCACATAAGATAACATTTTTCTTTTGTTTTTCACTGTATGGGAAGCCAGGATAATTGTTACGTTGCTTATTACTTTTGCTCTGGATGGATAAATAGTAGGGATGGTAAGCTGTAATTGGTTAACTGGTTACTCGGTCAGAAAATCTGTAATGACTTACTCAGAATAAATAAAAATTATGTGTAAAGTTTAACACAATTTCCCCCAAAATTGATATTCTATTTAAAAATAACCCTCTGAATGTTGATGAGTTGGCATTTCACATAAATTTGGAGGTAGTAAGGTGCCCCCCAAATGAGATTGTGGGGGTACTTTGTCTGTTTGTGAAGTGTTAATTAATGTTAAATCCATGCACCCAGATTTAATGATATTAATTATATCAACACTGATTGCTGACAACAGTTTATAATTTGTATCTAAACTGTTTTTTATTTGCAGTTACTTCTAAAATCAATTATATTATTTCACAAAATTGTAAATTTAGTGATATTAAGACTAAGTTCTGATTTTGGTGACAATGCACAATGAACTTTTATCACGTCTGGTCTGAAATACTGTCAATGTCTCTGATATCTCAGGTATGTTCATGGCTTTCTATTTTTTTGTGTGTGTCTATTGAAATTGAAATGAAATAGTGTTCTGATCAAGCAAATTACAGAATAATAATAAAATCTTTTTCAGTCTTCTGGTGTATATGTGAATAGAGGAAAAGAAATTACTCGTAAAAAATATACATGTAACATGCACATTTTGACAGGATTAACCATTTAATAGGTTGGAACGTCTTGTGGTTAACCAATAGGCAATTCTGCATTCGATTGCCATCCCTAATAAAAAAGTGTTTTAAATCAGAAAGAGTAAACATACCACCAGGGCTTTGTGTTTTAGCTACGCCAAAGCCCGAAGATGCCACATTGGAACCACCTCCACTAAATCCTCCACCTGCAAATGGGCTAGATCCACCCCCACTTCTAAAGGTGCTAGGACCCTGACTACCAAACAGGTTGGCTATAAGTAGAAATAAAGGTAGACCAAAAACACGTGAAAAATTAACATGTAAATAACACTTTCAAAGGACCATAATACTGTGAAAATTGGGTAAGCAAAAATTACAGAAATTCAAAATCATCAACTATGCTTTGAATGGAATTTAACCTACAAAAGTAAACTTCTTCTGTTCCTTTAAAAAAAAAATGAATTACAAAAGCTGTTGCCATTACATAAACCTGCTATAATTATGCACAATCTGATGCTCACTTTGAGGGGTAGCTGAACTTCCAAATGATTGTGCTGATCCAAACACATTAGTTTTGGCCTTGTCCTCTGAGGGTTTACCACCAAGTCCTGAGAACATCCCACCACTTCCTCCACCACCAAACAGACCGCCAGATGACTGACCACTAGGGGCACTAAAATCAAATTTTACATTGAGTCTGACCATATAAATTTTTTTTTTCGGTAACCTAGAACTGCACTTCAATTTTTTGAAACTTTCATATCAAACATTACTGGGGATCTCAAATTGATTTCTGAGGTCCAGTGACTCCAGTCTATATTGTGACTGTGATTCTTATCTGTAATACCCCAAAACCCTCCAAGTTTTTTTTTGGTCATAGCCTTCAGTTCAAAATAATGATGTTTAATTGTATATTTGATGTCTTCTCATCACAAAACCTACATTTGTGAAGAGAGGAGCACATCAGTTACATTTGTAAAAATCTTACCTGCCAAAACCACCACCAAATGGACTTGAAGTGCTTCCTGTAGATTGTCCAAACACTCCTGGATTTGTTTGACCAAATCCTGACACAGAAGTGGTTGTGGCAGTGCCTCCAAATCCCAGACCACCCCCTGAGGTGCCAAATCCCCCACTAGAGGATGTATTTCCAAACCCTGTCCCAGCTGTAGAGGTTCCAAACAGTGGTGCTGGCTGGCCAAAAGCAGAAGAAGAGGTGCCAGTTGGTGTTCCAAATAAATTCTTTGCTGGACTTCCCTGACCAAATGTGGAACCTGTTGCAGGAGAATCTTCAGTGCCGGACAGGAGTCCTCCAAGCATTGAAGGCTTTGGTCCAGTAGAACTCTGACCAAACCCTCCTGACCCACTTTGACCAAATAAGCCAGTACCAGAACTTGAAGTGATAGACGTTGAGGAAACTTGACCAAACAATCCAGTTCCTGTTGTGGATGCCGTTGTAGCTCCTGCTGTTCCAAATAACCCACCTCCAGATGTGGAAATTGTGACTGACTGTCCAAATAAGCCGGAGCCAGAAGTTGAAGTTGATGTGCTTGGTTGTCCAAAGGATCCTGACACAGAGGTAGTTTGTTGTCCAAAAAGCCCACCTCCAGACCCTGAAGTTGTTGTTTGTTGTCCAAAAAGTCCAGCACCAGATCCAGAGGTTGTTGTTTGTTGTCCAAAAAGCCCACCTCCAGACCCTGAAGTTGTTGTTTGTTGTCCAAAAAGTCCAGCTTCAGACCCTTGAGTTGTTGTCTGCTGGCCAAATAATCCTGATCCAGATCCTGAAGTTGTTGTTTTTTGACCAAATAATCCCAATCCAGATCCTGAAGTTGTTGTTTGTTGGCCAAATAATCCTGATCCAGAGGTTGATGTTTGTTGTCCAAACAGTCCTGTTCCAGTAAAGGAAGTAGCTGTAGATGTTTGTTCAAATGCACCACTGCCAGAAGTTAAAGGTCTCCCAAACAACCCAGACTCTGAACTGGAGTAGGATGGTGGGGCTACTGTTGTTTGTCCAAACATTCCAGATGTGGCTGTTGTCTGTTGTCCAAATAATCCTTGACCAGCACTAGAAACTGTAGATGAAGATTGGCCAAACAGTCCTGTTCCAGAAGTTGTTGGCTTTTGTTCAAATAATCCTGATCCTGAATTAGATGATACTGTTGTCACAGCTTCCCCCTTAAATATCCCTCCTGCTGCACTGGTTGAAGCAGGCATTTTTGAATCTTGACCAGTGGGAGTGGCCTCAGAAGTTGTAGCATTTGAAGTAGTTAGTTGCCCAAATACACCACCTGCACTGGTTGCAGATGCTTGAGAAGAATTTGCTTTACCAAATAACCCAGTACCATCAGAAGAAGTTGTACTCTGGCCAAACAACCCAGTTGCAGCAGTTGTTGCTGGTGCTGATTTTTCTGTTTCTTCCTCCTTTGTAGACTTGTCCAAGAGTCCCCCACTGTGAGCAAAGGGCTGTGCAAACAGACTTCCCCCAGTTACCAAATTAGTCAATTCATATGGTTTACCAGCTGTTGGTGTAGCTTTGTCAGAAGCATCTGTAACAGATGCTGTGTTGCCTGTGGGTTGTCCAAATAAACTAGACCCTGTACTCGTGGACTGGCCAAACACCCCTTTAGATGCTGATTTGTCAGTCAATGATTGGCTTGATGGTGATTTTCCAAATCCAAACAGTCCACTCATGGCTGTCTTGCCTGTGGTGGACTCTGCCTCTGCTGTTGCTGACTTTGACTCTGTTTCTGGTTTCTCAGGTCCCTTATTGTCTGTGTTGGTCTGGTCTTTTGTGACATCACTTCTTCCAAAGTCTACTTCTTCTTCATCAGATTCAGTTGAGAGTGCTGTAATTTTATGATGAAACTCAATATCAAGATATCAGGTAATCAATTCTGCTAAACAAAATTATGTACTTGGAGGTAAGTCATGAAAATCTTCTGAGAGATAGAAACATACATTTCATTACACCAAGCAAATCTTTTTTCAGGATCTAGTACCTTTTGCAAGAAGTGGTGAAGAAATGGGTTTTGATTCTTCCATTTTATTTTCCTCAGTCTTGGGCGGCTGGCCAAACAGATTTTTGCCCCCAAATCCAGAGGAAGCATCACCTCCAAACTTGAAAGCTACAAAGTAATAATTTTATCACTCAGTATTTATAAAAATTAACAGAAAACTTCCACAAGTGCATTATATGAGGTGCAACATTCTAAACAGAATGTTCAAAGATGCAAAGTATATGCATTTTTAATTTGCATTTCTGTGGTCTGTTCATTTTTTGTTGAACACAAATTTTCACTGTTTTCATGGATGAGACAAACTACAAATTTATCTGATCAAGCACTACCTATTGATAGAATAGGACGAGGTAGCATTCCACAAAATTACATCAACAAAAGTGTATTGTTTGCCAATATCACAATCCCCACAAAAATTAATGAAACCACAGGTGCTTGTGATAAACTAGACACATACCAAAATCTTTTCATTGTTTTTGACAAGTTACACTTATTTTAATCATTTGAAAATTAAATAGCACATTTAATATTGAATTTTGGCACAACCCTACCTGTTTTGGGGGTTGAGGTGTTTGTTGGAGTTTTGTTATCAGTCTTGAGTCCTTGGAACCCTCCACCAAAGACAGGGGCTGTTTGACTTCCCCCAGAAAAGCTGGTAAACCCTGACAAACCCTGTCCAAAACCATGTGTAGGGAGCAGTGCTGGCTTTGTAGTCTTCACTGAAAAAGCTGTAGGTAGACCAGTGGCAGGCTTCCTCTCAGCTACAAGAAAATTTTAAAAAAGAAGTTTATACCCCTGGTACATCTCTATTTCAGTTTTCAGAACAAGTTACTATCTTAAATGAAGATTTTTTTTTTCCACAAAACCAGTTTATGAACTTTAAATGATTAATTAACTTGGCCCGGTTTCACAATTTAGTTAAGGGACCATATCTCATTGCCACACAATTTATTTGCTAATGAACTAGAAAATCGATACAGTCAGAGATGGCCCAACTAAGGGCTGTCAAAGGAAAGTGACAACTGTACTTTTAGTACAGACAACTGTACTTTTAGTACAGTAATGTTAGGAACGAAATACTGTATAAGTGGAAATTTTAGTGAGACGAAAATTTAGCGATGTATCCTAAAAAATTGATATTTATTTTTAGTGAGAAGTAATTTTAGCAATTTTGAAATGCTAACTAAAGAAGCTATTACAAATAAATTTTTAGCGATATTCGATTTTAGCAATTTCATCACCCTTGCTAATAATGCCAAAATTAAATCCTCGCTAAATTTTCTACTTATACAATATAGCACATAAGGAAGGTACCATGGAATCATTCTGATATATGTGTTAAATTATTATGTAAAGACTGGACATAAATATATAGAAGATATTCAATATGTAGTTGGATAAGGAATTTATTTCACGAGTGGGACAGGATTTTTTTTTATATATTTTTTGTGCAAAGCACAAGTGAATATATAAAAAAAAAAAATCCTTTCTCAAGAGTATCCAAATATTTTTTCCAGAAGCCTGAAAAGTAATTTGAACTGACCTATTTTCCTATTGAGTGGCTCAGAATCGTGTTCACTGTCCGGGTCTTGTTCCTCGTCATAATCGTCCTCCTCCTCATAATCATCGTCATCATCCTCTTCCTCCTCAGTCACATCAGAAGATGTTGTAGGTGTAATGTCCTCAAACTGCGGGTACGAATCTGACGGCTTCACTAAAAATGATTGCCAAAGAAAAAGAATTTAAGTCTATAGTAAAAAATAACCATTGTCAGACTCTGTATATGACCCAAAGAAACATACATTGTACATTTCTTTATGTATTTTACATGTAAATGTATATACTAAACAGCTCAGCATTAGCAAATATGTACAACAATGTTTGAAATACATGTTTGAAACATAAAACTTACAATTTTGGGGAACCTTTGGCTGGAAACTAATCATGGGGGATGAGGTCTTTCCAATGTTGGAAAACTGGAACAATATGGACATTTTCATTAATTATGGACATTTTCATTTTAAAACGACGATGGACCTAATTCATTTCTGTAATAGATTTTTTATTCAAATTTTAATATGAGGTAAAGTGACTTTTGGTGAGTTAAAATCAATGAAAAAATCATATAGTCATCGATATAGATTTTTAATGGGGAGCATTTCGAAAATTGGCGATGGAAATCGATAATTACTAAAAGGAAGTAAATGGAAATTGCCTGCCTGAATTCGGGTATAAGAGTGATCATTGAAAAAAATTCTGCAATAGAATTTTTGTTCATATTAAAGGACAATGTTTACTAGACAATTTACCAGCAAATTATGCCCAAAAATAAATGGGTGATCGGCTTAGATTTTTCAGGGGGGCATGTCAAACGCAGGTGTAGGGCACATTTTGGGGGGAATTTTCAATGAAAATACCTTGGCCAAATAAATGAATTATTTATAAAAGTAACAAATGAATATAAAATCGAAATATTTACAATATTTTTGAATTGAGAGGAAACGATTGAATATCTTTAAAAGAATTAAAAATGTATAATTTTTATCTTTTGTAATAGATAATTAAGTCAATTTGATTCAAAGCATATGCACGGTTTTCTGCGCAGTGGCTCGAAATTTCGAATTAGGTCCGTCGTCCTTAAATGCTAACTGTATTTCAACAGTCTTTTGTGTGGTACAAACATTTGCAAGCATAAAAAATTGTGAAATTTTGTAGCCAAGGAGAAACAACAATAGAAAGGACAAAGTTATGTTAAAAAAAATCAAAATGTGCAAGAAACACATAGTTTGAAAGAAAGAATTGTTTACTCTATTGTGTTTAATGATTTTGAGAACAAATACAATTATCTACATTTGCAAATTTTTTCCATTATATAACACTATTTGATCGATGTGTATTTATACCTGTATAAAACAGGTTTGTCACTTGACCATAAAGGCATTGTTAATTCGTAAATGATTGAGGAAATTTCACAGTAACGTCATAAGTGGTCGATGTGTTCAACATATTCAATCTACACCATTGATGTTTGGAAAAATATCATTGCATGGATTTCACATTATAATATGCAAATATTTGTTATAAATCAGTCACAAATCTAAATATAAGTAATAAGGTATCACTTTAAAACATTCATCGGGATATAAATACGGGTTGGTACATTACCAAATCTACCATATAACCCTTCTGGCTTTATATATCCATGTATATATCCAAATGAATGTTTAAAAATGATACTTCATTTCTATTTCTTAAATAATTTGAAATTTTAAAGAAAACTTATTCAAGTACCAGGTACATGTATGAAACCCAGAATACATGTACTGTGATAATTACCATGAGACCTTGCTGGTAGCTGTTTGGTTTGACCTGTGTGTTGAGCTGATGTTTGATTCCTGTCTCCTTTCCTGGGCTGAGAGGGTGTAAGCCCTGACTGGCAAGCTGGCGGGCTCCATTGTGAGAGGTGGCTCGTAAAATCGTCCTTCCTTGTATTGAAGGCTTCAACTCAGTTCTGACCTCTGAAAAATGACCATCAAATTTTACTAGAAACACCAAACATTTTTATTTTCCTGAAAAAAAATTTACTTTTTAAAATTTCTACAGAAAATGTTTTCTTTTCAAACTTTTTAATTTCACATGTGTTTATGCCTGTATTGAAATGCTGAATTAACAACGTAACAAACCTGCAGGAGGGGGTGCTTTGGTTGGTGAACTTTGCCTGCTAAGGGCCTGACGGATCTTTTCTGTTGAAGCCAGCCTGGACATTGACAAGTTCTCTAAAATCAGCAAAGAAATCAAATGAAGACAATATAAATATTCATACAAAATGCGCTGCTGTGGGCTTTTATCAAAAACTGTGATGCTTAACTTATAGGTAAGGTTGAAGACGAAAGATTTAGACCTGATTAAATAGCCTTCAGCAAGATTTATCTGTTCAAAAACTTGTAAATGGCTTCTTCACTGTATTCAAGAACTGAATGGACAAAATGAGGGCAAGTACATGTATATTGAGTAGATCATAAAAAAATATGACAAAGTAACACACTGTATTCCTGTGAAGAAAGCTACTTACCGGGTCTTGTTGACTTGACCTTTGCAACTGTTTTCCGAGACAGGTACTCTCTAAGTTTAGCCTGCTTGTGAGGAATAAGGGAATAATTTCTGGGTGTATTCTTGTTGTTTCCTGGAGATTTTGGGGGACTTTCCAGTAAGGAATCTGCCAAAGATGACAACTCCGCAGGTCCTCTATGATAAACACAAAGATAATATGCAATCAAACTAGAAATCTGATGAGTCAGCAAGGGCCCCGTCGAGGGGTAGAAATATAAGGGTGCAGATTAGGGGATGAGAATTTTACTTGATTACAAAACTTTAAATATATATAAAGAATAAGCAACAGCAACTGCTAAATATCCAATAACCTGTAAATAGTATCCTTGTATTTAAATAAGGCAGTAAAAAACCTCATATATCTATTATAACTAAATTAAATGTATATTTAAAGAAGAATGAAGCATGTGTTTTATAAAATGCCAGCCTTCAGTGAATGCAAATATCACCCAGGCTTGACCTTAACTTCAAAACAAATATCAGTTGCAGACAAAGGTGTTAATTAATCTCAAAGTGACAGAAAGATAACCCTCTAAAATTTTCTGCAAACCAGCAAGATAATCAATCCCAGGGGATTAATTATGCTGCTCTCTAAATCTTTTCTTCTAAGTTTACAATAAGAACTTTTTCAGCAATGATAGAATGAGGTTATTATCTGAATACCTGTTAAAATAAATAGTATTCTTGAATTTACATAAGGCAGAAAAAAATTTTAAAAAATAAAATCGTAATAAAAAAGATATCTTTATCTACATGTATATCTTGTTTTTAGAATTTAATAAAATGATAACTCATTGTGTATTTTACCAAAATAAAGTATGAACATTATTTAAATCCACATTTCAGAGAATGAAAACATCATTCAAAATTGACCTTAACTTCAAAACAAACTTCATTTGCAGACAGAGGTGTTAATTAATCTCAATGTGGCAGATAAAGATAAATGCTTTGGATCTTCTTCAAGAAGGAAGTTAATTAATCCCAAGAGACTCACTGCAGCCTTTCATAGTTTACAATAGGAACATTCTCAGCAGTTCTCTCTCTTTGCCCATTCACTCTTATACAAAGTTAAGAAATCTACCCCACCACCCCAGCTCCAAACCGGATGACATAGAGACCCAAACTTAGCATCAAAATATGTCTTACTGCCTATTCAACCAACATACCAAATTTGAACTTAATTGGTTGACCCTAAAAAAGTTATTAGAAAAAAAACAGAAAATTTGTGGATGGAAGAATGACAGACAGACAGACAGACGGACAGACAGATGGACAGACAGACAGACAGAGTGATTATTATAGGGCACCCGCAAATCCTTGCGGGGCCCTAATGAACACTTGATTTGTTAGTATATAGTCCACTCTGTTGGTTTCTACAGACCTTGATGAATCTGGATGTTTCCATGTGGAATTCTTGTTGTACAGCTTTAACTGTTTCAGCTGTGATTCCAAGTCACACAACTGATTCTTCTCTCTAATAATCAAATTTCTGTTGCTCTTTATCACCTGGTATATTCCATCAGTTGTGGGCCTTTTAATTCTGAAAAAATATACACACTGTTCAAGTTCATAACAAGAGGTCTGAGGGCCTTAATGGAACCCGAGTATAATACAACCCTGTAAAGGATCTATAGAAGTACATGTATATAATAAAATACAATGATAGATGCCAAAAACGAGATCAACAACATAGTCTAGTATTCAGCAACAACTCAAAACAGATCTAGTTACTTGTCTGTACTTGCCAGTGCTAATACACTCCTCTTTGTCACTATCAACAGACTAAACAATACAGCAGTGCTTGAGCACATAAAACTGTATACACTTAGTAAACCCAGCAAAATCCCTCTTACATTGGCCTCTCTTGGTTTTTGAATAACATTTAATGTACAAATATGAGTTATTTTTGTCTCATTTTTATTTACATATTATATACAAGTCTGCCTACAAATGAAAAACTATTAGTACTTTCTGTATTATAAATTAAAAAAAAATCTTGTGCACTTCTTTTATATAATTGACTTATCAATTATTTTATTGACAGTGATTATAGGTGAGTAACAGATAGGAGTAACTTCTAAAGTAGAGTACAAATTTCTCTACAAGATCAATACAGCCCTGCCTAGCACCAGCACTTCCCCCAATGGTCAAGAATTTCACAAATCTGGTAAAAACACCCTTACTCATTACAACTTTGTACTCTGTATCCTAGTTCCCAGAAGCAGAGAAGACAGTTTTCAAAGAACTAGTGCATTTCACTAACATTTTGTAAGACCAGAGCCCCTGACCAGGGGGAACAGGGACCACGAAATTAAAAAAAATTGTTTCCTTTTACCCATATATGCCAAAATTGGTTGAAATTGGTCTAGCGGTTCCAGAGTAGAAGCTGAAACTGTTTCAAATTTTATAACTAATGGACAACACATGACAAGGGATAAAAACACAGGCCTTTAGATCGCTTTAATCCAACTTACAAAAATTTTTATTTTAAGTTCCAGCTGTAATTATTTCCACTAAAATCATTCCAATAGGTCACTACTTCTGCACTCAATCTAATCTCAATTAATCTGTACATGTATATACTTTACTGAGCATGTATTTTGGCATATATTCCAAATTTAGCACAAAAGACCTTAGCACTCTCACTATTTGTATGTTTTATATTTGAATGAGATATATTTTGGTGATTTTCATGAATTAGAACTACGACACTAGTACATATATTTCTTTGCATTATAATTGAATAAAACCATATTTTGACTGTATTATTGAATTAGCATACAAAGGATATGCTTTACACACCTTTGTTTTTTATTATGCTGTTCTATCAGCTTTACACACCCATATTTCTTATTATGCTGTTCTATCAGCTTTACACATCCTTGTTTCTTATTATGCTATTCGATCAGCTTTATTGGCAACCTCAGACTAGTAACTTTATTACTGCCTCTAGCCCTTGGGCTAGTAGCCAGTATTGGAACTGCATAACCCTGTATTGTGCTATTCTATCAGCTTTACACATTCTATCAGCTTTACACATTCTATCAGCTTTACACATTCTATCAGCTTTACACACCCTTGTTTCTTATTATGCTGTACTATCAGCTTTACATACCCTTGTTTCTTATCATGCTATTCTTTCAACTTTACACACCCTTGTTTCTTATCATGCTGTTCTATCAGCTTTACATACCCTTGTTTCTTTTATGCTCTTCTATCAGCTTTACACACCCTTGTTTTTTATCATTCTATTCTATCAGCCTTACACACCTTTGTTTCTTATTATGCTATTCTATCAGCTTTACACACCCTTGTTTCTTATTATCATATGCTATTCTATCAGCTTTACACACACTTGTTACTTATTATGCTGTTCTATCGGCTTTATACACCCTTATTTCTTATCAAGCTATTCTATCAGCTTTACACACCCTTGTTTCTTTTTCTTCCTGCTTTGATAATCCTGCCATTCTTGATCTAATATGGCATCAACATCCCTCAGGCCCTGGTCAAGCAGCTGTTGTTGCTGCTGTAGATCCCTCATTGTGCTGAGACTCTTGGGGTCTAGAGCCCTGTTCCTCATCATAAGACCGTACTGAGGGTCGGTGTTTAGCTGCTCCCTCATCTTACAGTCCTCCACCATAGCGAAACAATCCAGACATAGGCCCTTCAAGTCCGATATCTCTTTACTCTGTTCCTACAAACAATCAAACTTGATGTATAGTACCCTGTAAAATCAATAGAAACTGCTTAGATTAGCACTTGAAGTGCAGTTCTCTCCCTTAGTCTATCTCAAAAAAACAATTTTGTCATTAAAGCAGGATTGATGAAAGTAAATCAAATAACAAATCATTTGTTTCTTTTCTGAAAAAAAAGTGTGATACAAATCTAGAGTATGTTTTTGCCCACATGGTGAGTACAAATTTTATCAGAACTTTTCTGGATTCCGACTGATTTGCTTCTACTGTAAATGGCATTTCAATTTCGCCATTTCCTAACCTATAAAACATTTTCTAGACCTTGAATTGCATCAACATTATTTCTATGCAAGGTCTCAATGTGTTAAAAGTGGAATTTCATACAAGTCATGTTGAAATCCACAGAAAAATGAGAGACTGTAGATAGCAATCTCAGAGATTTTGATATGAAAAGATTGAGATTTTTATTTTAATAAGTGGACAGAAAATCAAAGGCCCAAAAATATCAATGTGGGCTAGTAAAACTTGTAATGTTGGGGGCCCACATGGCCACTAAGGTTTTAAAGGTTATTTGCAACCCTGAAACAGTAATTAAAAAAACGATAAAACCTTGGTATCAATAGCAGAAAATTGAATAAAGATTCTCTTCACTGTACAACTGAGTTCTGAAGTCTATCTAAAACAAGCAAATTACATTGACTGTATCTATAGAATTTTGCTGGTTACCTTAGTGTTGGCCTTGACCTCTCCACAGAAATTGCTGACCTCTATTGTGCTGTTACGGAGTCTCTGCATGTCTGCCTTACTGCCGATTGTCTCCCTAACCGCTCCAGCTCGTTGTTTAAATTCTCGCAACTCTCTCTCAAAATGAGCAATCTTTATACAAAAAAGCATACATTTTAAAAAACATTACAAAAACTTGCAATATTTTCTCAAATTAAACCCTTATTTTTCAATTAAAGAATTTGTTTGTGAAAGTTTGTAAGTAAAATAATAACCAATAATTCTGCATTCATAAATGAATGAGTTTTAATTTACCTCCTCAGCAATAGATGCACTAAAAGTGTCATTCAAGGAATCAGATGTAGCATTAGAAGTCAACGTTTTCTGACTGGAATCTGAAAAAATACGGGGAATGATGTCTTCAAGTTGAACATACATGTACATGTAGTAACATACTCTAGCAAATCTGTCTCCACTATGTATGTGTACACAGGGACAAACACTGAACCCTTTTAGAGCAAATCTTTCAGTACATCAACTAACCTACTACAGATATATTGTGAGTCACTATTGTACATCAACTAACCTACTACAGATATATTGTGAGTCACTATTGTACATCAACTAACCTACTACAGATATATTGAGTCACTATTGTACATCAACTAACCTACAACAGCTATAGTCTGAGTCACTATTGAATATTAACCTACTACAGCTATAATCTGAGTCACTATTGTACATCAAATGACCAGCTAGATATATTCTGAGTCACTTGTACATCAACTAACCTACTACAGATATATTCTGAGTCACTATTGTACATCAACTAACCTAAAACAGCTATAGTCTGAGTCACTATTGAATATTAACTGACCTACTACAGCTATAATCTGAGTCACTATTGTACATCAAATGACCAGCTAGATATATTCTGAGTCACTTGTACATCAACTAACCTACTACAGATATATTCTGAGTCACTATTGTACATCAACTAACCTACTACAGATATATTCTGAGTCACTATTGAATATTAACTAACCTACTACAGATATATTCTGAGTCACTATTGTACATCAACTGACCTGTTACAGCTATATTCTGAGTCACTAGTCCTGTCACCGGTTTGCTTTCACTGGGTTCCTGTCTCTCAGCTGTGGGAGCAGGGGAGGGCTTTGGAATGCTCATACTTGTTTTTTTCTCTTCAGCGAGTAGACCCTGTAATGAAGCAGTGGGACCCTGGGTTGATGCTATTCCAGCTCCAGGCTTGGCTTGAGACTGCTGGGAAGAAGGTGTATTTGATGCAGATCTCAAATTCCCAAATGATGGCATCACCCCAGCTAAAGTAGATTTTGCTCCAAAAGTAGGAACAGACGACACTGAGGTGGATCCAAAACTTGGCACTGCAGACCCTGATGTACCAGCTATGAGATTTGGTTTAACTGCAGGTGAAGCTGGTGTCACACCTGCCTGAGTCGCTACAGCTGTCAATCCAAACTTGGGCAGAGTTGAAGTGGCAACTGATCCAAAACCTTGTTGTGTTGAGACCGTTGGTGGTGCAGACACACCAAATGTTGGCAAAGTTGATGCAGCAGTTGGTTTGACACCAAAAGCTGCAGCAGAAGAAGCTGAAACACCAAATGTAAAGGTGGAGGGTTTAGATGATGTGGGTGTGCCAAATACAACCTGAGACTGGGTTGCTGGGGTTGGGGTTGCCATCGGCTTGCTGCTGATGGGAGCAGCTGATACAACAGGGGTCTTGTCTGGGCCAGAAGATGAGGTGCTTGAAGAGGAAAAGCTAAAATTAAACCCAGTGTTATTGGCACTTGTGCTCTGTGGAGCAAAAGAAGAACTGATTGCTGTTGTTGTCCCACCAAACTTAGTGGAAACAGGTGCAGACGGTGTAGTGACAGTAGCATTAAAACTGAAGTTGGCAGATGGCTGAGGCTTAAAACTAAACTGAGATGGAGCAGCTGAAGAAGCAGCAAATCCTGTCTTTATAGTGGCTGCTGCTGCAGTTGTTACTGGTGCAGTGAGAGCTGATGCCAGGAAACTTTGTCCCACCTGAGTTGTTGCTGAGGCATTCTGACCAAAGATGGACCCAGCTCCTGCACTAGATGAGGATGTAGATGATGTAAAACTAAACCCCTGAGTAGCTGGAGCTCCAAACAAAGACTTTCCTACAGAACCAGAGGCAGAAAAACCAAAAGCACTGGCCTTAGAATCTGAACTCTGACCCTGGGAGACAGCTGGGCTAGCTACTGTCTGTCCAGACTGAGATTGTGGTCTTGCCTCTATAGGAGCAGTGTCTTTCTGTATGGTTCCTGTCAATAAAATTAAGGAAAACGGTCATGAATTAAACATAAAAACCTGTTGTGAACATTCTCAATGTTTTCAAAGTATACTATGATAAAAATTACCTTGAGTGTTTGACGGTTGTGGTTTTCTGACTGGGCCTGCTGGAAGTGGTTGAGGAGGTTGTGTGATAACCGGGGCCTCAGCATGACTGTACATCATGTAGTAAGTCACTAGTACTCCGTCAGTAGAAAGCAGCATGAACAATGGGCTGGGTGGATGAGACCTTTCTCCTGTAACAAAAAAGGCTTATATCTAAGAATGAGTAGAATATAATTGATAAGTTAATACAGACTGTGGTATAAAAACTTTTTTATTTTGTAACTGACACAGAATTCTGTACACTGCATTTTGAACAATAACATGAGATAATTTTCTTTATTATTTATGTATATCTGAAGATAAAGTACAACTTTTCATATACTGTATAGGGGGAAAATAACTCGCGGTGTTAATATTCGCTATATTCACGGTGTTAATAAATCCGTGAATTCAAGAAACAGTGAATAAGTTTTAAATATTAAACCTCAATGTTTTATTTGGAAATTTGAGAATAGACTACGATAGGTATATATACGTGTACGTACACTACATGCTCATTCAGTAATTACGAATAGTACTTGTCATTCAATTATCTTAATTATCACGCTTTACTTTAATTCAAAAAAGCGCTAATAACCTGTATTTATTGTTAAAAAGCTGTTTTAATAGATACAAAACACATGGGTCATGGGATTTGATTACCCGTGCGTAACGTTACCACGTGTATTTGTTACCTGCATTAGCATTATGCGTATTAGTTTTTATGGAAATTTTGGATTTAAAAAATATCATTCGAATAACTATCGAACTTGCTGAAGATATGGAAGGATGTTATTACGTCTACCTACATTAATACATTTATTAGCGTCCAGTTGTTTTTTTTTTCGCTGCGATGTGTATACCTTCGGAAAGATGTGTACACATGCACTCATCGTAAAAGCATATAGGAAAGTCATTTGACGTTTATAGTAAAAAAAAAAAAATTATAATAATAACCGCACTTGTTTTGATTAATCATCCATTAACTACTAAATCTAATCATTTTATATAAACCTACCCTGTTCGTGAAGTGAATACATAACGCTGATAAATGTCGTTCTTGCTATATTAGCTATGGATTACACAGATAAAGACAAGGGAGGTAACTTTTATTATACACCGATTCCGCGAATTCAACAAACCGCGATCGTGTCCGATTAGAGAAAAACATGAAAATTACAACCCGTGAAATTAATCAGTACTTTACAGTACTTTATGAAGATAGACAATAGGAGTTGATCACCGTGTTACTATGCAGATGACATTGAGAATTTGTCCTTGAGCATAAAATATCTTCACTCACCCACAGGAATGGCATACTGTGAGGACAGGTCTACAGCAGCTCCCAAAGGAAATGTGTCAGCATAATCCTCAGTCAGGGGTAGTTCAGCCCGAGCAGCATCATCAAGAGTCCAGCGCTCAAAGGTATTCTGAAAGACGCATCACATTGTATAGATTTATTGTTATAATTCAATGAACTGCTTAAGAATTTCTTGTAAACTACACATAAATTCTGTAACTACTCAATCCTTCAGAGAAAGGATGCATGTGAAATAGGCTATTACACACATTTAATGTACCTTGTTATCAAAGTGTTTGGCAACAATAGCTGTTTCACAAGCAGTGCTGGATGTGCACAAAACCATTTCCCTAAAAATAACGAGTTCAATTTAATCTTTAAAAATATATACCGTAATAAAATACATTGTAAATAAAATTTCAATGTAATGAATCTAAATCAATATGTGGAAAGCATTGTAAAGGTACATGTCTCAGTCTATTCTCAAACACATTCAAGACATGCATTTAATTATAAACTGAAGCATCATGTCATACATGTATGACATAAGCATAGACCACGAGAGAAAATGTATTTCTCATGGAATATGTCTTTTTATCAGATCATAAAAATTCTGATCTTAAGATTTTAATACCACTGTGAGATGTAATTGAAATGCATTTTGCATGCCATTCCTTCTCCATTTCCATAACATGGATCTTCAAAGTTGATAAAGGCTGGAGCCCCATCCTTCTGGAAAATCAATGATGAAAGAGATTTATGATGAAATGTACCAAAACTTCTGGCAAAATACTATGGTTTCACCACTGTGCACTGTATTGTAATTAGACAGTTATTTCTATAATACAAAATTCAAGCATATAATTTAAGGGAGCTGAAAGGGTTTTCTTTGTGGAAAAACTACAATAGAGAAACTCTTTACTTTTATACCATGTGCAGCCTACACGAACTTTAGTGTACAAGCAAAGTTTCAGGAAAATCTACCATCATAGACCATCTCAAAAATACACTATAAGATTTCAAGGGAAATACTTTTTTTCCCACTCTTAAGACAAATAACAAAAATACTACAGTTACTGTAGAACTTTTGCTCAAATTAAAATATGTGATTAATCATACTAGTTTGTGCTTTATATGTAAGAAACACAAAATTCTACCATCTGGTTTCCAGAGGGGGCATCTCAAAAATAATATCAAAATTTGCAAAATTTTCATGTTTTATGAAGTTCTGCAAAATATGACAGATACACGTATGAAGACTTTATGCAAAAAGAATCAGAAATAACTGTGAGATGTTCAAATGTTGTGTTTAAATTTCAAAAGCATATATTTTAGACCTTTTATTCTATAACACTTTTTATGACTCCCTCTTAAAGAACTACAGTTTATTCTAACGACACCACTTAATAATCATGTCCATCTACCTATCAGTTGAAAAATCATTCAAAAAAATTCAAAAAGTTCTTGAATAATGTAAATAATTTTTCTTATTTTCTGATTTCTTAATTTTGTTCAATTTGATAAACTATGTTGCTTTAAAGGCATAATTATGCTTTATTTCAATAAACTGTGTGAAGAATTGTGCAAAAGAAACCGCAGTCAGCCCCCTTAAATCACACCAGAGGTGTAGACGCAGTAAGTATACCCACCGATCCTGAAGTCAAGATGACTGTTGGCTGGTTATCAGATCCATCTGAGGAAAAGTACGAAGCCAAAAACATGTACGTAGATACCCATGCTACTCCTTTTACTACAAAATTAATAATAAAAATTTGTAAAAACATGTTAATACATCAAACTTTTACAGACTCTGTAAAGAAGTACCAACATGACCATTTGAAAAACTGCATTGTGAGCAATGAATGGGGCAAATTGTGTAGGTAAACATATATGTATTACAGTGAGTTTATAATACATGTACCAAAATATTTAGTTTAGACAGGTTTGCAGAATTTTAGTCACCAAGGAGTACATGTATGCTAGGCACACACTGTATCTGTTACAAACCTTCAAACTGCTGGTCCTCTGGCAACACTGAGGGTCTGTCCCAGTCTCGCTTCTTCTTAAGTTCATGGTCAAACTGCATCAGAGTCCCATTACCTGTGCCAATCACCAGTTGCTTCCCTTTTGGGCTCCAGCACACTGTAATTTGATTTTAAAATTCATGTACGAAACATTTATTAAGAAAACACACTGAGTACTCATACTAATATCATGTAAATGCTTTAAATTAGAATAAAATTACAACTGAAAAAAACCTTTGTTAATTTTAACAGAAAATCATTATTTCAATAAGAATTTATTTTAAGGACCTGCACTGAATATTAGATGAGTTCCTAGAACTTACCACTGCGAGCCGCCACAACTGGTGGGAGAGAGGCTACAATTTTGAGGTTTTCTGTAACCTCCAATAGCTGGGCAGTACCATCACTCATACAAACCACAATCAGTGTTGGCTGAGTCGGATTCCAGGCTAAATCAAGTACAGAATTCCTCATACGAATTTTCTGAAAAGGTTCTGCTTCCTGACCCTATTATATAAATACCGGTATATCCCATAAATATAGAATACATGTACTAAATGAGGATTTGGGAATTACTAACTAAGCTAAACTATTAATGCCTTTAAGAATTCTGATACTTGTATATAATTTATTCATCTAGTAATTTTTTCTTTTCACTGTTTACAAGGGGAGGGAGGGTAGCATAAATCTAACAATGTCTCATCTATGTGTGCTACCTACTTGCATGTTTTGTTTAAATTATTCTTATTTATTTTTTTTTTTTTAAATCAACTTTTCTAATTCAGAGGCACTATAAAAAAAAATTCACATGTATCACATAAAAAAAATGTGGGCGTACTTAGCGTGTGATCTCAGGAATTATATGTATGAAACAATTATAGTTTAAATGTCCATGATTTGGTCGACTGACCACAGCTGGACAGACCTTACAAAGTTACTCACATTGGAAGATATTATTTACATTGAAATACCTTGTTAAATTGTAATAGTTAAGTCCACTAATATTAATAGTTACCATAACACAGTAACACTTCACATCAATAATAAACACCTACATGTATAAGATAATAGCCTATTAATGGGTATAGTTAAATGCAATTATATGAAAGTTTCAGTAAGTTCCAAGAATTGCTTTTGCTCTCAGTGCAACTGAAACAACATTCATCAATTCATTTCTTTAGATTAAAATACACATTAAATACACATAACTAACATTTCAAAATCATGGAGAAATGACTCAGAAATAGCAAATAACTAGAAAAACATGTTTAAAAATGTAACATTTTGTACAAAATGACTCATCTAGCCAATTTTCAAGCTATTTTTGAGCAAATCAAAACACAATATTGGGAAAATATTTCCCTTTCCTATTTCATAGGAATCCAATACATCAACAAAAAAAATGCTAAAATTTCATGTGACAGATCAATGAAATTGTCACTTTTCAAGTGTGCCCAGATTCCTGCTGAATGCTAATCAAATGTGCCCTCATTCTTTATGCCTCATTTTCTTAAAAAAGATATCCATAGTTTTAAAAAAAATCACACAGTACATAGTTCAGAGAGAGTTGGATAAATACTTAAATCTTCATTAGTTAAAATCTGAATCCAAGTACAATTCCATCAAAAAAAGAAAAAGATCTAGAGACCTGATTAGCGACTCCACGCACATCATACATATATATTTGAACAACGCTGTCAAGGGAGACAACTACAGCTAACGTCAGTTCATCACAGCTCAAACACAGGTGGGACACAGTGCCCTCTACTGGGATGCTCGCTCTAAATGGAGGATCTGGCACAACCAATGTTGTTCTTTCTGATGCATGTCTATTGTCTATATCGGTCAAGTCAGATGTTTTAATAACTTTGAATCCTAAAATTAAAACATCAGTTTAGTAGAGGGTAAATAACAAACAACATCAAGTGTTCTACAATTGAGTATTGCTTTTAGAAAGAAGATGTGCAAGTCTGGTCATTTATAATATACATATTTCATTTCAGGAGGATGAATTTTCTAAAATTTTATAAATGTTATTATACATGTGTCTATAACTAAAACAATATACCAAGCATTCAACTTTAAATTAATTCTGGAATTATTTGATCCTCTATGTCTTAAAGGGACCTAGACACAGTTGCAATGTCTACATTTTAAATTTCTGTGCTTATTCAAAAAATTAAAACCAGTTAAATGAACTGAAATTACATGAACATTCTTAAAACTCAATGACAACGACATTCTTTTTTATATCATGTCAAACATCTGTTTTCGTAAACAGGGCAAGCACTCTATTATTGTTAATGTTTACGTTTCACTGGATGTGTTCAATTTGTTAAACTCTGCACACATCACTGAGCATGGTGAGTTGGTTTTGCTTTCTCACATTTCTATTCTGAATTTTCTTAATCTGACATAGTTTTAATATTTTTCTTTAATACAGTTGAACTTCGGTATCTCGAACACCGATATCTTGAATACCATGGATATGTCGAAGTGATTTGGGAGTCACAATCACTCATTCTATAAGTATTTTACCCTCGATATCTCGAATACTCTGATATCTCGAAGTTTTTCCTCGGTCCCATTGATTTCGAGATAACGAGGTTTGACTGTACATAATAAAATTTCAACTTTTTGAAGTATTAAGTTAAAGTTACTTTGTGAAAGTGCAAGGATGTGTCAATCAAATGTGTCCCGAAATTCGTAGTTTCAATAATTGCCAGATAAAAAAGTTTCTGAACACGCTTTTATTATATTACCATATAAAATGCTAAAGCAACATATAAGTCATGAAATTATACAGAAAATTTGAGAAAATATTAACTTCAAATCTGTGTCCAGGCCCCTTTAAAAAAAATATTTCAGAATACTCTACCATTTGTTGTTCCTAGAAATGTTAAACCATACAGTGATGAACTGGCAACCAATTGTGTAACACCTTGGATTGGATTTCCTGGCTGATCAAATATGCGTATCCTGCATAGTTGCTGAAAGCGGAAGTCCTGAAACAAATGGAGCTAAAATTATTTCAGTCTATTCCACTTTAATACAATGTATCCATGTGCTTCAAGTATATAAATGTTTCTGCCTAAAAAACTCTAAAGTACTCAAAATTTTTTGTAAAGATTAATCCATAATCCCTGGGGGCCCAGGGTTGGACAGAATATAGTAAATGAAAATCTTGGTCCAAGTAAAACCAGAAGTCTTTGATGAGACTGCATCTCTGATGTTTTTTTTTAAACCTGAAAAAGGTAAATAGTTGCAGGGTATATGCAGATGAGTATGTAAAATGGCAAGTGAAAACAAGACATGAATAAAGCAGTCATTGGTTTGGGAGAAATGTGGCATACCACTGAAGCAAGGAAAATGCCAGGAGATACATGTAGCAGTGGAGAGGTAGGAAACCAGGTATTTGTGGGAGATACCCACAGACCACAGACAGGGGTATCTAATCAAGATGAAATCATTACTTTAATTGTCCCCTGCTTTGTGAAAGTGAGGGGCATTAAATTCCATTCGTCTGTCAGTCTGTCCATCTGTCAGAAAAACTTTAACCTTGGTCATAACTTTTGAACGAGAAGAGATAGGACTTTCATATTTCACAGTCATGTACACTTCCTGTGACAAGACCTTTCAAGACATACTATAATTTTTGACCCCATGACCTTGATCTTGAAGTCTGATCTACTTTTCAAAAATTTTAACATTACATTGAATTGGTCATAACTTTTGAATGAGATGGGATGGGGCTTTCATATCACACATATATTACCTGTGACAAGACCTTTCTAAATGTACTATGACTTTTGACCCTGTGACCTTGAAGTTTGACCTACATTTCAAAAATTTTAACATTACTTTAAACTGGTTATAAAATTTGAATGAGAAAAGGTAGGGTTTTCATATTATATAAGAGGCCCAAGGGCCCAAATTGCTCACCTGCACACTGTGGCTAGGTAAAAAGCAAAAATCAGTTTAGTATTGAAAAGCTTGAATGCATAAGTGGTCCCGACCTACCCTTAAAAGGGAAGGGATTTGAACAAAATTGAATCTACACTAACTAAGGATGCTTACATAATTTTTTTTTGACTGTGACATTTTTCCCTACAAGTTTGAACTTTCATTGTGGTCCCACCCTACCCCCAAGGGGTCATGATTTGAAAAAACCTGAATCTACACTATCTGAGGATGCTTCCATATCAATATGACCAATCAAGGCTTTGGTCTTCTTGAGAAGAAGATTTTTAAAGATTTTTCCTATATATTCCTATGGATGCTTCCATATAAATATGACCAATATTCTTGAGAAGAAGATTTTTAAAGACTTTTCCTATATACTTCTATATAAAAACTTTGATTGTCCATTGTGGCCCCACCCCACCCCCGGGGGTCATGATTTGAACAAACTTGAATCTTTACTAACCCAGGATGTTTCCATATAAATATGACCAATCATGGATTTGCTGTTCTTGAGAAGAAGATTTTCAAAGACTTTCCCTATATATTCCTATTAATTATGTAAAACTTTGATCACCCACTGTAGCCCCACCCTACCCTCAGGGGTCATAATTTGAACAAACTTGAATCTACAATACCTGATGATGCTTCCATATAAATATGACCAATCTTCTTGAGAAGAAGATTTTTCTTATGTAATACTATGCAAAACTTTGATCCCCTATTGTGGCCCCACCCTATGCCTGGGGGTCGTGATTTGAACAAACTTGAATCTACATTACCTCACAATGATTCGACATAAGTTTCATACTTTCAAGCAGAGTGGTTCTTGAGAAGAAGATTTTTAGATGATGCCTTTAATTTTTCGCAAAATCATAATGATCTCCCCTTGGAAGAAGGTGTGGCCCTTCATTTGTACAAACCTGAATCCCCTTTACCCAAGAATACTTTGTGGCAAGTTTGGTTGAAACTGGCTCAGTGGTTCTTGAAAAGAAGATGAAAATGTGAAAAGTTTACCACAACAGACAAGACAACGGGCAAATTTCGATCAGAAAAGCTCACTTGAGCCTTTGGCTCAGGTGAGCTAAAAAGCAATCTAAAGCAGAGATAGTTTTGACATTGCTGCTCTTGAACACTTTTAAGGAAAATTTTATTTCCATTGTTTGAGTAACTGTACACCACCTGAATTCTGGATGTTTCTGGACCGTGATGTTTCGGGACCTGACAACACGTTTCGGGACTTGGGACAACACGTTTTGGGACTTGGGTTAACACATTTCGGGACTTGAAATAAATTTGTTTGAAACATGAATCAGATAATGCAGTACATGCTTAGCATGAAATAAAAGAATTTTAGTAGGCCTATAACACATTAAAATAATGTCGACATAAAAAAACAAGAGACCCATGGGCCACATCGCTCACCTGAGCACATTGGCTTGACAAAAGCACAAATCAGTTCAGTATTGAAAAGATTACTGGTGGTGGGGGGGGGGGGGGGGGGGGCTTGAATTTTAAACTACCTGATGATGCTTCCATGTCAATAAAACAAATGGCTTTGTTGTACTTGAGAAGATTTTAAAAAAAATTTCCCATGTATTCCTTTGTAAACATTTGATCCCCCATTGTGGCTCCTTCCTATCCCAGGGGTCATCATTTGAACAAACTTGAATCTACACTACCTGAGGATGCTTCCATATCAATATGACTAAACATAGCTTTTCTGTCTTTGAGAAGAAATATTTTTACTATATGTTCTTATGTAAAATTTTTGATCCTGCATTGTGGCCCGACCTTATCCCCGGGGGTCATCATTTTAACAAACTTGAATCTACACTACCTGAGGATGCTTCCATATCAAAATGACTAATAATGGCTTTGCAGTTCTTCAGAAGAAGAAATTTTCCTATATATTTCTATTTAAGACTTTGATCCTCCATTGTGGCCCCAACCTACCCCCCGGGGCATGATTTGATCAAAATAGAATCTACACTACCTGAGGATGCTTCCATATAAATATGATCAATCAGGGCTTTGCTGTTTCTGAGAAGAAGATTTTTAAAGATTTTTCCTATATATTTCTATGTAAAACTTTGATCCTCCATTGTGGCCCCGCCCCACCCCTGGGGGTAATGATTTGAACAAACTTGAATCTACACTACCTGAGGATGCTTCCATATAAATATGACTCATCATGGCTCTGCTGTTCCTGAGAAGATTTTTTTAAGGTTTTTCCTATATATATATCTATGTAAAACGTTGATCCTCAATTGTGGCCCCGCCCTTCCCCCGGGGATCATGATTTGAACAAACTTGAATTTACACTACCTGAGGATGCTTCCATATAAATATGACTCATCATGGCTTTGCTGTTCTTGAGAAGAAGATTTTTAAAGGTTTTTCCTATATATTTCTATGTAAAACTTTGATCCTCCATTGTGGCCCCGCCCTACCCCCAGGGGTAATGATTTGAACAAACTTGAATCTACACTACCTGAAGATGCTTCCACATGAGTTTCATCTTTCCTGGCCCTCTGGTTCTTGAGAAGAAGATTTTTAAAAGATGCTATTAATTTTTCACTAATTCTTTATTATCTCCCCTTGAAAGAGGGAGTGGCCCTTCATTTGAACAAACTTGAATCCCCTTCACCCAAGGATACTTTGTGGCAAGTGTGGTTGAAATTGGCCCAGTAGTTCTGGAGAAGAAGATGAAATTGTGAAAAGTTTACAACGACGACACCGACAGACAACGGACAAATTTTGATCAGAAAAGCTCACTTGAGCCTTCGGCTCAGGTGAGCTAAAAATGTTGAGCGTGTGCAGTATTTGGTCAAAATATGTTCTAAAAAGGCTGAGATACTTCGAACTCTTGAAGAATTTGAATGCTCAATAGTTAGTCAACTTTTTCCTTCAAATAAAGTATTTAGATTAAAAAAAATAATTGAAATATTTAAATCCGCATTATTAATTTTTATTTAGGAATATTTTTTACATATATTTACATATACATTTATATTTTTTACATATATCCTATGCAAAGGAGCTCAGTCAATATTTTAATCGAATACACAATCATAAAATTATCGAGGTCATTTTTGAAATTTTACAATTCAGAAATTCACATGTATGGGATTTATCAAATGTATATATTCTGATAATTTTCATTTGTAAGCGAAAATAATCGTGTAAAATGCATTTTAATCCCGATTTGATGCTTGGGTGAATAATATTGTCATCCGCTTTCAAAACTTAATTCCGACTGACATTAGGAGAGAATAAATACAATGTAAAATAAATATTTTTTTAATAATTATTTTTTTTCATTGTTATTTTTCTTCTCAACTTTGTATTAATATCTGTTACTGCTGTAAAGCTCCTGCATTTATTCTTTAATTATATTTCCTGTAAGTTCAACCATATTCTGTTGCTTTTTTTTTTTTCTCTCTCTCTCTCTCATACATACATATTGTACAAATCCATTAGATTTCTTCTGTATAATTAGAACGTCATTCATTTGTGTGAATCGACATGATTTCTAATTTAACATGTATGCCAATTTCAAATATTAGTTTTTAAGCAGCTTCAAACTGTGTTTTGTAACTATCTGATAAGGATCTGTCATCTTAATCTTAATAATAAGGAAACGGATTAGTACAAGTTTTCAAATTTGTTTCCGAATCCTTTTTGATTTTTTCTACTACTTGCCTGTATTTTCTGCTTGTCATTTTCAAATAAAATATGGTTTAAACTAAATTAAATATACGAAGGGTGTCCCAGAAAAACGCAAACTTTTAAAATATTTCATAAAATACCTTACCAAAGTTATTTCCAATTTCTAACTACTGTATTATTTAAAAGTTCATTTCAGCTGGTTTATTCCTAAATTCTGTATACCAAATTAATTGAAAAAAATAAATGAATTAATAATTAGTAATTAATAATTAGTTACTGGAAGCACAAAACATTATCTGGCTCATTATAACATTTAAAAACATTTTTAAGATGTTTTCAAAAAAGATTATGGTATTATTTCTAAGACACATTTCATGGAATTGATTTAAAACGTTTTAAATCAAAAATGATACTATAAATATGTCTTATTTGCAAATTTTTAATTCATGTTTTGTTTTGAAAATGTTTATAAGACATTCTAGATTTAAAAAAAAAAATGATTCCGTCACTAGGTCAACTTGAATTTCAAATTCCACTTGGTCACATTAAATAGATATTATGATGAAATTTAAAAGGTTTAAAACATTTTTTTAAGGTATGTCACTCGGGACATTTTGAAAACATGTAAATTTTTTGTTTTTATGATTGGATATTACTATTATCAATATTATCTGAATTATTTCATTTACCAATAAACAAAAACAATGAGCAATAATATTTTTCCCCACATTTTTACATCATTATTTTTAAAAAATAATTTCAAGAGAAACCATGAGACACGCAACCTATTCAGTTCTCATTACCGACACGCCTTCAATTAACACTTCCCTTTGTGTAGTATCAGTCGGGATATGTGTGTGTGAGAGATCCTAATTGTTGTTTTAACAATTTTATGACAAGTCACATGTTGTTTTAAACATATTGAACGGTAGCTGGAGATCACTTGAATAAAAATTATCAATTATCATTTTAAATAAATTTCATCAACATGAGAAATCTTTTCTAAATTATGATTCAATCCCCCCCCCCCTCCCAAATATAGTATTAAAAGTTTTACTTGCCTTCATCTGTTGTGAATAAAACCTTGAAGTATATTTTTTATGATAATATTAAATATACATGTATACAACATACAAATTAATTATATACATGTATAAATAAATTATAATGCAGATTTAGCTTGAAATAATTTTAAATTACGTGCTATGTGTGCTTAGAAAACATACTATATCACCATAATACAATAATTTGTTGAAATCCCGAAAAATTTAACCCAAGTCCTGAACCGTTTTTACCCAAGTCCCAAACCGTCTTGTCGCTAGTCCCGAAACGTCGTATCAGTCAGGTCCCAAAACGTCGGGGTCCCGAAACATGTGCACCCCACCACCTTGTGTACGATGAGGCGTGGATAAGTGTGATTACTTCACATTGTGCTCATGTTAACCAAAACTTGTTTCTTTGTTATTTCACTCAAGAAGTAACTGTTAGGTTACAAATTAACTGTTGTATATAGCTCCAAAACTCTTAGAACTTTGATTGCAATTGCGCAGAAAAAGACACATCTCCAAGAGTGATTTTTTCATGGTTTGTTTTCAGATGAGTTCAAAGTTGAAAATTATCACTGCATCAAGGTGCAATTTTATGCACTTTCTGGGGGAAAATGCTAATTTAAGAAATTAGTTTGATTTAGTAGCTAAATAAAGCTACTTCAGGTAGGTAAATTAAGCTATTATTTAATTCAAGCGACGTAGCTAAATTTAGTGATTGTACCAGACCTGTGGATAGAGCCATGAATATATAAATGCTATTTTTTGTCTTCTATAGGAAAAAAAACAAACGTCTGGTATATTTGCTTTTAGACATAATTGTAGTTAATCAAAGACATAAATATTGTAGTTCCTGCTTATAAATAATACCTTAACTTCTCTTTCTGGGGGATCTTCATTACTCGCCATTGCGCGCAGAAAAGTAAGAAAACTGAGAATTCTCAACTTTCACTTTGAATATTTCTAAGTCAAAGAAACGTTTTAAGATTTCATGCTATTTCTCTTTGAGGAAGGCGTTGAAGTGATTGCAATATTTGTTTTTCGGGATCTTTCTAAATTTATTTTCCGGAGTAATGAAAAACTTAAAGGAAACCCGAATGGTGTTGTCAGGTACATTAGTCATGCGCACACTCAACTTCCTACCCGAAAGAAACTCTGGATTATTATATTACAGAAGTGAACAGAGTTTTGCAATCCCCTATCTTATCCCGTAAGTTTCATTTCTGCTTTTTGATATAAATTATATAATTTCCGATTTAAAAAAAAGAACAAAGGTATTGTTAATCTTTTATACAAAGGCCTACTTATCTTTCTTTTATAAATCTATAAAATTCAAGGTAAGTGTTTTTAAAAGGAGGTTGATGTACAGTACACAAGGACATGTTCATAAAATAATAAAAAAGAAGTACATGTATATCCACGGTAGATAGGGCTGCATGTGGCTCTCAATATGTTGAAAGTACCAAATACCAAATGCATTGGTAGTGTAAGGAAAGGAGAAAAATGTGACAGACGGTGAGACCAGTCCATGATTGTAACCTGGGCCCCCTGAATCACTAGTCATATACTCTACCAATTGAGCTATCTGGCACTGGGGTCTTTATTTTTGGGTTACACTGGTTACAACTCTATTCCTTTGGTGACAATCGGTTACAATGGTTACAGATCATCTAAAACCTAAAGGGATCTTTATTTTTAGGTTACACTGGTTACAACTATATTCCTTTGGTGACAATCGGTTACAATGGTTACAGATCATCTGAAACTGAAAGAGGTCTTTATTTTTAGGTTACACTGGTTACAACTATATTCTTTTGGTGACAAATCATATAAAATCCAAGTGGGAACTTGTAGATACAGATGTAACCACTGTAACCATTGTAACCAGTGTAACCAATTAATAACTGAATAAATGAAAAATGCTGACCTGTTCACCAGAAGCTGTGTTACTGGTTACAAATGAAGATAAGAACTAATCACTTTGTAACCACTGTAACCAGTGTAACCCTGTAACCTTTGTAACCAGTGTAACCAATGAAAAACTGAATAAGTGCTCCCCAGTGAAAAGGCTATGTAACCTGTGTTACTGGTTACAATTGAACATAGGTGAAAGTCAGCACTAAATTCTTGCCATATATGTAAAGGTCTTTGCCCCCAAAGACACTAACCCAGGCTCTTCCATGGCAGGTCTTCCATGGCAGGTCATTCACCTGTCACTTCCAGGACACAGTGTTCGATGGTCTGAATCTATCTCAAGTTAAATCGGGCTACACCGATCTGAATTGGTATAGACCGAATTGTCTATCCCAATTTCGGCCATGTGTAAATTGAGATTGAATAAAAAATTTCAACATGTAATTTAAAAAACAAAATGATTCTGAGAAATAGTTTTATATTTTTATATTTTGTGTTAAAAGAATTATTGTTAAATCTCATCATTCAGAACATTGTGTATCTTTCGAAAAATGAACAGTGTACTATTTTTATCCAATGCTCGCTTCCTGTTGTGCATCTGTCATGCAGGAAATCCTGACCGCTGGTTGCTGGAAGCATGACATTAAACACAAAGTGAATAAAAAAAAATAAATTTAAAAAAGTCCAAAAATGGGAAAGCTACAAAGATGATTTTAGAGTTCGTGTCTTTCACAAACATAAACTGGTCTGCTGAATGAAGTTCATATACAACGAATCTTAATGTATACACGGTGCAGATTTTTGTGATAAGCATTAAGCACGGACACTGATTGATTTTATACTTTATTTTCACAAGTTAATTATGAAAATGTAACAGATACATGTACTTCAATATTATGAATACGAAAAAATATGTATGAATAAAAACAAGTGCACATTTTTCATCTTTACTTTTTCTTGTTTTTGTGGGCAGTCCTATTTGTCTAAGGTCTATCCCACTTTAAAATGAGATAGTCCAATGGGCTATTTCATTCTCCTGTTTAGTTTCGCACACTGAGGACATGGTACAACATGAAATGTAACAGGCAAGGAGATAAATGCGATGGACCACATCAAGATTTGAATTTGGGACCCCTGAATCACAATTAAAGTGCTAAACCAAATGAGCTATCTTGCCAGGGCTTTCAAAAAGATTAGAAACAGGCAGTTATTTTACAAAAATTGGAGGTACCTTGTGGAAGCAATTTTTATTAAAAGTGTTATTGAATTTTTCTCCATCAACATGATCAAACAACTTCACAGAACATGAATTAATTGTTAAGAATGTTGGATCCTGATCCAATTGATTAAACCGCTAAAATAGTGAAAACGAGACAACTGTTAATATATACTTAGACTTGGATATTACTGCTAGAAAAAGAATGAAAAAATCAATGAATGAATGAATATTAATTAAGAAGCATTTTGATGAATATTTACAGAAATTAATGCTATGATACATTATAATGAAAATCAGAAATAAAAAAAAATATAATGGATGATCGATAAGAGGTGCACTTTTTACATTTTTTTAAGAAAACAAGCTGAAATTTATACCTCTGAGATTTTTTTAAAAATGGAATTTTATTTGGATATTTTGTTGTATCACACCATCATGTTTTCAATGTTTTTCAAAACCCTTGTTTTCTTTAATAAAAACATGTCTCAAAATCCTAAATTCAATTTTTTTTAACCAAATTTGTGAAATTTTCTTCAACAGAGAGTTCCAATCATTTCTCTTTCTTGACTTTTGTTTTACATTTAGAAGTTGTCTTGAGAATAAAAAAGTTGCATGCAACAAAAAGAACTAAACTATTTATCAGTAACTTTTATTTGATAGCATATTCAACATGTTCAAACTTTACACAATAGTTATAAATTATTTCAGTACAACATGGCTCAGGCTGTGCCAATGGAACCAGCTCTTGCTCTAGACCCAAATGCAGTTCAACAACAGCAGGAGCAGGGAAGCATGTATGGATGTTTGGCCAATTTTGAAATTGACAAAAGAATTGGAAAAGGACAGTTTTCTGAGGTTTTTCGTGCAAGATGTAAGATAGACAACAGTGTTGTTGCCTTGAAGAAAGTCCAGGTAAAAAAAACATTATTTTGTAGTTTACTGTTAGTTCAGGATGGGATAGGAGTAGAGGGTCAAAGTTTATACTTGAAAATATTGGTGAGAAATATATAAAAATCTACTCGAGAACAGCAAGACAACAAGAAGTTAACTCAATACATTACAGCACTCAGATGTAGTGTTCATTCAGAATTGTGCAAATTTAAACCCCTCCTTCCTTTTCCCTCCTTATACTAGTATATTAAGACTTTTTTCAATCTCACAAAAATAAGAAACTCCTGATCGTAAACTCATTATTATTCAAAGTGTACAAGATTAAAAGTGTAAAATTATGTTTTAAGATTTGTGCCACCTTAAGGGGTTTCACAGGTTTTAATGAGGAATTCTTGAATGCGGAATATGACTTACGGGCATCTTGTTGAATTCTATTCTTAGATATTTGAAATGATGGATGCAAAAGCCAGACAGGACTGCATTAAGGAAATAGGACTACTTCAAGTATGTATTGCTTGGAATGTACCCATAAATTTTGTTAAAAATAGGTATAATAATGAAATGTTTTTGAAAATACATTTTATCAGGCTATTTTAAAGAACTAAGTGTACAGGTTTACCTAGTATCATATATAAACATCTACTTAATTTCAAGAAACATACTTCTTGAAATTTAGTATACATGGAAATATGGTAGGGCCATCTTTAAAAAAATGTCTGTCAGCTCTCTCCTAAGGGACTGGCTCAAAATGGCCCGACTCAGAAACTTTTTTAAACCTCCAGGAAAGGATTTTTTTAAAATTCATTCCAAAGTTTTCTCATCCCCATCAACATCGATTTTATTTTATTGATGCCTTCATTTTCAATAATTTATGAAAGTTCAACATTGATGTTGAAAATTTATGGAAAAAAAAATTCCTTACCTACCTACAGACCCAACTTGTTTTTCCCAAGTCTGGAAAGGGCAAACAAACATAGCCTAATATACCTTTTTTCAGAATTAAAACAAATCTATATTTTTTTAACTACAGCAATTAAATCACTTGAATGTGATTAAGTATTTGTCATCCTTTATTGAGAACAACGAACTGAATATTGTACTGGAGTTAGCTGATGCGGGAGATCTCTCTAGAATGATCAAGGTTTGTTTTTTTTTTTCATTATATGACATGGTATACACATGTTTTTCATAATATATGCATTCCAAATTTAAATTTAAAGTTCATTCCATGTTATAGTTCTAGATGTTAAACATCCCTCCTACACTCTCTGTTAAGAGTAGCAGTAAAAATTGAGTAAATTGTATTTTATACTTTATTTATTTGAAGTTGTAAGACTGTTTTCTGAAATAAGTTTGGATTAAATTTTAGATTTGATGTAAATTTTGTGCAAGGCTGTGTGTAGCTCATCAAGTTTGCAGTTAATTGAATTCTAACCAGTTTCACTGCATTATGGCCCTTATTGACTTAAAATCTTTAAAAAAAAATCTGAATTCATTTTTGGTAACACTTTGTTATGTGTGGTTCCTATTTTGGTAACATTTTGTTATATGTGGTTAAAATTTAGCCACAGTTGTGTGCAAGAGCTGTAGAACAAGTTTTTTTAAGCCTTGACAGGAATTGTCCTTCCAAATGAGACACACAGAGTATTTGTTCAAATTAGGTGCAAATGTTTAGATTTGTTTATAGAGATACATGTACATGTACAAAACCATTTCCATAATAATGAATCATATTATTTTTGCCACAGCATTTCAAGAAACATAAGAGACTAATCCCTGAAAAGACAATATGGAAGTACTTCATCCAGATATGTAGTGCTCTAGAACATATGCATAGTTGCAGAATTATGCACAGAGGTTTGTTCCTATGCCATATTGATTTTTTTTTTATTCCAGTTATAAATGTAAATTTAACATGTTAATACATGTACCTATAAGTTTTGAGCCGTATCATGCTCTTATTCTGGAAGTTTATATTACTGTCCCTGTGTTACAGACATCAAACCAGCTAATGTGTTTATAACAGCAGAGGGAATTGTCAAACTGGGTGATCTAGGCCTCGGTCGATTCTTCAGCTCCAAAACCACAGCTGCCCACTCTCTAGGTAAAAACAAGCTGACAGATTATGTACAGAACATGTATTTTGAGCTAGTTATAATAAAACTCATTTAGTATGAACAGGTGTACATGTATAACGAATTTATGGGTACAGCAAATTTTTTTGAGATTCCCAGTGAAATTCGTAATAATTCCTTGAAAAATTTTAGAGTTAAAACGAACTCTGATATAACGAATTCATGAATATAGCAAACTGATTTTGTGTCCTGTAGAGGTTAAAAACAATGAAATTTACATTTTTATAACAAATTTTTAAGATCTCAAAATTTAGAATATTGAACTGACATTATTTTATGTAAGTATATATATTTGAAATTCAGTTCATTATATTTACATTCAGTGTAATTTTCTTTATGAAATCCATTGGAAATCTACAACATTCAACCCTCTATAACTGTAACACCATGCACAAAACCTTCCCCATTTTGCAAAAGAACTTTAATATGAATAAGAACTGTAAGAAATTTAGAACTATTTTGTATTTTTAGTCTTAGTTGTAAGTTCTTTTGTAAAAAAAATTCCACAATGTTTTTTTAATAGCCACTCAGAAAAAAATTAAAATAGATATATGCTTCTTACTCTGTACAGTGCAAATTATGGAGTCAATTTATTTGACACACTCCACCAACAAAGAGGCCTCATCATTGTAAATCTGCAATGTCTGGGGCTGTAGATGTGAAGTTTTGTTTTTTGTTGTTGTTTTTTTTTTAAATAGTTCAAATCAAAATCCATTTTAAAATACTTATATTTTGTGTTTCTGTGCTCTTTTCATTTGACTCTGTCCCCACATTCAATCAGCTTTGAAAAGGTCGGCCAATGAGCCAGGTGTTGCTTAACTCCAGTGGTTATTTTCAATTCAATTAAGAGTGAAAAGAAATACCTTCATACAATTTCCAATATTTGTTAACAGTGGGAACACCTTATTATATGTCTCCTGAGAGGATCCATGAAACAGGGTACAACTTTAAATCAGACATGTGGTCACTGGGCTGTCTATTGTATGAGGTGGGTACAACTTTAAATCAAGCATGTGGTCACTGGGCTGTCTATTGTATGAGGTGGGTATACATATATACATATATATATATATATATATATATATATATATATATATATATATATATATATATATATATATATATATATATATATATATATATATATATATATATATATATACGGGGTATATATAATTCAGACATGTTGGTACTGGGCTGTCTATTGTATGAGGTGGGTATATATATACCGGGTATATATAAATCAGACATGTGGGTACTGGGCTGTCTATTGTATGAGGTGGGTACGTACATATATAAATCAGACGTGGTCACTGGCCTGTCTATTGTATGAGGTGGGTACATACATATATAAATCAGACGTGGTCACTGGCCTGTCTATTGTATGAGGTGGGCACAACTTTAAATCAGACGTGTGTCTGAGGTGAGTACGTACATATTTTTTCTGTATATTAATCAACTATTTTTCAATCTGTATGGGTCAGTTATATACAACTTCATTGATATCTATTTGCAATAGTGAATTTTCATATTTATACAGATGGCTGCTCTTCAATCACCTTTCTATGGAGACAAGATGAATCTATATTCTTTGTGCAAGAAAATTGATCAATGTGATTATCCCCCTTTACCAGCTGACTGTTACTCAGAAGAGGCAAGTGTTTGATTGAAATGTATACAAGAAACTGTTTTGGATAATAGCTAAAGATTTTGAACATAGCCATTTATAAATATTATTTTGCCTTTTTTATAGTTAAGGAACTTGGTAGCCTTGTGTATCAACCCAAACCCAGAGCAACGGCCAGATATAACTTATGTGTACAACGTAGCACAGATAATGCATGCCCGACATCAGTCACAACCTAGTATTCAACAACAGGTATATATAACTTATGTGTACAACGTAGCACAGATAATGCATGCCCGACATCAGTCACAACTTAGTATTCAACAACAGGTATACATTGTTTAAATATATTTTATTCCTTAAACATGAATTGGATCAAACAGCAGGCATTAATGCCTATAATCGTTCTCGCCACAGGTATACACTAGTCTAAGGATTAATGTAGAAATAATGTTAAAAGTTTGCTAGAAATAATATTTATGTCTTCTTTCATGTTCTGATATCTGTTATTAAGGTTCAAATGCAGCAGCAACAGCATGCATTTGAGGTACAACAACAACAAATGCTAGCTCAACAACTGCAGGATCCTCACTTGCAACAACAGATGTTCCTACAACAACAACAGCAGCAACAGCAACAACAAATAATGCAACAGAGCATGCCAGGACAACCAGTCCCCCAACAACAGATGGTGAATCCTCAGATGACCCCCCACATCAATACTCAATTTACTGACCAGTAGGTCAATGGATTATTGGCAGGTGAAGACAACACAAGCTTTAACAAGCTGAACTTTAATTAAGTGACTCCAGCATTTGAGATGGAGATTTAACCATGACCCGTCAGTTTTGTTCTTCTCTTTCCACTCACTGACCATTTATACAACATATTGTTGTTATTTTAGACACATAGTTGTAAGATATGCTTTAAATGTCCAGAAAGAAAATGATTACAGGACAAAGTCATTTTAAAATATTATTTACTGTAATTTACTGCAGGAACAAATGTTAGATTTGATAAACTAATGTTACACATGATCTGATAAGGGTTTGTCAGCTTCAAATGAAACAGACTGTGAATTTAATTAATATAAATTATAAATTCTGTGAAGAATTAAGTTAAGCATACAATTCATTCATTCTTTACAGCATGATGATCTGTGACCAAACACTGTACATATTTGGTGTACAGTAAAACATGCTTACAGCAAACATGCTTATATCAAATTGACACTTACAGTGAAGTAATTTTATTCATTGTGACTTTGAAACATATTGTAAACTTATTAATGGCTATAAGGAATAACACTTATAATGAAGAAATATTGTCCGTCCCTGGCTCTTCAATATAAGCGTGTTTTACTGTACTGTACACTTGAACCATGTTAAATACTTATCAGATACAGTATAAAATGAAGTTGTGAAATTTTAAAGTATGCCAGTATTTTTTTTTTTTGTTGACTTTCATCATAACTAGAAAATCCATTTTACAAAAGAATTGTCAAATCAAGTGGTAGCTTTTCATGTTTATTTCTTAATAGATCTGTGGTTGGAGTTCTGTGTGAAAACTTGTCATAGGGCATTAAATTTACAGACTTAACAATCAGTAATTTATCAGTGTCAATTAAGTCTTCACAGAGGCCATAAGTGGAGTGTAAACTGTTAAATTAATATTTATATATATTGATTTTGAATGATATTTTGTGATTTACACAGAATCTGAAGTATTTTTTTAAAAAGTGTTCAAGAAAGCTTCAGTTGTTTATTTCAAATTTTAAAGTTGTTGCATTGTGCAATGTTTGAGTGTAAGAGAGTGAGTGATGAAATGGTGGCCGGCCATCATCTGATAACAAATAAAGATGTTCTATCAAAGAAATCCTATTTATGTAATACATTATATTAAGTGTTTGTTAATTAGTAAAAGAATATGACTAAGTTTTGTGTGTGATATTGTCTTGGTGTTTTGTTTCAATATAATGACTGTGATGTTTGTTTGGTTGTAATAGAAAATATCAAGAGACACATTTTATCATGGATACATACTGTATTAATGAGAAATGAAATCCTGCATTTTAATTTTTTTTTTTTTAATTTTTTTTTTTTTACTTCTTCTGCACATGTATTATATTTATTTCAAAACACATTAAAAATTGTTTAATCCAGACACCACTGGTTTTATAGAAATTAGCCAAAATTCAGACAGCATTCTGGATTAGACAACATTTTAAACAGTGTATTTACTGAATTTCATCATAATAAGCAATATTTCAGAATACACAACATTCGAAATTCACAACATCTGGATTAAACAAGTTTTACTGTACTATCTCCACCTCAGGCTAGAGTGTAAAGCTTTAATATACATGTGTACTCAATTCCATGTGTGCTTTTTAAAAAAATCATTGAATGAACATTAAATGTTGATTTATTATTAAGGTCAAGGTACAGGTTGTAAACTCATTATTTCTTAACATTTTGTTTACTGAGAAATTAAGATACACCAAGTTAATCCAAATGAATGCCAATCTTGTATGTGCTCTTTCATTATACACCACTCTATTGAAATCTCAGGGCCCACACAAGAATTAGTAATGAAAAAGAACCTGATTGATTATCCTCCGCTATCTATTACAGACATTACTCACCAGTAATCCTTCATTTCTGCTTTAAACAGAACACTTAGATACTAAGGACATCCATTGAGAGCATAATAGACATAAACAATAAGTATTTTATTGCAGTTGTTGATAATTTTTTATTATTCAGATGTGAAACTGCTTGATAAAATTAATATTCATTTGTTGCGATACATTATCATGTTTTTAGTAATTATTTCATTTATGTACATGTACATAGTCTGCCGTGTTTTTTGCTTCATGTGCTTTTTATGGGAGAATTCCGTCCACGTTGTTTTAGGTCAACCATCACTTCCATTTTCCTTCTGTCTATTTAATTTTAAGGCACAAAATGAAAATTTTCTTGTTTGAGTTGCACAATTTGGGGGCCCTTATCTCAAAAAAAAATCTTACGACTAAGATTAAAAATTGATAACTGCGTAATTTTTTGTTCAATAATTTTTTTTTTTTTTTTTGTAAAATATTTACAATGTTATATAATTAAATAGAAATATAAGATTTTGGGTGACTTACTACAACTAAGATACTACTTAGAGAAAGGGAAAATATTTATCCTAGTTCTAAGATTTTTTGTGAAAATGAATTAAAAAGCACAGAAACTGAATAGCAGTTACTTTTACTGTCTCAAGATCTAAACCCATCTCCACAGTCATTTAATACCTGTATTACTGAAATCTAACTCTGTACAGTATTGCTATAGAAATTATCCTCTTTTTTTCTTTTTTTTAAGCTTAGTTTCTTATGGCATTTTTGATCTTAGCTAATCATTTGACAGTATCCTGGTCTTTTGTAGATTTTAGAGACCAGAGAAACATTCCAAACTATATTTTAAATTATGTAAATAGTACTTAATTTATTGACAAAATGTGCCACACATTCATCAATGTTGAATAATCATGGTAAATAAACAGTTACCATCCACAAAGCTTTCTTTTGTCATCAGTACACAAATATGCCAACTTAGAATAAATTGTTAATACATTGTACTTGTGTGGCAATAATTTGTACCTCATGATCACCTCAACGAAGTTTGGGAAGCTTATGCAATACCCTCAGCGCCCCAGGTTAAAGTTTCTGAAGCAGACCTCTTTCAAGTACTGCTATGCCCCATATTGATCAGAAATACATGGATGCTGCATTTTCACCAGAGAATGACCGGGTTGTTTTGGAGCAGGTTAAAGTTTTTGAGTAGGACAACTATAAGCCCTATATATATTGACCAAACTTGCAGAGATGATGTATCTAAGGATGCATACTACCAGACTTGCTTTGATGCTAGATCTTACCTATATTTTTTGGTCAGATCTAGTTGGATGAGTGAACAATTTTAAGTTTTTGGAGCTGGTTCATTCTAAAGGAACTATAATTTAGACCAAACCTTGATGGATGATACATTACCAACTTGCTTCAGATGCTGGATTTGACCTACAATGTACATTTTCCAGACTAGTGACCTGGTTAAGTTTTTGGAGCAAGTATTGATTCCAGTATAAATTTGATTCATGCCTACCTGGACCAAACCTTGACAGATGATGCATCTTGGGTCGCACACTACCAGACTAGCTTCAGATGCTGGATTTGACCTCCATTTTTGGGATAAGTGACAAAATTAACGTTTTCAAGCAGGTTCATTCCAGCTTAATATCAAGCCCTTTATAGAGCAAACTTGTATTGATGATACTTCTAAGGATGCATGCTACCAGACTTGCTTTGGATGCTGGATCTGACGTACGCTTTCGCAATGAGTGACCAGGTTCAAGTTTTGGAGCTGATCCATTCCCAAGTAACTTTAGGGCCTACCTAGACCAAACATGTATGGATGATGCATCAAAGGATGCGCACTAACAGACTTGTTTTGTATGATAGATATGACCTGCATTTTCTGGATGAGTGACCAGTTAAGAGTTTTTAGAACAAGTCCATTCCCAGGAACTGCAAGTCTTACCTGGACCAAAATTGCATAAATGTTGCATCTAGGGATCGATGCACACTACTAGATTATTAGTGTGGGACTTTGCTTTACTTTAAGATAATATTTGTTGAGGTGTGCTCTTGTTAAATCTTTACCTGTTTCTCTTACAAATCAAAACTTGGGACTAAAGTGGACAGATCACACGAATATATACATGTACTTTACAGAATTTAATTAGCAGGACTCGGTATAATTATGCTTTGAGGCAAAATTGCTTGAAATTGGCTCTGTGTTTCCAGAGATGTGGCTATGTTTCCAGTGAAGTTGAAAATGTGAAAGTTTTGTAAGATATATGAATATATATACATGTATACAGAGAGAGAGAGATGCCATGAACATTTGTGGAATTAGAATGGACACAAAACCATGGCTTACAATGATGCAATTTTTCAGACTCATAATATCCAGTCTGGTGATACATAATATCAGGGTGCATCACTTAAGCCTTCTACCTGTATGTGAAATCCAAATTATGAATAACCCTTTCAAAGTACAGACAAATAAATATGTTCCAGTTTTATATGCTTGTTTCACATACCAGTAGCTATAGATTTCCCAAGTTTAACTCCATCTGCACACATTCTTAATGATGATTACTTTCTTGATGACATCTTCCTAGGTGAAGTAAACATTAAGTTACTATGACTGGGTGCAACTATAACTAAACCACAAGTATCAAACTGTTCTTTTGATGATACTGAAATTAAGTGAAGTAAACTTAACCTGGAAGTGTGATTAGTTGTTTAAATTTACCAAGAACCAGTAGCTGATTTCTTAATTTTTTCTTTAACAGCAAAAGGTGAACAACACTGCAATCTAATTACACAAGTGTGTAGTGGTGTACTAGCTGATCTAACATGTAAAAGATTGACAACAGTAGAACTTCTGTAGAGGATCTTGGATTATTATGATAATTATGCTTCAAGTAAAAGGTCTCAACAAACCATATGATCACACACAGAAAAATTTATTGTTTTTCGATTCAATCAATTTCTCAAAATCATATATACCAACAAAGGCATTGAATATACTATGTAGTATAAGTTAATTATTGTGCCTACTATTATCATATTATACTTCTTGTTGTATCTATGTAAGCACATTAATACTTTAAAGTTTAAACCTGGTATTTCAACACATATATCCAACTTTTCAGATTTCATAGCAGAAGCTAGCTGCAAAAAAATAAGTTGAGAAGTTTGACAACATTTTCATGGTTGATATCAGTCATATATTATTTGTGAAGGACAGCTTGTCAGTCAAGAAAAAAATTATGTTCAAAAATTGATCCAAGAGCTCAGTCAATCTCAGCAGTGTATAAACCATAAGTAAAAATATATCACAAATATGAACAATTCATAAATAATCACAATTAGTGCACAAATTAAGTATCATACATGTATACGACATTTTAAAAACAAATTATTCTATACAGTATATGTGTATTATCTTGCATATTTGAACTAGTTTGTACTACATGTATATCTCCAAGGTGAAATGTTTACTTCTTTTTTTTCAATCACTAATTCTGACCAACATTAAAAATGGATGATCAGCTTTCACAAATGAAAATGTGCAAAAAATGGTTCTAAAACAAACATGCAGTTCTCTTTTGACAGCCAGTAATAGGCCAGAAGTTTGAACTCCAGGGCTCCCAGGATCATTCCAAACACTACATCGCTGAAATAATGTCTACCAAGGAGAAGTCGGGATAAGGAAACCACAAGTGCCCAAAGGACAACCAGTCCAAGTATAGGGGCCTCTAAATTTGCTTTCTCTGAGGAGAAGTAAGCTAGCATGATAGCCCTGGAACAATGACCTGATGGGAAGGAGTAGTTATCGACTGAGACCGTAGCAAACATATCAGATTTGTTAAGTGCTGGTCGTTCTCGCTGAACAAGCATCTTCAGTACAGCAATAATAATAAGATCTCCTATCAGTCCTGGAAAAGAATATGTTAGGAATTTATACATGTGTAAATTTTAAAAATAAAGTGTGACAATAAAAATAAATAAATTTTGAAGAAATAACAAAATCAAGCACATAGTATTGGGGGGTTGGGGGGGGGGGGATTGGCCCTGCATATTTTTTTTGAAGAATACTTTTTGCTGTGTCAAATTAAGAAAGGAAATTTTCATTCAAAGGCCTGTTGCCTCTTCCTCCTTTCATTTGGTCAGAAAGAGAGAGACCTTCTACCACCCCATCGTCGGAAACCCACGGTCGGTCTCGCTTCTCTTACCTCGAGGTAAGAGAAGCGAGACCCACCGTGGGTTTCCGATGATGCTACCACCCCTGTCTAACAGTAATATTTTTTTGTGCAATATATGATAATGAATTTCTGACCATGGCCTTTGACATTTTTACCTCGCAATCAATCAGGTTTTTCTTCTAGTCAATGGGAGTTCTGATGTAAAATTCTACTGCAAAACTAAAGACCATGCAAATTTTCAATATTTATAATTTAATATGTTTTCTTCATATTTTGTACTGTTTTATGGCTGGACCTAGAATCAGGTGCTCTAACCATTGAGCTATCCATGGTCAATATAGCCAAAACGACAATATTCCCTCCTCCTTCAAGAGTCTTTGCCCTCAAAGACCACAACCCAATCTATATTCTCTAGATTACTTTCATCTGCAAGTTTAGGAGTGGTCAACAGCACCAAATGAAAACAAGGAGGAAAATTTATGGCTGGATTGGGAATCAAACATAGAACCCCTGCCTACTAATCAGGTGTTCTAAGCAATGAGTTATCAGTTTATATCTGATCTGGGTTATCATATCCCCAATAGGCTATTATAGTACATGTAATGCTTATAGCCAAAACTGAATGGGTATATAAACCATTTAAGAAATTAGTCCCATCCTGTTTTGGCTGAGAGTATATATGATTTTTTTTTTAAATGTGGTAACTTTTTTTAACACTCAGTAAGCTAGTTTAACTGTGTCTCTGGACAATTAAGCCCTCACTTCAGTTAGAAATGTCCCACACAGTTACAATAGAGCAACTAGCAAAATGCATGGAGCGAATCTGCTCCAACACAATTTTGGAGAATGCAAAAGGAGATGCACTGAAAATAACTACCAAATTAAAAATAACCACCAAATTAGTATATCTTTTTGAGCTTAAACATGTCTTCTACCCCCAAAAATAATCCATATTAAGCAAAAATTCAACATATTATCTCAATTTTTTTAGTGCTTCAAATTTACACACTATGTTATCATATTTTAGCTTTCTGAGAGCCTAAATAAAAATTATCCGCCTTTGTTTTGTTTTGCTATGCCAACATACAGAACAAATTCTATTGTTAAACAGTGGGTCCATGGAACAGTATCATTTCAAAGATTATAATGTAATTCTACCTATAGGGAACAAGTCTCAGTCCTTATGACCAGAAAATGTATATATGTCATTATGTACATGTTTAAAAATATATTTGGAGTGTTTTAGCTTCAAATTTTTGGACTTGGTCGTAGTTTGCAAGTAATTTTTTGTTGCTGTAAGGGTTCTTTTGCCGAATTAGAAAAAAAAAACAGCTTCAGTCCAAATGAAATGATAGGAGCTATATAACTTTCATGACTCTGCAGTCTAAAGTCTTCAAGAAATCAAACTGCACAGAGTATTGAATTCTTACCTATTAATAAGTTCATAAGGATTTCTAAATGTTCATGCTTATGAACAGACAAAAGCAAACCAACAGTTCCTAATAACCACGGAATCCCGTGACATGAAATTTCCAGGACTTTCATCAGGGGTCTTAAACTTCCCAGTTGAGAGTTTGGTCGGGCACAAATACTGCATTTCTGAGTCAACTGGTAATCTATTGATGAGATCGATCGACCAAAAGAGTCCATGGATTTCATTATTTTTACATCGGGGGTGTCTTTCCTATGCCCTCCATTTGGTCGCCTTTTTCTTCGTTGAATGGCTGACATCTTGGTTAAATAGGCTGAATAAGTAATTTGAAAAATGAAGTCATTTGCAGTAATCTATCCTACATTCACCTATAATCAGCGTGCCGCTTTTAAATGCGGAAATGGAAATTGGAATTGTGGGATATGCTACTATTTATACACTTTTGTTTATATTAGTTACAAAGAGCAAACTTCACTTATGCTGCTATATTCATGATATTACAATAAATACTTCAAAAATAAGAAAATAATGGTATTTTTGCAAAATTTACAATCTTCTCGGTAGAATATCTAACCAATCCATAACCAACCAATAACATTATCTAACGTCTGTGTCGTCACAATATTGAGCGCAAGGTATTTCGGGAAGCGGGAAAATACAATCAACAAACGGGCGCAAACATTCTGCGACGGGCTCATTTGTTATTTGCAGCTAGTTCGTTTGAAAGAATTAGCATTGATATATTGAAAATCTTACAACAAAAGTTTAAAATGGAGATGGATCAAGCAATGGGCATAAATACTTCGGAAGCATGGTGTAAACAAACTGCTATAGGCACGGAAAACTCTAAAGAAGTTCACCAAAAAATTCGAGTTCTCAACTTTCATGCCAAGATAGATAAACAACCAACCTCAATTGACGAAAGCTCAGCATCTGTGCTGAAGTACAGAACACCAAATTTTAGGTAACTACGTACAGCTTTATAATACTGTTCTAAAAAAAATATCTATGCTTATATTATTTTAAAATTAACTGTGCTAGAAACTGAGAAAGATGAAGTAACTAAGCCTATATTACAATAGGGACATACTTCCCAATATGCGATGCAATACATCTAGCTATTCTACTAGAAATTCTGAAAATTATGATATTCCAAAATGTAGATTACAGACTTGTAAGTCATCGTTTATTCCTACTGTAGTTAATGAATGGAACTCATTACCACTTGAAAATAGAAACTTACAACTGTTGTCAAATTTTAAATCTAAAATAAGTATTAAAAAATCTGCCCCACCATTATACTTTGAATATGGTAACAGGCGACTGAATGTTCTCCAGACCAGACTTCGACATAATTGTGCATTAAATATTGACCTCTACAGATGTAATTTAATCTCAAGTCCTTTATGCTCATGTGGCAAAAAAGAAGATTCGTATCATTATTTTTTATATGTCCAAAATATAAAGAAGCCAGAAAGGAATTTCTTGATAAATTTTTATTATTTGATAAAATTCACATTTTAGATACACATGTTTTATTATTGGGGATAGATTCATTGAGTGCTGTGGAGAATGAACGTCTTTTCTGTATTGTTCAAACTTTTACTAAACATTCTGGCAGATTTACATGTTAGTATTAGTATTATTATAAATATATTTATTTATATATACAAATATATACAAAATTATATGTATGATTTTTAAAAATGCATTGATTTGTAAATTTCACTAATATTGAATATTTTGAATGTACATATTTAACTGTGACCTAATTTAATTTAATTTAATTTTTGTAATTTACATGTAGGGAGAGGGCGAAATAAGTTTTTAGAACTTGTGCCCAATCCCTTTGTAATTAGAAACTACAATAAAATATGTTCAAACCATAGGGGCATTACACATGTCATAGACGTACATGTTTATGCACATGATTACTAGGGAAAGGAAAAGTGAAAGAAGCCCATGCATTTTACAGTGCATGTTATATCGTAGATACTAATAAAAATTTAACAGTAACATAGTACGGTAGTATGCATGGATCCCCTCTGGGGTTTTCAGATTTGTACGGTAAAGTAAGAAAAAGATGACCTTGGACCCCTAGAAAACATGGAAACACACCCCCAACCCTGAAAACATGGACCCTTGATAAAATGTAAGGAGAGTCATTAATATATAGAAGGAAATCAACCTTTCCTAACCCTAACCCCCATCCTGAAAAAAATTTCAAATTCCTGGATCCACGCATGGGTTTTCAATAATCAGATAATCACGTAATAAAAATATTGTTTCAATTAAAAATCTGTTCACGAATCTCAAATAGTGTACAGCAATCATATATTATTCCATGAGATTTTTTGAAGTTGATTATAAATCTTCATGTACATTAATGTTTGGAAAAATGTTAAATTATTGTAGAGTCACTGCAACGATAGAGATGTCACCAATGAATGACACACAAATGTGGAAAGTAGGCTGGATCCAAGCATGCACAGATATGATGTTTCACAACACTTATGATGAAGGATAGTAAGTATCAGATATACAAGTCTTTCTGTTTTTATAACTTTACCATGATATATTTAACTTTAACTCCATCAGGCAAAATTAATTTTAGGGCTGGGCAATAATACCGATATTCTGGTATATTGCGGTATGTTGACAAAAAATATCATATTGCAATACGTTTTTGTAATACCGATATACCGACAAAATGCATGGACTCGGGCATTCTATTATAAAATATAAAGAAAAGTTGTCAGAAAGGTTTGCGATCATGCCAAACAGTAAGACAAAAGCTGTTGTATTGGTGTATTTAGTTGCATAACTGTAATTCAATCAAGAAGATATCTTTTATTGGTTATTTATCATAGTTATGTACATTTCACGTGAAAGGAAGTTAATATAATATTTTTGTTGGAAATATTGCAATGCATATTGCAGTTAAAAATATCGCAATATATTGCATTACGAAGTCTCTAGCCAATACCCATCCCTAATTAATTTTCTGTGTAAAATAATTAAGCTCATAACCTCTGTATTGTCCTAAGATGTAATATATTTATTCTCTCCTTTCAAGTACAAGTTGGGAGTTTCCAGAACTGACCAGTGGTCAGCAGTCCATGATCAGTGATTGTGATGGCCATCATTATCCATGGTATGGCTCTCGTAATGAGACTGTAATTTTTGAGGGGCCATGCAAGATGTACCAGTCAGCCACCATTGCAATGAATGACAACTTTCATCCTCATGTAACCTGGAGAAATCCAGCCAATCGCAATCAAGTTGAACCAAATCTAACTCATATCTGCAGAGATCAGTCATTTTATGTCTGGCTGGTAGCCTGGAACATGTCTGACCACAAGGCCTACATTCTGAAAACCGTGCGATGGAATATGAGTCTAGAAATAGCAGTGGATCCCACAAAACCACTGGGTCAAAGAGCCAAGCTGATCAGTAATCCAATGCCAAAGCAACCAGATGTGTTGGAGAACAAAATCCCTATACCAAGATGTGCCTTGATGCCTCCAAACGCAAATAGTGCACAGTTGCTGGTCTGGCGACCAAAGAATGGACCTGAAGTTCTCATTATTCCTCCTGTTTGGAAAAAAGATAAACCACTGGAAGATCAAGTCATTCGCTTTGATAGCAAGCTCTGTAAACTGTAAAGCCAACTTGGGACACTAGTGCAATATTTGGTCTGTGATATTCAAAGTGCCAAAGCAATTTTTTTTCTACAGCATATTTTTTTTTTACTTATTTTTCACCTTAAAATTTTAATAAAGTAGCAAATAAATAAACTTTTTGTAACAACATGTCAACTGATGTGTTTGTTTTATTACAAAGATATACAGTGTGTTAATCTGCTATTGTTCATGGCAAAAGATCCTCTGAATTGAAAGATATACAGTTGTAACAGAAAAACACTTCTAGTAGGATTCATTTTGGTCTTTAGAGTTAGTTCATCATAGTTATTCAAAAAAAAGAAGTTGTCCTCTCTTAGACAGTTTCCATTGGTTCTGCCGCCTTTACTGTTGTCTTGACAATGTCAAAAGGAATTTTCTTGACCTCTGTTTTCAGCACTGCAGTTGTTCCTTTCTTGTATCTATAGGATCCTTGCCTGAAGTGAAAAGATATTTCACAAATAGTGATGTGCCAAAATAACCTAGAAAAGCATTTGGAATATATCTACAGTAATATCCAGAGTAATCAGGATTACAATGAATTTGTATCTAGAATAATGATTTTACCTCTGTCCTTTAAGGTTAGCCTCGTCATAGGGTCGTAAATATTCCACTTTGTCTTTAGTTATAACGCAGACATCCACATTACTTCCTGAGCCCAAATCATTAAATATACCAGCTGCTATTGCATCTCTAACAAGCTTTTTGGCTTCCTCTTTCTGTTGAAAATTACATTAACTATTAGCATCGTAATATAAGTATTGTAAACTTTAAAAAATGTTATTGTTAAGAACTGTAAGTTCTGTTTCAGGCTTTGTTCCTGGACCCCCTCCACCATCAGGACTGGACCTGTGCTCCTTTTTACAGTTCTTCAATGTTGGTGTCTGGGTGGGGGGTTGAAAAGGTAATACAGACTCCAGTTCATATATAATTCAGAAAGGGTCAGCTTTACCTGTACAATGCTGAAAAATCTCATTACCTAGAATTGCTCTTCTGATAAATTGTACAAACCTATGACTTCTGTTCTAAGCCTTTTATTGTAAAGATTTCGATATAGCCTTAAAATTCCAGAAGTAGGTCACGTAGCCTATTTTTGGGTTGAAAATATCTGTGGACCCAAGTGAGTCAACTAACACGGATGATTCTAAGCCTCTTAATATCAATACCGAGATACAACTATGAAATTCTAAAAGTACCAGAAGGTTCACTTTTATCCACTTTTTTGAAATTCAACAAGTAGGTCACCATGACTTTTTTTTTTTAAACAAATTTTGAGAACCATCATTTTAGTTGCATCAACTAGCTAGGGTGGATGATCCTAGGCTTAACAGTGTCCAAGATATGCATTTAATACAATTTAAAAATGAGTACCTGCAAAATTCAAAAGTAGGTCACTGTGATCTACTATTTCATAAATATGTATCAAGGTCCCATGATGCATCAACTTACAAGGTTTGATGATTCTAAACCTCTCAGTATCTGAAATAATGAACTAAAATATTTTGAAAATGATTCTGAAAGTAGGTCATGATGACCTACTTTTTGACACACTTCATGGCCCCTTGATGAATAAACTGAAGAGTTTTGATGATCATAGACTTCAAAGTATCCAAGATATGCATCAGAATGAATTTGAAAATGAAAACCTGTGAAATTCAAAAAGTAGGTTCCTTTGACCTGCTTTTTGAGTCAACAACATGAGGTCCTAATTTTGCATCAACTGCCAAGATTTGATGATCCTAGTCATTGTTGTGGGCAAAATATCAAAGTTTTACAAAACATCATTTTAGGTTAACTTTAAAGTGACTATGAGATCACATCCTTTGCCCTAGGGTATTGCCTTAAACATTTTTTTCCACAACATATCCTCATCTTTATGATAAGTTTGGTGAAAAATCTGCCTGGTGGTTCTTGAGAAGAAGATTTTTAGCAACCAATACATTTGTTTTTATTTCCCAATTTATCTCTTTTGTTTGAGAATCACATCCATTGGTACAAATGAAAGCCCTAGGGCCAAGGATACTCTGATTTGACAAAAATTGGTCAAGGGGTTCTTGAAATATAGTCCATATTCCAAAAAGTGGACAAGCAAGAGCAAATAATGCTACAGTAAACATTTACCTCCATGTTTGGTTTGAATCCCCTCTCAAAAACTGACATTGCTGCTAATGATCCTGAACCTATGAATTCAAATAAAAAGAATTTTATCAAAACTGTACACAGTGATATGAAAATTACTTGCTGCCAGTATCTATGCTTTTAGGAAAGACATACTATGGTGAAAAATGTAATTTACATATTACTCAGTAACTTGGCTAGATAAGCACTGAAAGTGCTGTCAGGAATCTTAGATCAGTATATTGGTAAAACTTCAGGTAAGTAGGAATGTGCATACCCATTGTTACATAAGGAAGTTTGTCTGTAGACCCATGAGGATACACACTGTACAGATGTGGACCTGTAGAATCCACACCTCCCAGAACCAAAGCAGCACTAATATGGCCTTGGTACCTGAAAAGCAGTGCAAAGATTAATATACATATATATGCTCTTTAACATTCTACAATGGGTTTCTATCTTAAGCTTCTATCTTTTAGAAATTTTGTTTGATAGTTTAGATGACATTAACTTTAATTTTTATCAATACCTAAATAGCATCTGTTTAAGGAGTCTGTTAGCTGTACAGACTCGAGGCTTCCGTCCTGTGTTAAGTCGGTGAAGTTCCAGTTGAGATGATATTATCTGAGTGGTCATTTCTGTGTCTGCCGCTGTCCCAGCTCCACAGCAACTGTAACAATCAAAAACTCTATACAACACCGCTACAGCAGTTTCTGAGTTCTAATTATGATTGAAAATACTCAATCAGATATTCACAATCTAACACATATGTACTCCATGTATATGTAGATCCTAAAAAATTGCAATGTTTTTCAAACTGAACATGAAATGTATTAACATTTCATGAATTAACTTGGAATATCTAGTAAAAGGCAAATGACAGATTAACCTGAAGTTATGAGTCCTTTAAATATTACACACATATTGAAAATTCTTACTATATATTATCAGCAATATAGTGAATCTTGCTGCAGTTTTTGTCTGCCACAACAGTGTCTTCTGTGGCTCTCGTGTCAGCTCCAAGCACTACACCATCCTAAATAGATGGGTAGAAAACTCAGTAATAACATATTAAAAATACATTGTGCTATATATTCAGTATCTCGAACACCAAAATCTCTAATATCATGGACTTTTTGAAGTGATTTCATTTGGAAGTCCCCAACCACTTCTTCTTTTTAAAGTATTTTACCCCTGATATCTCGAATCCTTGGATATCTTTTTTTCTCGGTCTCATCGAGTTCAAGATAGTGAGGTGTGACTGTATATATTCACACACATGTATAAAACCCATTATTACAGGGTCGATTATTTTTCAGGTTTCTTTGGTTGAAAAGGATGTTCATCTTCTAAACTTTGAATGCGATTGTTGGATGAATTCATGACAGGATTTGCTGTAACTGTGTATTTTTATATTACATTAATAACCATCAATGTATCAAATAATAACAGATATCTGTCCATATATCAGAATACAGCACAAATACTGATATGCCTGGCTTTCTAAAATAATTCTAATACCCCTCTTTCAAATCTATTATCAAATTTAGCACAGGCAATCAGTGTAATGTAGTAGATTTTCACAAATTATATCAATATTGTTCTGAAGCATTGTAAATATTGGTGATTTTGATTATGTTGATGTAAAATCTATTAATGAAAATCTCACTTATAGTGTAGCAGTTAGAATTCCTGTTTCTTACTTTGAATCTAGATGGTTATTGTTTAATAAGTAATATAACCATTTACTCTATCTAAAGTAACCTCATGAAAATAGGATGCTTTATTCTGGAAGGAGAGATTTGTTTGCTTGTCTTTACCTGTTAAACACTGGTATTGGTAAAACATGAAAATTTAACTCCATAATGCCAATACTAAATAAGGGACCATTTTTTAAAACAAAAATGAAGGGAACTTCAAATTAAGAACAAATAATTTTGATTTACCTTATAAATAATGCCAACAATTGTTGTTCCTGTCTTGTAAGCAGTAGGGGCTTTTATTCCCTTTTCTTCAAACATTTGGTTCCTGAAAATAGAACAACAGTGCCAATAACCTAATAACATAATGCCTGATTGAAGTACAATGTAAATTCACTAATTAAATTTCCGTGCCATTTAATTTTCATTGATTTGTGTTATGAAGATCCCAAGAATTTATATCAACGAAAATTTGACCACACAAAATTAAGTGATTTTACAGTGTTAGCTAATAACTTCTAAATAAAATGAAAATATCCAAGAGTAATCTTGAAACTTAAACCATGCCACCTTTGCTAAGTGCATTTATGATTTGAGTGATATTCATGTCAGTTCACATCAAATATTCCAGATTCAGGTTTTCAGGTTTTACCTTTTCAGGGGAAAATACACTGCATAGTTAGGCCAAAAAAAATAATAGTCTTGTTTCCTGCTACCCGACCTACCCTATTTTTTGCACCCGACCCTTAAGTTTTTTTTAAGTTTTGGAAGAAAAAAAATCGAGAATTTCCGGAATTTCATCGTTCTGTCACCATAATCAGTTTTCGTGTTAGCACAAAACAAGCATTTCATGAAATTCTTGTTTTAAATATGGACTTTCATAAAATACCACTTGAGTTGTGCATAAAAAGACATGAAATTCAATTTTAAAAGACAATATTGACCTGTGACATGTTTAATTTTATCTTGTATTAGTTCATATCCAAAAAATGCTGTCAGAAAAAAAAATAAAATAAAAATATAAAATAAAATAATTTTCCTACCTACCTATCCTATTTTTTGCAGGCTGGTAGCAGGAAACAAGACTATTATTTTTTTTGGCCTTAACTTTCTATAACAATAATATTCTTGGTCTGACACTATTTCTGATTTTTAAGTAATATAATCATGATATGATTGTGTAATTATGTACACATCTGATTCAGTTGAGGAGACAGAATTTATAAGAAATGCAATTCACTGACAAAATGCTCCAGTACTGGAGAAAAATTATTGATAGAACCCAACAGTGTGTCTTACACATTTTTCTTTTCACAAGAGCTGAATGTATTGATTTTACATAATGCGCAGTGTAATTCATAAATCTTAGCGTTTAGCGTGCTTAGCTACAAATTCATTGGGTGGTTCGTGTTTTGCATAGAAAATAATATTAGAGAAAATTCGAACTATTCTAAAAGGAGAGATATTTCATGTTACCATGCCTTCTAGAGTAGTTTTAAAAATATTTATCTTGAAATAACATTATCTTTGAATAGCACAACTAAAACATCAATCCCAGCTGACAATAAAACACTTTTTTCTTTTATAAAATTGCATTGTCATACCCTACCGGCAGTACATCATTATTTAACTTATAAAAGGTGTGATACAGATGCTGGACTACAAAAGAAGATCAAACAAACGTTTAACTATAAATTCTGACTTTTATAATAACAATATATGCATACCGACGACAGTTTTCGAATGAAAAACCACCAGTTGGTGGTTCGGCAAGCAGAGTCGACGCCATGATGGATTTCTTAAAGTAGAGCGTTCATTGGATATTCGTACATTTTACCAATAAACTATTAGTCGCAGCTTTAATGATATAATCTATAATGTTTACATTAATTTACTTAAACATGAACGGAATATATTGTTTACATCAAGCAAATCTTTATATAATCATGTAATTTTTTTTTTTACATGCAAATATTTTATTGTTATAAATAAAAGTTTGTTGTATGAAAGGCCCTAACCTTTGGAGCCTGATTAGTGCCTAATCTTGGAGCCTAATTAGCGCCCTAATTATGGCGCCTAACAGATGTTCTAAATGTATAAGGTGTCATGACACCTAACGATGGTGCAGCGGCTATAATACTTGGAGCCTAACGCCCTAACAGGTGCCCTAACCATGGAGTCTAATGCCCTAACCATGGCCGTAAGACCCGGGGTGGGGAACGGGGGGGCTGTGTCCCCCAATAATTTTGCCGATATATAGATTACTATAGTAAACAAAGATACTATATGCGTGTGTCCCCTCAATAGAAACGCCTTTTTGCCGAGGTTTGTCAAGGAATTTTTGGTAGATGATGATGACCTTTTTTCTTTGTTTGTCAGGAAATTTTTGGTGGTGCCCCCTCAACAGTCAACTGAAAAATGTATGGCTGTGCCCCCTCGAACTGAAATTGTTTCCTACGGGCCTGCTAACAGGTGCCCTACCGATGGAGCCTGATGTCCTAACAGGTGCCCTAACTATGGAGCCTAATGTCCTAACAGGTGCCCTTACGATGTAGCTTAATGTCCTAACAGGTGCCCTTACCATGGAGTCTAATGTAGTAACAGGTGCCCTAATGATGGAGCCTAATATCCTAACAGGTGCCCTTACCATGGAGCCTAATGCTCTAACAGGTGCCCTAACTATGGAGTCTAACGCTCTAACAGGTGCCCTAATGATGGAGCCTAATTAATGTCCTAACAGGTGCCCTAACGATGGAGCCTAATATCCTAACAGGTGCCCTAAGCATGGAGTCTAATGTCCTAACAGGTGCCCTAAGCATGGAGTCTAATGTCCTAACAGGTGCCCTAACGATGGAGCCTAATGCCCTAACAGGTGCCCTAACTATAGAGTCTAATCTCCTAACAGGTGTCCTAACAATGGAGCCTAATGTCCTAACAAGTGCTGTAACCATGGAGTCTAATGTCCTAACAGGTGCCCTAACGATGGAGCCTAATGCCCTAACAGGTGCCCTAACTATGGAGTCTAATCTCCTAAAAGGTGCTCTAACGATGGAGCCAAATGCCCTAGCAGGTGCCTTAACGATGGAGCCTAATGCTCTAACAGGTGCCCTGACTATGGAGTCTTATCTCCTAACAGGTGCCCTAACTATGGAGCCTAATGCTCTAACAGGTGCCCTAATGACGTTAGGTGTCAGATTTTCAGATTTTACTAAAACCAGGAGACATACATCTCATAGGTATAAATATATTATACATATAGTACACAATAGAACATTACATGAGCGAGATATAATACACAGTTATGGAATGGGTACGAGGGAAATAGCAAATTTATGGTTCCCCGAGGGAGGAAACTATTTCCCGAGGCGGCGAAGCCGCCGAGGGAAATAGTTTCCTCCCTCGGGGAACCATAAATTTGCTATTTCCCGAGTTCCCATTCCATAACTGTTTTATTATACCGAAACAATCATAGACGATTTAATTTTTTCACCAGACATTCCGACATTTAAAAAAAAAAAAAAAAAACCAATGTAGAGGCAAAATCACAAATACATGCGGTTTAACACATTGTTATAAGTAATGCATCGTGTCCTAAAACAATTAAATTATTTTTAAAAAGTATTTTCACTGACATTTCGAAGAATTATCGTTGCCTTCATTTCGCTAGAATCCAAGTATGATTTTGACATCGCATGTCGAAATGTTTTGACGTCATAGTTACATTGCTAATAACATGACGTCACAGACTCGAGATTTCTTAAACGCTCCGCCCACTGAACACTTTGATTGGTTAAAATTACTAATAAATATTCATGAGGGAGTAGTCCCAGGGAGTAGCTCTGATTTTCCAGGGAGTAGTCCTCAGATGAGGGAAATAGTCTCTTCTCGTGGAAATAGACAGTTTTATGGTATTAATTTTATACAGAGTAATTGCAGTGGAGGTATAATAAAGTATATTATTATATAGTCTATAAATAGCCCCTATATAATCTATACAAACGCAAACGGTTCATAACACTACATATTCACTGGATTTGAAGCCGTATTCACCGGAGGGTCAGTGCGCGTGCAGTGGCATTGTGACGTCACAATCAATACCCCAACGTTGAAAACAATATGGTTACAACGACCGGAGCCAGCTGTGTATCTGAGCAGGAAAAATGTTAGGCAAGCCTATCGCATGATTATTTTCCAAACATTTCGATGTCTTACACACAGCGAAATGAAACGAAGTTATAAGATGTAATCTGCGGGGTTTTTTTTTTATTTTTTACTTTTCTACGACAGAGGTTCGTTAATGAAAAAAGGTATCGTCATGCAGCCTTCAATTTCTTATTTATTCAAATCCGTACTATATAATAAAACAATTATGGACTCTTTTACTGGTGAATATGGTTTGTTATTCACCAGAAAAATATCAATATTGACCGAGGCGAAGCCGAGGTCAATATTGATATTTTTCTGATGAATAACAAACCGTATTCACCAGTAAAAGAGTCCATAATTGTATAATATTAAGTATAAATAAATAAAGCATTTATAAATCCAACAGTTCATTTGTTAATCTGTTTGCAAAACATATATATTTTCCAAGGTTACACATTTCCTTTGCATTTGAGCTGGTCAACAATTGCATTCGCTTATAAACACATGGGCGACAGGAATAATAGATTTTGATGTACTATTTGTGTCAGACGGGTATGATATATACATACGCAGGTAGGTTAAGGCTTCCCGTAGAAAATCGCAGTGCACTCTGTGCCTTCACTTCGCTGAACTACCAAAATATGACGTCATAATGGAAAATGACGTCAAGTCACTGCCAACTTGAGGTGTCATGACAGGGAGAGTGTCATGAACTTTACACTTTATTTCAAGCTGCATGTAAAATGCTAGATAGCTATTGCAAAATTCACGGGTCGTTAAAGGTTTTTTAAGTCTTATATGTCCGAATTTTTTGAAAATACACCGCTTACCTACCCTTGATTGAAATTCAGCATGTTCAAAATGCTTATGAAAAATATACTTTTGAAATGTACTCCGTTTTATACCCGTGGTTGGAGGTAGAAAATATTTTATGTGTATAAAAGAGTCTGGCGCAGGTGATTAATAAGGATTTATCTGAGAAATTTTGTGGAAATCTCTAAGAAGAGGTTGTTCTCTAACTGAATCTTGCTTGGGAAAAATATGTGTTGGCTTTGTTTTAATACAGATTACGATACTGTGTGAAAAATACCCTCAAATTAGTAGGTAAGTTGAATTTCTCACGAAATATTTTGTACCCAAGTAATACTATGACTTTTCCCAAGCACATTACGGGTACACAAGGTTACGATGAGTTTATTTATATAACAATATGTAAATAATTATTGTGTTAATCAGCTGCGCCAGAGCGATTTATATGAAACGCTTCAAAAAATTATAAATGACCGTCACGTGATCAAGAACGTCATGTGATATCATAACAAATATGTTGATATATAGCCGAAGAAACCCTATATATAAGTTGGAAGTACTAAAGTTCAATCCTTATAAATTAAAACCAAAACCGACCTCGCAATGACATATTATGTTTTGAGCGCATTGAAAAGCTTCGGGAAGCCTTAACATAGCTGCGTATATATATATATATATATATATATATATATATATATATATATATATATATATATATATATATATATATATATATATATATATATATATATATATATATATATATATAAAAGGAGAGAGAGAGATAGTGGGCGAAAACACACATAGCTTGTACTTGATTTGTAAACTGCGATTGGATATTATTAATATTTATTATACTCGCTGAATCAAAACTCTGCTGTTGTTGTTTTTTATTAGATCTATGAAGATCTATAGATCCTAGCTTAAACACAGAATCAACAATATTTTGTGACGCAGGGGCGAGGAGATATTGTTTAACCACTTATCATTGACAGGTGCCCGCAAAAGAAGTCACAATTATAACAGGAAATAATCAAGAGTCCTAGCTATAATATTAGTAATATTTATAACTTAATTTTCATTGATTTGTACATAATGTAGGCTAGTAGTCAAAAGGATTAGACGCAGTTCTGAAATTTAGATAGTTTCCTCTTATAAAACTTTTTTTTAAAACTATCAGAATATAAATATTAAATAAACAGAACATATAATTCCTAACAAAAAAAAAAAAATTTAAGAAAAACAACCACATTCATTTAGAAAAGTTCGAATAAGCTTGAAAAGTTCTGCATTTTGTACACCAGTGAAGGATCCATACCCTATAACATTAAATGTATAACTATTGAATGATACCAGATTATTCATTAGAGAATGCCTTGTTTTTTTTTTAAATAATTTTTACAAATGAAAAACAGATGGTATGAATCTTCTTATGGTCCACATGAACAAATCCGACTAGCTATTAAGTTACAACGAAATTTTAAGATACAATCGTGTCTCAACCTTGAATGAATTATATTCAAAAATCTTTTTCCATATGAAAACTGAATATTTTTGATGTTTTACAATATTGTTGTGCCGAGCATTCTTATAAGTTTTAATGGAAGTTGCCTCCATTGTTTAAAGACTAAAGGCATCCATCTTCTGACAGTGTCAGGAATATTTTTACCATCAACTTGTTAGTCCAGTCAATATAGCACAAATATGGACCCAACCATAGGGGTTCGGTTTCAGGATGGTGTATTTTTGTTGTTTCTCTATGTCTGTCTAAATATACTGAAAATCAAAAGTATGTGTCTGGTTAGAAGTGCTTGTACTAGTACCTACCTGTATTTTATTCTGTGCTGTGTATATTTCCCACCAAATCCTTTGGGAAAAATCTTATGTGATCTATAGAAAAAGCTTCTGATATTTCCAGTAAAATAGTTTTAGCTGGAGACCTTAAAGGGGCCTGGACACAGTTGCATTGTTTACATTTTAAATGTCTATGCTTATTTAAAAAATAAAACCAGTTAAATGAATTGAACGTACATGAATATTATTAGAATTTAATGACAACGACTTTCTTCTTTACATCACGTCAAACATCTGTTTTTGTAAATAAGGCACGAGCTCTGTTATTGTTAATGTTCACGTTTCACTGGGTGTGTTCAATTTGTCAAACTCTGCACACATCACTGAGCACGGACTGACAATACCGGTGAGTTGGTTTTGCTATCTCACATTTTCTGGATTATAGTTTTATATTTTTCATTAATACACAACAAAATTTCTACTTTTCTTAAGTATTAAGGATAAAGTTTACTTTGTGAAAGTGCAAGGATATGTCAATCAAACGCGTCCCTAAATTCGTAGTTTCGATAATTTCCAGATAAAAAAAGTTTCTGAACACGCTTTTATTATATTTCCGTGCGAAATGCTACAGCAACATATAAGTCATAATATTATATAGAAAATTTGAGAAAATATTTATTTCAAATCTGTGTCCAGGACCCTTTAACTTCCCCTGAAGTAGACTAATTAAACTCCATGCGCTTAGCATTCGTCTTGCGAATTTAACTTGCTCGAGTAGAACGTGCGCTAGAGAATGAATACTAGAAATCTCTTTAACCCATTCCAACACATCATTAGCTAAAAAAACATTTCCATTGCCTATTACACAGTACACAGCAGTTATCAACACTTCCGTTTCGACTCAAGCAATTTCTTTACTTGTCGTTAGGACAATTATTTCTTCGTAACACGAGAAATTGTAAGAACATGTGTGGGTAAGGGAAGGAAACCCCCAACAGAAAACCACTGGTCCTCCTAGTCCGGGGGGGGGGGGTCTGCATGGCTAATCACCAGAGTAAATCCTGCTTGATTACTGAAATCCAAAATACACTGAGCACATAGCGAGAGGTCAGCCTTCTCACTTTGCTAAATATTAACGCAGAGGATAACCAGACACAGGAAGATGAAAGGCGATCGGAAGTCCACATGCCGAAGTAACTGTGCAAACCAAAATAGAAAGATACCAACTTGATATAATTGGCTTAAGTAAAATTAGATTACCTTTAAATAGAAAAACTATAGTGCAAAGTGGGAAACTAATGTTTTACTCACTCAGAAAGAGGGAATAGATTACATTAGTAGGGAGTAGGAGAAAGCCAAGAAGCCCCTGATGGAATGGAAACTTATATTGAGAGATTAATATACGAAAGATTCTGACATCAACTCTATTTAAAAATTTATAAGCCTGATCGTAGTTTATTCTACCACAAATGAAAGCCTTTAAAAGAGACAAAGGAAGCATTTATGAAGCAATCAGAGAAAGTCATTAATACTCGTAATATTCCAAAATATGACATTTTGCTCAGTATTGGAGATTTCAATGCAAAGACTGGCAGCAACAACAAAGGCGATGGAAATGTTATGGGGAAGCATGGGATAGAAAGACAAAATGAAAATGAAGAATGATTATACCGGTATATTATGTACTAGTATGTGTGAGATCAACAACTTAGTGATTACATGAACAATATTTCCTCTTAAACTAAGATAAGTCCAAAAACTAAACTACCATGTGCTTATACCAAAATGACACAGAACATCCATTTTAGATACATGAGCGATGACCAGAGCTGATGCAGCCAGTGATCAGAGTAAGATCTGCATAAAAGTAAAGAAACAGACACAAAACACAGATATACACGTAGAGAGAAATCACAAATCCCCACCAGCTGGAGAAAAAGAGAGCATTCACAGTGGAGCTGAAAAACAGCTTCCAAGTAGTGCTAAAGGAATTGGAAATCGTGGAAGATATTTGGAAAAGCTTGGCAAAAGGCTACATCAAACAGCAGGCAACATATTTGGAGTGAAGAAAGAGGAACAAAACCATTGATAAGCAGAGATTCGGAATGGAAACAGCTGAAACTCTAACTTATCAACAGCAAATCTGAACGATTGAAAAAAAAAATTAAGAGGCAAATATATCGTCAAAGAGATAAAACGCGGTGTGAAGAATAACAGGAGAAACTATAGGCTGAGTACATTACCGAAGCAGAAAGAACAGCCAGTAATGGCCACATGAAAACAGTGTACGAGTTAACTAATGCGCCAAGTAATGAGAGGAAAGGCATACATGTAGCAACCGCCAAAAAAGGCAAAGAAGGTAAGATCTAAGCAGCAAATATGAAAGAAAGAAAAGATGGAAGGAGCATGCACTTTCAAGAAATACTAGTATTAAACTGTCCACAACATGAACACCCATTAGAAGTTGAAAGCGAAGGGGATGCAGTAGATGAGGTTGATACTGGAAGGAAGAAACTGTAAAGGCTACAAAGAAATTTAAGAATTGAAAAGCTGGAAGAGCTCAAGAGATAAGAACTGAGATATTAAACAGACACGGAAACAACAGCAAGATACTTGGAAAAGCTCTTTGTAACTATTTGGAATTTAACGAACTATACCATCGGTGTGAAATAAAGGCCTGATGTGAAGATTCCAAAGAAAGGCGATTGATCGGTATGTGATAATTATACAGAGGCATCACATTTTATTTGTGCCAAATACAGCTGTGTTCTCTAGAAAAATTACACAAAGGATTCAAGATGGGATGGAAAGGCAACTGCGTGAAGAACAATCTGGTTTAAGTAGAGGGAGGAATACAACAGAACAAATTTATAGCCAATAATGTCGAAAGATCATCGAACGGCATTTAAATCATGCAATAATAAGGAAAACACTCGAGATGCAATGGGTGCTTTATTTATGATCTAAAAACTGTACATAAACCAAAGAACTTTTACCCAGCTATAAACAAAGTTCTCTTTAATTACATGTACTATGTGTTCAGTACTTGCTAAATCTATAAATCAGCACGAGTTGTCTTCGTCACTATTTAACCTGGAGATCATATATGCCCTATTCTCTCGTTGTCGCACTGATAAATAAACTCTCTGATACGATTTCTGTATTAATTGTCTATTCAAAACAACCAATTTATTCTCTATCTGTAATTAAAAAAAAACAGTCATATTTACAATTAAAAAAAAGAATGCAAACCAATGATGGTCGAATTTTCGTGTCACGAACTCACCTGTTGTATAGAGATCTTCAGGTCTTCATTCTCACTCTCCAGGCTCTGGTGTAAACTACATTCCTCCCCGTCCTGAGTTTGGTTGTCTTCTAGAAATCTCACATCTCGTGCAGATTCTGTAGATCTCATAATGACCAGGATCTTTGTGGAAGGAAATCAGAAAATACAACTGCATGATGAACCAAATACCGAGAAGAGTATACAAGAAAAGTACATTTAAATACCCTTGAAATGAATTATATTTTCTTTTGCTTTGTAATACCTTTGGAAGAAAGAGAAAACCCATTGACAGGTAGCAGGAGAGAAGGACACACCCGGCCACGAAAGCGTACTTCGCAACGTGCTGCTTGCTGATAATGAAGCATAACGGTAAAGAAATGGAAACAAGTACCTATAATAAACCATATTTACTGAATTAGTTTGATTAAAATCAACTTCTTTGAGAAGACCACTTTTTTATCCAACATCAATAAATTGTCTCACCATGATATTGTAGATCGCAATGGCAACAGATCGGGAGTCTTTATAGTTCTGGAGTTTAACACTCCGGGTTTCAAAGGCCAGAAAAATACCAAACAGTAAAATTACTCCATTGAATCCAAGTGTTACGCCTGCAATTGAATAATTAATTATCTTTGTTAAGCTTTATTTTACATAAGATACTATTTTCCTTCATAAATTGGCACAGAAAAAAATGCATGAAATACGGTCCATCCTGTGACATACGCCGTATGTCTAAACTTGCCTACAGTATGGTCCTCGTACAGGACAACAGGAGGAACAATAAATACACACACACACACACATTAAACAGTATAAAAATTAAACGTCACCTAGCCAAATGCTCATTTGTTTTGCATCACAAAACTCTAGTTGGGGGCGGAGTTTTATGTCCTCATCAGTGTTGGTGGGAACTTCAAGATCAAATATGAGCAACTGTCGAAACAGTGGGTCTTTAATTTGCAGAGATGTCAGAATAATTACATTTATTGTCTGGATAAGGATAAATACCGCATACAATTCCGATGAATTTATCGTCTACAAAAGATGTAGTTGAATTCTAGAAACAAGAAAAAAAATAGCATATGAGTGTATAAGTTCGAGAGTTTTAAGACCCGCATCTACATCCATTTTTATTCATAAGATGCAATTACAAAAAAAAACCCACCTTTACTCCCCAAATAAAATAGATAATAAAATCCAGAAGAACATTCACGCTAGTATCCTTCATATAAATGTACCTTTCCTTTTGTTTTTGTATTTATTCTGTGAACCATCCAAACTTTTGAAAACAATGCTCCATATCCTACAGAGAACCCTGCCAGAAGACACCAAGCCCTCAGCTGACAAATGACAGTAAATGTTTCAGGAGAGATATAATTCTGGTCCAGTCCAAAAAGAGGAACTGCCATCAAGGAAATAATGCAACCCAGTATCACTAAAACGTTCATTACCGGCTGAGAATCTACGATGCACCTACAGAAATTATTGTCCATAAATGTTTGATCTATATTTTGTACCAGGCAGTTTTGTGGTCAGAAAATTTCTTAAAACCTAAGTGTCAAAAACCTACATTCGATATCTATTGAGGAAAGTAAAGATGCAGCAAAAGATCCCAAAACAGACGCCCCCTCCAGCAAGTAAAGTGAAGGTAAGGAATACGTTTGAAGGAATAACCTTTGGTGACGTAATAATGCGAGTGTGGTCTGGAGGAGGGTGTCCGCCTGAAAAATAAAAATAGAGTTGAGTGTAAAAAGCTTTGAATCTGAAATACTGGAATTGATATCTGATGGACACACCCATTTATATTTTCACTTACCAATCCACCTTTCAACACCAAGCCATGAAAGGTTGTCCGACATTTGATGGTAGCATCCAAGGGTGTTATATGTTCCATCTATGATGCATGCAAAGTATTCGTATCATTTTACATATTATATAGGTACTCCAATTTTTTATACATATTCTAGTTTCCTTTATTTAATGCTATCTAACTCTAAAAACGACCGCCATAAATTTTATTCTAAAAATCGATCTACATACGCACTTGTCATTTGCTCCACCATTGTCCACGCAATGCGATCTCCTTCAGATGAAAACGCTACGATGCCCTATTTAGAAATAGGACTTCATATTCTTTCAGCTTTCATTTGATTATATCAAGTAAATAACATTTTTCAAGTTGAGCTGGAACTTACCGACACACCAAGAAAGTGAGTAGCATTCATTGAGGAGTAAATCTTTTGTGATATATCCTCTCTACTGTACTGGAAGTTCTGAAGACTAGATCCAATATGTATTAGTCTATAATAAAATGCACCATAAAAGGTTTTCAAAAAGTACACATTAAAACAATTATAGAACATTTCTGAGGCACATACTTTTTCTCCGTCTTGTTCAGCGCTAAAGCCAAGGCCCAGATGGCATCGAATGCAAGTGGAGCCTCTGGATAACCCGAAACGTCCGTCCTGTAATTCAGCCTTCTATCTAGCTCAGTTTTAAATTCTGCTGATGTCTATGGTTGCATAAAAAAATAAGACACGTTACACTTCCTACGGTATTTCTATATTGGAATATGTTTCCAAAACGTCAAAAGAACAAATCCTTGATAAATTACCATTCCTGAAACTGTTCTGGCGAGTCTGTCTTGGTGAATAATCTCTGCTTCAGTCGTGAAGTGCCCCTCCAGTGCTAACTTCAACTGAACCGGAATACAGTCCACTTCTGGGTCAGGCTTTTCATACCATTTATCAGGGTACCAGCCAACAAGGAACCACACGTAACGTTTGCCGTACAGTTTGTTCTTATATGCCTACTTTCCAAGCATAAAACATCTGTTTCCAAAAGAATAACTTAGGGTAAAAGATACACTGATAAAAAAAAATAAGTACATGTAATTTTTTACCTCACAGAAAACTTTTCTTGCCAGATTTTCATAAAACATCCCAACAATAATCCTCGCATCCCGTCTCTGTTAAAAAAAACAGGCATACATCACGTACATTATACATATATTACAATATCTGTATAAAATACATATATTGTAAGCATAAAATACATATTCACATTTTTGTATAAAACACAAATATGTAATGTCTATTCGTATTGCACACATTCATTCTAATTTGATTCCTTCGATATATACGTCCCCATCTCTCAATCTGTTCCACTGGCTAATCGCATTCTCGTTCAAGCCGCCCCTGCACCCCCTCCTACACACACACACACACACACTACGTGCCTTCGAAAACAAGGTTCCTTGACAAATGTATTCATTTACACTAAAAATTCTAATTAATAGTACTTGGATGTTTTCAAAAGCCCCCGGAAGCTCATGGAATTTAAGGGTTTTTAATCAGGACATTACCTTAGAATATTCTTTTTTTAACCACCGTAGATCTACTAAATATTATTTTTTAAAAATTGCCGAGTTTTGACAAAACTTACTGCTCCACAAAAAGCATTTCCTGTTATGAATAAAGCAATTGTCAAATAAACCTACATATTTATATTCATGACAGTTAATATTGTTTTGAATTTTACTAAACAAAGTGGCCGCTATTATGGACAAAAGGAAAAACCAAAGAAAATGTAATAAACAGAAAATTCAATGTTTTGGTAGTTGTTTTAGAATTTATTTCACAAGTAAGACAGTTTTTATTATCATAAATGCGAAATAGATTCTATGTACATGTATATCCAACTTCAAAAATTGAACATTTTCTATTTAAAATGCTATTACATCTAATTATTGATTCTTTTGAAATTATAGTGCTAGTACGACGCGCTAAATCTGTTTTTTTTTTAAATTATTAACTTAAAGGGAATTAATAAATAACATATTTTATGATTTGCTATAGTTTTGAATTGGCAATATTATGAAATTCGCCCTTGAAATTCTAAATCTAGTTTTTTTTTTAAATTATAAACCCTATCTAATTTTGATCTATTACTGAACTTTCGACATCTTTTCTTTTCCATTTTTTTTTTTTTTTTTTTTTTTTTGTTTATTTTATTTAATCATTTTTGTGAAAAATCTGTGTATTCATTTGCGCTGTTGCATTGAGGGCGCTACGCTACTTACTTTCAAAACTTTCAGTACTTTGATTTTCTTTGAGAGAAAAGGGAGCAATAAGGTCTACCCACTCTCTTGTATGAGTACTCAAACGTTTACTTATTTAACATAAAGTATAATGGATGCACCGGGACTTTCTTATTGTATGGTGATAGTCACCGTGGTCTAACATCTCACCGACTGCACTATCGTCTAACTATTCGGGCTAATGTAATATGTTTCTTTAATAATTTTCTTAGTGATAAATCTAATTTTGACAAATCTTAAATTGAAACACATTTGTAAGCATACCTTAAGATTTGCCACCGCATTGGAGGGGTTCGATAAGAATTCTTGTCTCGTTACAATCTCCATACCAGCAGCTTTAATACGCTTTACAAGATCTTCCTCTGTCTGAAAAAAGTATATAATTGCTGCAGTTTACTGTTTCTCCTCACTCTTCATAAGAAGTTATTTTGGCAGAAAATTTATGGAACAACTTTATGAACGTCTAATGAAAACTTATGAACTAATGAATTCTCGTGCATGGCAATAGAACTTCTTACAGACGAAAATACTTCTTCCTTTTGTCGAATCGTGGCTATCCTACTCCACCCAAACTTCTGGAATATTTTGATTCTCGCCGGATTGTGTAGTGTGGCTGATGGATGTGTCCTGAAGAAACTTGGAAACCGTCGTCTGTCAGAGAGTGAAGGAGAGCTGGATCCGTAACCTAACTGTCAGAGATATATATAGAATAGGGAAATTAGGAAACCCGGGATATATGTATATATATATATATATATATATATATATATATATATATATATATATATATATATATATATATATATATATATCATAGAATAGAGAAATAAGGAAACTCGGGAAATATGAATAGGGAAATTAGGAAATCTGGGAAATTATATCCGAGTAAAAGAGAGTTGAACAACGTTATACAATGCATAAAACCGGCGAATCAAATGAAACATCGTGTATATTTGGATTATTGTATAAACGATGTCCATCACTTCGCTTTCGTCTTGGTGTACAAGTCTAATCACATTCACATAGGCACATTGTGGGCTTGAACGATTCCCTACATTATTGACGTGGTCATTGCAACCAAACAGAAATGCAGTTCCTAATTTCCTAATCTACTATTCTCGTTATCTATTGCATGAATGGAGTAAAGTAGGGCTATTTGTGGTATTGTATATTTTCCGAAATTTGAACCCTCATAGAAAGAATAGAATTAATGGTGGGGGAATTGAAATGTTTATGAAGATTTTGATGCCCCCCCTCCCCTGATTTATTTCAAACATATACCCCGACATTCTCTGCTTGAGCTAGGTTTGTATAAGCTTTTAGTTTTTCCAACATATACATGTATAAGGCCACAGAGATTGCATTCAATTCCATAGACACCGTTTGAAAAGAAGATGGGGGTGTTTGGCGTGTGATCTGCAGGAATCATGTGTACGAAACATTTATAGTTTAAATGTCCACGATTTGGTTGGCTGACCACAGCTGGACAGGCTTTACAAAGCTACGCACATAGGAAAATGTTATATTTAGTATGAAATAACATGTCAAATTGTAATATTTAGGTCCGCTTATCTTAATAATCAAACTTTAAGATAGTAATGCTTCACATAAATAATAAACACCTACAAGATAATAAGGGTATAGTTAAATGCAATTACAAGTACATGTGTATATTAAAGTATTACATGTAGTAGGTTGGAAGAATTGCTTTCGCTCTTGATGCAACAGAACCAGAATATATCCATTTTAAAATAAATCAGGACAAAAATATTAAACTGACAAAAGAATTTATTGCTTTCATTAAAAAAATATTAACGCTCCATGCGAGGATCGAACCAAAAAGTTTCCGACTCCATTTGCATTGAACGGGTGACGCATATTACTGAGCTATCACGGCTACACGTACAATTTGGCTTTTAAAACGACATTAAAGCACCGCATTTACACATTGGAATTTTTTCGGAAAAAGTTCATTTTTTATGGTCTCTGGGTATTCTCTCCATTTTTTACAAATGATTGTTTGTTTCTTTGAATTAAAATTCATACAAATTACGTTTGAAAATCATGGAGAGATGACCCAGAGATAGCAAATTTTTAGAAAAACGTGTTTAAAAATGTGACATTTTGTACCAAATGAATCATCTAGCCTATTTTCAAGTCATTTTTTAGCAAATCAAAATACAATTTCGGGAAAATATTTCCCTTTCCTATTTCACAGGAACCCAAATGATCAAAAGAGTGCTAAAATTTCGTTTGATAGAGCAATGAAATTTTCATTTTCAAGTGCGCCCAGATTCCTGCCGAATGCCAATCAAAAGCGCCCTCGTTCTTTACAACTCAGATCTCCCCAAGTTTTGGTATTAATTCTTTACAGGCGTCAAAAATTATTGACTGCTTACAATTTTACATAAAAGTACAACGGTAACAGAGGGTTCGATCCGTAACCTGGTGATCTGATGGGGAGTATCAAAGTAACGGCGAGTAGTTCTGTAGCATGTCTGTTAGTGCTACATTATCATCATACAACATGTACGAGTACTGTTGTCTTCATGTTTAATTTGCTTTGGACCGTCCCTTAATAAAAGCTTCTGTTTTTCTTATAGATTTTTATGCTTTTTCCTCTCTTTCCTTTCCTTTGTTTTTGCTTCCTGTTTTTGAATCTGTTTTTTTACTGCCCTCAAGAGACTAATGACCAGATTATCGACACCCCAATCCAAGTTAAAAAGTTCTGAAATGAAGACGCCTACAAATATATCACTATTAAAATCTCATTACAGTCGGAGGTTTGTAAGACAATCTACTCACAACAATTATGTTCCACAGTTTGGCAGCTTGTGATATGAAGGTGGACACCACACTACAACCCGATAGAACCATCATCTTAGGAGGCTCAGAATACAGGAAATCGTAAAACAAACTTGTCCCAACACCTGGTTTACACTACAAAACAAGTCTTCCAACTCTGTCATGTACAAACATCATTACATTGCTTGCAAGGCAGATAAAGAATGACATTTCCAGTTTTGTGAGAAAAGAATGTTCTAGATATTGATATAAAATCACGTGAGCAGCATTTCTATGAAATGTGAAGAGAACGAACAGTGACGATTCTCAGAAGTCCATTTAAACAATACATTTTATGAGCAGAGCCACATGAACCTCTAAAAACAGAGGTAGGAGCAGGTGCCTTAAAAGAGTAAGGGTCTTTTGTTTACCGGTTGCCGGAAAAATCTGTAGAAAATTCAGAGTGAAAATAGTGGCCTAACAATTTGTACGAAAGACGTCAGTCCACGCTTGATAAACAATAGTACTTGCAAACAAGGTTATTGTACCGACCATAGAATTTGCAAAATGTTGACTTTAAAAGAGATTGTTGATGTCCATGTATTATCAACTTCTTTGTCAATAAGTTGCTTCGTTTTAGACATTGTTTGTACATAGAACATGCTCTTGCTTCAGGCCTGTAGGAAGCAATTTCAGTTTGGGGGGGAGGGGGGGGGGGCACAGCCATACATTTTCAGTTGAGGGGGCACTATCAACTACCAAAAATTCCTTGACAAACAAAAAAAAGGTGATCAGACGTATTTATTGAGGGGGCACAAGCATATAGTAGCTATGTTTTCTATAGATAGAACGTTCTATCGTTAAAATGATATTCTCCTACGGACCCGGTTTAACGATAGAATTCGTTCCGTGTATTGGCAATGTTGCAAAATAAACACGGGCGACAACTCGTACTCTGTGCATTTTCTATGAACAATCCAGAGAGTTCCGAATGTCAACATGGCGTTAAATTTGAAGCGAGGAAATGAGTTGAATTTTCGTATTTATATGGATTATTTTTTAGGTTAAAAGACATATACCATCTCAAAAAGGTTTTTTATGATTAATTTGGTAATTATTTTCAGTGCAACTCCTTTTGTATTCTTCAAAATCATTTCGGAGTGAATCCACTCCGATTTGCTACATTGCAAGTAGGCTATATGGGACGTATTCTAATTGTGGTGAGGGCTTGTCCCGAGACACAGTTAGATTATTCTAACTTTGTTTTCTATAGTTATTTATATATCGGCAAAATTATTGGGGGGGGGGGCACGCCCCCCCCCCACCCGGTTCCTATGGCCATGTGCTTATAGAATCGACGGGGAGACGCAGATGATAATGGCATATTGCTACATAAATAGGGGAAGTTGAAAGAAAAGTAGAAGTTATCACGTTTATCATAATTTTTTGTTAGGTTGCCATCAATGTCTTGCTCTAGTAAAAATCCAAATATGAAAGAGATGATGTCTTTTATTTTGAGTTCAAATAATATATCGAATCAACGTATAAATGGAATTGAATTGATAAAACGTCGTCGATGTGCAATGTATCTAAATGTCGAATTGAAGGCCACAGCAAATGAGTACAAAGAACATGTCTACTAATAACAGGGAACAATTTAGACAGATTGTTGGAAGACCTGATCTCCAAAAACTACATAGGCATAATGAGAAAGTCAAGCGTCTTTTTAATACAGAGTACTTATGTGTAGTTTGTAGATGACCAATGACAAGGTATCAATGTCTATGACCTACCTGACTATCGCTGACCTCCATATTAAGGTGATATTCTGGTAGAATTCTTGGATCCCTGTTAACCCTTTCAAGAGCCATCTCTAGAGCCGGCTTACATGCCTTGCCCCCTGACCAGCTTCCGGTCATTGGTACAAGTACCCCTATAGTTAAGTTCTTAGACTTAAGTCCAAGTAGAGGCTTATAGAATCCAGTCAATATTGATAACAAAATTAAGAACATTTCAATTTGCCACGGTTCGATCAAGAAGACACGCTTATCGGCGCCCAGGTTACTAGTAACTGTGCTTTAGGAAGCTTTCTTTCTTCCTTTTTTTAACATTCTCTTTGGAAAGAGGGCTTTTTTTTATCGATTGCACATCTCTGAGACCACTTTGGTTATTGACATCAATGTAATCTATGCTAAATTTGCAAGATTCCATGAAGTCTGGATGACAATTTGAAGTACGATGATGCATTTGATGAGATATCGTGCTCGATCAAAATACCGAGAATTTCATTTCCGCCTCAAGTCAATCATGGCCAAACGTATAGTTCGAGAACAGAACCTTTTCAATAATGCTTTATACGATCAATGATCAGTTTAAACAACTGCGTTGTGGCGAAAGCATCTTCGCTAATTGTATTCCCCTGTAATAGGACTCAACACGCGGTAATTACATACCGGTGTTGCAGAGGGATTTCCCCCATATCCAGCCCCTCCCCCCCCCCCCCCCCGGAATCTTTGCTCTAGAGTAGGATTTCTCCCAAGGAAAAATATCACTCTAGAGCCAGATTTCCACCTCTGTCTTTCTCAGAGTAGGATTTCCCCTCTCTTATCAATGCTTAAATCATATCAACAATATTTTGGCTAAAAGTTATATAAAAGTCAACTGATTTTTTAATGGAAATACGAGTTTTTTCGACTCAAGAATTGTCGAATTTTTTATGAAATCTTAAAATATATAGTTCAAATCATTGAGTCTCAACCCAAAAATTTTAACTCGTAGGAAACTGTAAAATTAATCACTCAAAAATCAAAAAAAAAAAAATCGGAAGACTCGATGTCTCGATCAACACCCCCTCCCTCGGCGCAGCGGTAGCTCTTTGTTCACGAATTCTAAAATGTACTAGTATATCAGGCCACCTTTAGTGATTTGATAATTCGTTTGCCCTCTAAAGGCCCAGCATTTCATCTATGGATCGATCCTTTTTACAAAGAGTGTATGAGAAAATTCTGTTTATGTTATTCATAGGTCCCACATGCCATTTTGTGAGTATTCTTCAAAGAGAATTTTTTTAAACAGGCAAAAAGAAAAAACAAAACAATAGAAGAAACAATGCTTTTGCAAGCTGAACCATATGACCCTCGACCCCAGCGGTGTAATCTTGGATTTGAAAGCAGAGAGCAAATACTCTCCTAAAGTTTTGCATATAGTTTCATTTTTTTTTTTAAATAAATGAGCCATTTTTAGTTCCATGGCAAAGACAGCTATTTTTGGATTTTTAATTACCAGAATCTTAGAGAGACACTTCCACATCAACATTATGTACATGTAGTTTGAAACTGGAGAGAAAAAAAATCCATTTAAAGAAAATTCCTTTTTGTTTCTATGGATACAGTAAAAATTTCTCCAACCGATTACAATATTTTTTCAGAAACCAGTTTGACCTGATCAAAAGAATAAGATTTTAATGCTTCAAAAGAATTGGATGGATGGTTACTGAGAAAAATAAGATTTAAAATTTTCAGTGTTCATACTTCATATGTTTCAATGGAACTCGTCGCCGTTCTGAAAAAGGGACACTTATAAAAATATGTTGCCCCCCATATATAAGTAAAGCCATGATATTTTATTGGGGGGGGGGGGGGGGGGAGATTGGCTCTGGGGGAAATCGCACTATGTAACTATTACATAGAGTAGGATTTCCCCCCGGAAAATTGAATCTATGTGGGATTTCTATAGGGGAAATCCTACTCTAGAGTCATTTGCCTACTTTACAAGACCGGACTATTTGGCAAACCTCGGACGAGTCGCCTTAGATGAGGTACGAATTGGCCGAGGTGTGCCTGCCATCAACATGTGACTCGATAACTTTAGTACCTTTCAACCTACAGATTTCACACTTGCTACATAGAACTGGTGATTGATGGAGGACAGCTACACTTTTTAGGTCACCATGTCAAAGGTCAAAATAGTTATCATTATTATCTGATTATCAATAAACATTTATGTGATCTGCGATATAACTCGTACATATTTTATCCTATAGATTTCATAATATTAGTATGTAAAAATTGTGCGTGAAAGACCATGTAATTACTGGATTCACTTGGTCAAAGGAAAAGGTCAAAGCTCAAGTGTTTTAATATAACTATTGTGATACATGTAGTAACTTGGACATTTTGTAACCTACAATTCAGTTTAATTTCTAGAATGTAAGTGGAGAATGATCGAAGAATCATACATGTATACCGATTTTGGTGTTACTTGGTCAAAGATCAAGAATATTGATATGACCAAGGTGATGTAATAACTTTAACATTGACTTCATTTTCAATTTAAAGCGGAGAATGTGTTGGAAAAGACATCCGAAAATTTAGAATCACTCAGTCGAAGGAAAAGGTAAAAATCCTGGAATTTACCAGTGTTTGAGCTTACAGCAACTAAAGAGGGGGGGGGAGCATCTAAATGAAAATTTACCATAGCAAAATATTATACTCAATAAAAGTGGGGGAGCCAAAAATCAACTTGAATGTCATATATCTTTGTGTTTATATAAGTGGTAAAAGAATATATAATAATTTGGGGTGCATAAAAGAGGGTTTCTTCTCCTTCAGAGATTTTAATTTCAGCGATGGCAAACACCTACAACTAACATTTTTGTAAATACGCATGCACTTACTGATATCTTTTTCACACAGTATGGGTAGATGTCTGAGAATAAAAATATTTTGAGTTTTATTTAATGTATTTGCTTAAGAATTTGCAATTTTGTAAAACAATTTGATTCAAACATATGTTAAAAATTTTCTTTCATTATCAAAATTATTTCAAAAGATATATTGGTTTGAAATTTTGACTTACTTTTGTTCTCAGTACGGTCTTTAGCCAAGAACTAATCGTAACTAAATCCGACCTCTTTTGTGATCGGGCTCGTTATACTTAAACACAAGACCCACATGGTAAGGTTCGTTTCCGTTCTCACGGTAAACGGTTCCCTGAAGTTCCCACCGTTCTCACGGTTCTGGATTAAAGGATATTCTTTTTAGTTTCTATAGAATATATTCAGTGAGATGTCTGGAGATGAAAGGTATTTATACTCTCTTTTGTATTGTAATTTTCCAATCCTACACTGGATCACGAGACGTACATACTTGATCCAGATTGCATGTTTTGATTTTGCTCCCCCCTCCCCCAAAGCAAAGATGTGAATGTTAAGCAACAAAGAATTGATACGGAATAGGCTTAATGCTACGGAAACTATCTCTTGCTGAATGATGAGTGGATATTTCTTACCTTAGAGTGATGAAGAGCATGATCGAAACGTCTTTTGGGGCCCTGGGTCTTGCACTTTGTGAATAATGGATGAAATGTCCAGATAGCTCAACATCAAACTGAATGAGCATAGTAAAGGAATCGACATTAATGGTTGTCTGATTGCCCGGGGCATGTAAATATCTCAGTTTTGTAAGTTTCTCAGTGAAACTGTTCCCTCAACAGCATTTCTAGATTACACGTACTGCTCATTTAAAAATTGGGTTCGTTATTCTGTTTTCTTTCATGTCTAACAATTTTGTTATCTACTTTTTAGGAAATATGATTATATATTACCGAGTAACACAACTGATCAAGATATGTATGTACTGTGGTTTCATCCTTATTTGTGGAACACATATTTTCGTGGATTTCATTGTTGAGTCGATCCACTAAATCAAATGTTCATTGAAGTTTGGTGCCTCAATATTGGTATATGATAAACCTTTGAAAAGCCTAATCCAACTTTTTCTAATATATGCTAAAAAAATGAAAAGGTGTCCTTTTTTTGGGGTAGGACCATTATCCACAAATTTATGTACCCTTCATGTCCTGAAACTGTGATTTTAACCAAATCCACGAAAATTTATGCCCATGAATATTAATGGAACCACAGTATTTTGTTTTGTAGCAACTAGCAACCATCTTCCTTTAGCATTGCTTTATAATCATCTCTGAAAATCAAAATTTACAAAAGGATTCTACCGAAAATATTTTTAAAAAATATGATTTCTAAAGGAAACTGGAGGGAATATACCATATATATATGGCTATGTGAATTTACAGGGTAAATTGACAAGGAAAGTGGTATATACTTATCAATTTTCTGTACAAATATAACATCAACATTTTTTCTGGCAGTTCAACTTGCCAAATAGACAGTAATGAATCTGGTCACACTTTTTCTTGTCATAACATTTACAGTTATTAATTAAGTTATTTTTTTCTTTCTTAATTTTGGGCAACCAAGTTTTGCATTCAGACAAGTCAAAGTTTGAGTTCACTTGCCCTTTGGGCAAATAAATCTGAAAGTTAATGTTTATCCTGGAATACAAGTGTCCAAGATGACAGAATCAAGTTGAAACTTACATGGAAACTGTCTGAGATAGGGTAGATTCTAAATTGTTCAAATCATGGCCCCTGGGGGTAGGGTGAGGCCACAATAGGGAATCAACATATTTGCATTGAAATATACTGGAAAAATCTATAAATATCTTCTTCTCAAGAACCACTGGGCCAGAAATGGTGAAACTTATATGAATTTTTTCTGAGATAGTGTAGATTCTAAATTGTTCAAATCATGGCTCCCTTGGGTAGGATGGGGCCACAATAAGTATTTCAATGGGGAAAATCTGGTGAAGAACAGCAGGGCCAAAGTTACTCTGGTGAGTGTTGTGGCCCATGGGCCTCTTGTTTCATTATTATTTTGTCTGATTTAATGATTTGTTCTAAATCAGTAGTTAATGAATATGTGCAGATTCTGTTTACTATTTTTGTTGTTGTTGGTTATATAGTTTTCCAGGTACTGCAACATATGACAGGTCATACAGATCTCTGATTTTTTTCAAGGTGAAACGGTTGATATTACTCTTCATTTATTTTTTTTAGTAAGTGTGAACTATGTGGTAAAGTTCAGTGGAAATACAAATGCCCTAGATGTGGTAGAAAAACCTGTTGTCTGGCCTGTGTGAAACAACATAAAGAAGAAACGGGGTGTAATGGTGTCCGTGACAAGACGGCCTTCGTAAAGATGAAAGACATGAATGACATGCATCTTCTCAGTGGTATGATGTGCCTTTTATGTAATGAAAACATTTGAAAATAATTTCATTTGACTTGTTTTTCTTGTTAATCGTAATGTCAATGATTATTTAAATTTTACTTAGATTATCGTATGTTGGAGGACATAGATAGAGCTGTAGACAACCATAACAGAGACCCACTAAGGAGGCAGGGAGTTAACGGAGTTGTCAATAATGTAACCAACTGTTTTTTTCTCTTAAATATACTAATCGTACATTACTCATGACATCATAAAGGTTATCTCACTTCATCCATCTATGTCATCATAGTATTCTATAAAATGTTTAAACATGGCTGATATTTACTTTAGAACATGCTTACAATGAATTCATGCTTATAGAGAAGTGATTTTAATTCCCTGTTGTTTTAAAACTTATCATTCTTATTGAATATAGCAAATTACACTTATTATGAATTCAAATTGTTGGTCCTTAAGTTAATACTTTGCTTTAAGTATATTTTACTGTATATTGTCAATACAGTTTTTTCTCATTTTCTATAATCAGCTTTTTGTACATGTATGTACTTTACACCCCTCACTTTTAAAATTGACAGTTGATTCATATATTTTTGGCTCACAAATTGAATGTAATTGCTAAAGTTGTGAGAGAAAAATCATGAAAAGATATATAAATCTCACCCTCAGTGATAGCATTTGCTGTCTAGGACTTGGCAAGCCATGTCTTACATGTAGATGGCAGAAAGGATCCCTTTTAAAGGGATTTATCTATGTTACACTTGTACATGTGAACAATTCTTATATTTTCATTATATTATCTTAGTTTGCTGCATCTTAAATCCATTTCAAATTTGTAACAGAATCTGTTGAATATTAGTTTCATAGTATGTTAAAATATCAAACAATGAAGACCAATACCAAAATAACCAAATTGTTCTTTTAAAATGTTGTGTTCGCTTTCCATTCAATGAAAGTCTTGAAAGATATGATTTTTCTCCTTTGATGTAGTATCAGTTTCTGATGTTGATATCAATCCATGTTTAACTTGACACTGCTTATACATTTAAAACATAATTTATAGTTGAACCTTTTAGCTGAAAAAGTTTGCAGAGAAAAAAGGAATTAAAGTCCGGTTTCTTCCATATCCCATGTCAAAGAGGAAAAACAATTCCACCAGACTCACTGGCTACAGGTAATAAGCATTTGTTAAGTGTTTAATAGCACTTTTCCTGTTTAGCTTTTAACAACTTTTCAAGCTTACTTTTCAAACCTTTTTTCCCCTCAAATTTCACTGTAATGTGCAGAAAGAAAAGTTATTTAGAGCCATTCTCTGTAAGGACTTGACCTTTTATATAGGAGCTGTGGTACGCATAGTCTCAGAATTTCTCCAAACTCTCTTATATGGGAAAAGTCTTTGATACTGTAAACTCAAATCAGACGAATATTAGTTGCTAGTATGTGTTATGGTTACCATGGCTACATGCCCTTACGTTTGAAACATGACATTTTTGAACATGTTCAGAGCCCCATTGTTCATGTTTGCAGCAATGCAGACAAGTGATAATGACTGTTTCAAAAAGTTGAAAGCTTGGATGTCTTAAATGCAGGAAAAATTTATTGGGAAATCAACAATGTAAGGATACCCTTTGAGTGTGTAGAAAAATTCAGAATGAATACATTTATCCCAAACATACAAAGCTGTACATATACTCTAAATCACTTTTTATTCGCAAGAACTTTGTTTTCTCATAATTACACAAGACCTTCTGTTTGCCATCATTTCATTCCTGTGCATATTTGTACTACCTAGTACTGTTATGTATATAGGTTTTTTTTCGCCCCATGTTCTTTTCGTCCTTTTACACTTGCAAAGAATTTTGCCCTATTTTAAATTCACCCAGTCGCAATTCTCTTTAAGAAATTATACTGTCTTCTTTGAATTCGCCCTGTCTTAAATTCACCCACTTGTGTCTAGGGTGAAAAGGGTAAAAATAAAACGGAAGCGAAAATTTCCTTGTATACAGTATTAAGAATTATATACAGCAACAAAAAAATTGATGAAAATTCTCATTCATGGTATACACTATTCACGTGATTTCAGACTGATATTTTCTTTTTGCAGGAAGGGACAGTTTCTGTGGCATTTAGAAATTATCTTTCCTCAGTCTGAAGTCAAATACACAGAGAAAAGGTAGCAATCAAATAACAGCTGCAAATATTTCATGTAATGTCAGAGCATGTGGTTATGATTAAATCAAAAGTCATCAGTTCAACTGCCATTTAAAACACTTCACTTTATTTTCTTTGTAATAATGCACTCATTACTGTTAACGGGGTATGTACTTAAATTGAAAATTTTAAAAAGTGATGTACATATCAAAATAGTTCTATATTTATGTAGAAATCTAGTGGCAAGGGGGATGTAAAATTGATTTTATTAATTTGCAGAGTACATGAAGATACTTGCCTATATGACCTTCTGAAGACCTTCATTCATCCCACAGAATCAGACCCTGTTAAAAGACAGATGTTAAAGGCCTACAGCAGTACACCTATAGAAGACTGTCAAATTCTGATGCAGGAAGGGGGACTCCCAGCCAATATCAGGAGGTAATGGATGTTTTATTTAAAAAAAGGGGAAAGTCATGTTTTAAAATGCTAATGTACACTTCAAAATTTTGCCTTGCTTTATTTTTGTCCCCATTTCTTTTATGCTCAATTGTCGACAGAAAAAAAGGTAAATTTATTAGAGGTCCAATACTCAAATGTAACAAAAACAGCTTTGTGTAATATAAAATCATTTCTAATGCACTTTGGGTGAAATGGTATGAAATTTTTCAAGCATAAATTGGTATAGAAAAAGAAAAGTTTTTTTTCCAGCTCACCTGAGCTTTTTCTGATCACTGTTTGTCCATCATCCTTGAGTGAAGGGGAGTTTAAATTGTTAAAATGAAGGGTCAAGTCCCCTTACAAGGGGAGACTATCAAGAAAAAACAAAAATAGTGTGGGGTCATAAAAACATCTTCATCTCAAGAACCACTGGGCCAGAAAAGCTGAAACTTTAGGGAGAGAGCTAAAATAGGCTGAGCCTGCTGCTCAATCCCATTCACTTCTAGATCTGTGAATAAGATATTGTTTGAAATAAAAGCTGAAACTTATATGGAAGCTTCCTGAGGTAGTGTAGATTCTATATTGTTCAAATCATGGCTCCTGGGGGTAGGGTGAGGTCACAATAGGGAATCTAAACTTTTACATTGAAATATATAGAAAATTGTTTCAAAAATCTTCTTCTCAAGAACCATATGACCACAAAAGCTAAAATTTATGTGAAAGCTTCCTGAGATAGTAAAGATTCTAAAGTGTTCAAATCATGGCCCCCAGGATGGGGGGGGGGGGGGGCACAGTAGGGAATCAAAGTTATACATTGAAATATATAGGAAAAAATCTTTAAAAATCTTCTCAAGAACCACTGGGCCAGATATTTTGAAGTTCCTGAGGTAGTGTAGATTCTAAATTGTTCAAATCATGACACCTGGGGGTAGGGTGGGACAACAATAAGTAGTTCAAGGGGGAAAATTGGTAATAACAACAGGGCCAAAGTTTCTCAGGTAAGCCTTGTGACCCATGGGCCTCATAGAAACGGCTTTTAGAAGCATGAGAGGGAAGGGGGATAACTCAATTTTCTTTTTCAACTTGAAAATAGAAATATGAGTTATTCCCCTTTTCAATGTGTGACTCAAATTGATCAATGGGTTGTTTTACCAAATGTAGCGGTGCCAGAGAAACAAAAGATTAAATTTTTGGCCTTATTCTGTGTTCTTGATTTTGTTGCAGATTTCATAAACTAGATCAGAATAAGTCTTTGTGTGAGAACCTGAAAGGTAAAGAATTTATAGAGTATCCTACACTTCACATTGTTCTGCCGGATAGTGTTGATAAATACCCACTGACATTGGCTACATAGTGGAAGTCATGTGAAAAGGATAGAACTGGACACAATTTTTCTTTAAAAAAAAAAACCAAGCAGGACATTATGCTTATTCAAATTATTTCTTTCACAAAGTATCTGTGTGGATAAGATCGTGCTATTTATAAAATGAAAATTTTCACAGAAGTAGGGATCAGTAGGGAAGTAATTTGTGAACTATTTGTTTAAAGATATTTAATGTCAGTTCAAAGTTTGTTATTCATTTTATATTTCATTAAGATTGTCTCTTTCATGTAAATTTCAATAAATCTGTTGACCAACAAAAATATAGTCAAGCAATATTTAAGCAAACATTTAGCTGAAAATTGTAGCCAAAGCAACACAGATGTGATATCTTCAGCACAAGAAGAGGGGCAAGCATACCTCAAATCTTGAAAGAAATAAAATTTAAATAGTCAGGGCTCATCTTGTCCATCGGACTAGTTGTCAACAATTGTTACTTGTCCGAATGACTTTTTTACTTGTCAAACAGATATAAAGAAAATTGTAGAACTTTATGATAAATATTTGTTAAATCATTAAAATAAAAATATTACTGAAAAGTCTGATATTGCACTCCTCCGTAAATTAGCGATATTCAACGAGGTGTAACTAAGCCCTTAAGACTGTAGAGTTACATATTACACTGTTAGTTGTTTACTGAAAAAATACAGTGTTTATTGGATTTTAATGGGGGTTTATTTACAATATTTCGTAATAGGAATAAAGTTTTCTTGTCTGTTTGGACAAGTGTTTGTAGAGAATGACCTGTCCGATCACAAAATGAATTTGATCTGGGCAATCCGACGAAGATTAATATTGAGCCCTGAATAGGGGATACCACATTTAAGAATAAGAAAGACTCTATTAGCAGGTAAAAATTACTTTACTCCTTTAACCAGTTAAATTTGCCCCATTTGTGTGTGTGTGTGTGTTGGGGGGGCGGGGGGGGAGTACAATTATACTCTGATGACGACGTATTATCAATTAACAATAGTTATTTCCAGTCATACATTGACACGATATATCCCAGTGAGCTTGAAATAAAAGATACCACAGAGTCTGACACATCTGTTTCATATTTGGATATTTAACTAGAAAAAGACGTTAATGGTAAACCTAACAACTAAGCTTTATGATACACGTGATGACTTTAACTTTTCCATCGTCAACTTCCCTTACTTATGCAACAATGTACCATTATCACCTGCATACGGGGTTCATATCTCTCAGTTAATTCGATACGCAAGAGCATGTTCTACATATGAACAATTTCTAAAATGAGGTAAGTTATTGACAAACAAGTTGATGAAACAAGAATATCAACAGTTTCATTTAAAGTAATTTATCAAGTTCTATGGTCGATACAATGACCTTGTCAGCAAATACAATCTATCATGACTGACGTTTTTTGATACTAATTGTTAGGCCATTATTAAGACACTGGATTGTCTACGGATTTTTCCGTTATTTCTCGATCATGACAAGGAGTACATGGCGGGCGTGACCGGTCGGCAGGGGATGCTCACTCCTCCATGGCACCTGGCTCCGGGGCCATAAAACTGAGACGAGCTAACTTTTGATCTTAGTCTCACTTTTACAAAAGGAATATATAGTGGAAAAGTGAGACTGAGATCAAAAATGAGCTCGTCTCAGTTTTATGGCCCCGGAGCCTGATCCCACCTCTGATGTTTTAGTGGTTCGTGTTTGCTCTGCTCCTGATTTGTATTGTGTAAATGGACTTTTGGGCTTGAATACTGTTTGTTATCTCCATATATTTGACTGGATCAAATATTTTTGTGGAAAAAAAGAGGAGCAACTAACCTTTTCTTAGTGAAATTTTTAAGGGCTGCACCAGTGCCTTTTCTTAATTCTTTATTACAAATTATCAATTTGAATATTACGGTAATTTATATTTGTCTTTCGAAATTAATAATTTGTAATTTCAAATTGATTATTTGTAATAACAAATTAAGAAAAGGAAGTGCCTGAACCCTTATAAACTTCAGCATTCTCTAAATGTACCACTTATATGATTTAAAACATTTCATTTGAATGTCATATTTCATATAACAGGTATTCAGCTGTGCTGATTTTTAGCCCAAGATATCAACTGTTTATCTATTAAACTCGAGTTATGAGTACAACCCCCCTCCCCTTTCACTCCAACCACAAACTTTTAGTTGGGTCCCTTGCCTTGGAAAGACTACCGCGGTTCTGACAGCTGGCGAAATTGCTTGCATTTTGCAGTAAGCAGCTGGTAAGGTCCATGTGAGTTATATATGTGTGTATGGAAAAGAAGGCTTGTGTATTGGTGTGATTGACATCTTGGTGATGAATTAATAGCCAGGGTATGTTTGTCGGCAATACACTGAACTTTATCAGTTTAAAATATCAAATTATTTGAACAACATAACACCACTATAACATATGGCCGATAACAACATGTAAATTGGTCTATGTCGCACAATTAGCGCACCATACCTATTACATGGAAACAAAGGAAATTGAAGAGCGTCAAATCGCTAGATATGGGCTGATAGGGGGGTTTGACATGGATCAATCTTTGTCAGGGAAAAATGGGCGTCACCACGTGGGTATCCATGGGAGTGCGACCCTAGCAACCCGAAGAGGGCCATTCACCTCTTATAATGTAAATGTATCAAGTTGGACCCGATAAAACGGCACATTGTTTTTTGACAATGCGTTTTGCATTAAAGGTTATTTTCAAGTAATGGCATTAATCAAGCATATCATTCTAGTGTCGAATTCTTCATACCTTGTCAGGTTTTAAAATTGTAAGAAACTGTGAAGTTTGTTTAAAGGGAAACAATAGATGTACATTTGACTTTACATAAAAAGATAATGCATTTTGCACTAAATAAATTTCCTATAGAAACTGTCTGTTGATTTTTTTTATGTTATTCGGCGAATGTCTTCGGGGTCTGTTTATTCAACAATCGAACCCACCGTTAGTCTACCATCATATAGTATTTTATCAAATATGCAAATTAGATCAAAGTGATTAAAAGAATATATCTGGGCTCTGTGAATGGAATACACAGTCCTTAATCGTCTTACACGATCGCCAGCATTAGAGATTTGCTGCTAATGCGTATACTGCAGAGAGGGGATTTATATCGGTCCGAGGTCCTAAAGGACACAACAATGGATTAAAGGTGCAGTGAAACGGCAATGAAAAATTAGAGAGTGAAGTTTTGGAGGTATCGAAAAGAATTTCTGCATTTGGAGGATTTTTTTTTACATGGCTACGGAAGTTGCCAATGCTCCGATAAAAACGACCATGGAAATTCCGGATCCGATTCCCGCCGGAAACTGGATGGCCCGGCAGTTACGGATGCTGAATGATAACAGTGAGGGACTGCTTCCTCCCTCCGCCGGTTCGAAACGCTCCTGGGATAAATACAACACGGTCACCCATAAAGATTACTTGGGTCCCAGTGAATTCACTTTGGAGGAACCAAACTATGAAGTGGAGGTGAGAAAATTGTACCAAAGACCATCGTAAAAGTAGTGTTAGAGAACTTAAACTTCCTTAGCAACGAAAGTACAATGTAGTAACACTAATGTATGCTACTCGTTATTTAAAGATCTGTCGAACGACGTACTAGTATTTCTGCTTAAGAACTGTTTCCGAAAATTGAATTTTTGGACATCATAAATATATTAACATTTTCAGTAAAATTCATTTAGAATTACGTTAAATCAAAATGATCATATTGCAATCAAATGATTGATTTTTTCAGATTCTCAAAATTTTTACGTCAGCAAATTCCATGATAGTTGATGGTCCGTGGAAACATTTTATTTTTTATTGTTATTTATTTATTTATTTATTACTTCATTATTATTATTATTTACAAATATACTCAGCAGATGTCCCTTTTTTTTTTAGCTATTCAAGCTATGGATCAAACAGGTCTTTAGTTCTTTAAATCATAAAACCATGTTAATAGGGCATTTCTAACCTTTTTTGCTGATACTTAAATAAACCAATAGGATCGATTTATAGACACCCTCTGGGTCATAGAACTCCATTTGTAATAAGATTTTATACATTCAGATAGTTAAGAATGATAATGTTGAGAACTATTATATGATAATCTTCTATATTGTAATGCTGTTGTGTCAACTGTAAGGAAATCGGAATATTGAGAAGGTCTTAATAACATGTTGAATTCATAGCTCCTTGCATTATATTGAAGATGTCAGGTCCAGGTGCCTGTGACAATGAGCTATTATATTTTCCATTTAATCATTTATTCGGTGGAAAGTCATACAACTTGTCCCATTGATCCAAATACCCACTTGATGGCAATAGAGAAACGCAGTAAATATTTTATACATGTTTTTTTTTTTAATTTATATTTTTTCTTAATTCATTCATGTATTTGTAAAGTGTTTAAACCTTTTCTTCTTTTTAACATATGTATTCAAAATTATTGAAGGAATCTTAATTAACTCTTAACAGTTTGGAGACTTTTCCCCCGTCCCTTTTCCGCATGAAAATTGTTACGCAGCACGGAAAAGATAAAACTTTTGCAAGATGTCCAAGCAAATATCAATAACCATTTCCTAGTTTATATATTTACATCATGAATGTTTTATTCAGTGGCGAGGGATACATATAATTTTTGTTCTAATCGACAAAATGGGATTAATCCAATAAATACTTTAATACACGTGTTAAAAAACGCACAATCAATCAGCGAATTTGATTTTCTCTGTTCTGTCAGTGCTTATTTTGCGGCGATATAATGGTTTTAATCCCGATAGGTTTCCAACAGCAGACTTTCTATTCAAATAATTCTTATCTGGCTTAATTTAGCAATCTTTTAAGCCTAAAACATATACCTCTGTACATAACATTAATCACCACTGCCCTGACTTAAGCTAGAACATAGTGTTTCATGGGGACAGAACTGGGAGTGGATCTAGGATATATTTATTTAGAAGATACAGTAAGTGAGGATGCCAGAGGCGGGGGAACTCCCACAGATAGTGGTCTCTGTGGTATGTATCTTAACTGTTACGACTTAAGATTGCGTCACACAAATTATTGGCCTATAGAGTAAAAAAAACAACGTGACGGAAAGTTAAGAAGTGGAGAATACTGTGTACATTTTTCGGGTTTTATTCCTTTTTTTGTGTAAGTCTTAACTTTTTTAATGATATTTTTTACCCTTTTTTGCTAGTGTTAGTGTTTTTTTTCCCTAAGCGCGAAAGTAGCAACACATGAACTAAAGCAATAAAAAGGGCGTATAAT